AGTGATGTGGCACAGCCAAAGTCACTGTTTGTTTCCCTTGGCAGTGAGAGCTCCCCGAGGTTCCCGGCTCTGGAAGTCTTGCTACTGGATGAAAACCGCCTCTCCCACTTCCGGGGTGGCGCCTCCGGAAAATGGCGGAATTCCCTTCGGACTGAAGGGAACCCGCTGCACGGAGGCTTGGGTCCTGCCGCTACGGCGCAGCGGGGACCCGCAAAAACCACAGGCGGAAGAAGCCTGTGGACGTGGGACTCGGCGGGCACCGAGAGCGCTCTCTCCCCTTGTACCGGAGCCCGGTAACGGGCTCCGGAGTGGGAGGTGCGTGGTGCTGTGAGTCGTCTGCTTCCTCCGTGCAGCAAAGCCGCACTGCCGTTATCGGAGAGCGCTGCCTTTTTCCTGGACAATTTGGCATCTAAAACATCTATCCGTGAGTACCTGATCTTAGAAGAGCTGAACCACTTTTAAGACTGGTGAATAAACAAATAATATTGGACTTGAAATTGAACTTAATTGGGACTCGGAATGGGAAGGTCTAAACAGGAAGTCGCCTTCCGTTCTTTTGTTATGTGAAGAAAGCAAAGACAAAATATACTAAAGCCTGAAAATTAAATTTTAAGAGAACTAGAATTCAACATCTAAGATTTCTGAACCCCCTTTTGACAGCAGGAGAAAAAGGGGGTTGTATTTGGACTTTTCAATCCTGCGGAAGTGAGTTTAAAATAAAGCAATTTTCCACCGCCCTGAACCAGGAGCGGGCTGTCAGAATTGACGTTCTGAAGTTTATCCAGCTTGACAGTTAGTTAAAAGAAGGGTAACATTTTGATTCTACTGTTGCCTCTTGAATTTGGAAGGGGGAATTTTGGATAAAGTGTTTCTGGAAAAAGAAAGATTGTTGCTGTTGCTTTTATTTCTTTTTTTAAAAAAAAAAAATTCCATCTAGTGGAATTTAGTGAAATTGCAACGCAGAGAGATTAAAAGAGAAGGACTATTGGACTACTCTCGTGGGAAAGAATTTTCTTTGACCTTGAAGGACAATGCTAGTACAAAGGCTTGAACAATTGTTCCTGGAAGGTTTTTCAAAACTAAGTGCCCAGCTGGACCAGATGCGTCAGGAGACGACCTTGAGGATGGAAGTTACCAGAGCACAGCAGCAAACAAATGAAATTCAGTTAAAGGCTATACAAGCATATGAACCTGCTGTAGCGACGGAGGCTTCAGAGATGGAGGTACCTTTGGACGGGCAAGATCAGCCTTTGAACTTGATAAATGAACTTGGGACAAACCAGATTCGGAAAGATGAAATGTGGTCAGATTTGGAAATGGGGGGATGGATCGACCCCCCTCCATATGGTTATTTGGACCTTCCGAGTCTGGTGATGGGCTATCAGAGGATTGGAGTAGCCGAAGTCTCCAAGCTTTGTGGAAATTTGAAGTGGTATTATTTGCTGTCTGGCTTGGGCAATGGGTTTGGGATGGACTTGCTGCAAAGGGTCAAAAGCATTTTCTTGCTGGAGCATCCACGACTGGAAAGGAATCATCAACAAGAGTGGCGAAAGGGGCAAGAAAGAGACTTGAGGGCCTCGGATACGAGACAACCAGGTTAAGGGAGGTTAAAAGGACTGACAATCCCGGGTCCAGGGAGGGGAGGTTGGAAGCTGACTGGACTGAATTTGACTTATTAATTTTTCTTTTTATTTTTAATATTGGGAATGCTTACAAATGTTTGAAGGATGTTGAATGAAATTACATGGCTTAAGTAAGGATTGGTAAATATTGAATATAAGCTATGAGTTTTAAAGTTTTTATATGACAAGAGGGAAAATAGAATAAGGAAACGTAATGACAGATTGTTATGAAAAAACAGAAAGGATTTGCTGTAAAAATTAAAAATTAAGAAACAAAAGAGGGGAGGAGGAGGAAGTCTAGAAAGGAAGTCAATAGAGATTGTAAAGGACTTTATATTTTTGTTTTTCTGTTTCTCTTTTTTTCTTTCTTTCTTTGCGGCTGGGTTTTCTTTTCTTTTTTGTTTATGTACTATTTTTGTTTTTTGTATCTCAAAATTTTTTTTTCTTTTTGGAAACTTTTGTTGTTATTTTTTGAAAATTCAATAAATATCAATTATAAAAAAAAGAAAAAGAAAACCGCCTCTCCCACGCCAACGTCTTTGTCAGCCTCGCCAACCTCCGCAGGTAAGGAAGGCCTCCTGTGCTTGATATAATAATGTAATAATAATAATTTATTTATATGCTGCCCATCTGGCTGGGTTTCCCCAGCCACTCTGGGCAGCTCCCAACAGAATATTAAAAACACGATAAAACATCAAACATTAAAACCATCCCTAAACAGGGGCTGCCTTCAGATGCCTTTTAAAAGTCAGATAGTTGTTTATTTCCTTGACATCTGACGGGAGGGCGTTCCACAGGGCGGGCGCCACCACCAAGAAGGCCCTCTGCCTGGTTCCCTGTAACCTTACTTCTCGCAGGGAGGGAACTGCCAGAAGGCCCTTGGAGCTGGACCTCAGTGTCTGGGCTGAACGATGGGGGTGCAGACACTCCTTCAGGTCTACGTACAGGACCGCCTCTCCTGGTATGCCCAGTGGAGGACCTTAAGGTCCACAAATGACAACACTTTGAAAGTCCCAGGTCGCAAGGTGGTTAGATTGGTCTCAACTAGGGCCAGGGCCTTTTCAGTACTGGCCCCGACTTGGTGGAACGCTCTGTCACAAGAGACCAGGGCTCTGCGGGACTTGACATCTTTCCGCAGGGCCTGCAAGACAGAGCTGTTCCGCCTGGCCTTTGGTTTGGACTCAGTCTGACCCTTATGTTTCCCTCCCCTTATGGTTTTGATCTATGGGCTACTATTAAAATGAGGCTGCATTTTAAATTGTATTTTAACCTGTATTTTAAATTGTTTTTTCCCCTCTCCCCCCCATTATGTTTTTATTGTAATTGTACTTGTGTTAGCCGCCCTGAGCCTGGCTCTGGCCAGGGAGGGCAGGGTATAAATAAAAATTTATTACTATTATTATTATTATTACTGGGTCGAGGCTGTTTAGGGCTTTAAAGGTCAGCACCAACACTTTGAATTGTGCTCGGAAACATACTGGGAGCCAATGTAGGTCTTTCAGGACCGGTGTTACCGTATTTTTCGCTCTATAAGACGCACCAGACGACAAGACACACCTAGTTTTTGGAGGAGGAAAACAAGAAAAAAAATATTCTGAATCTCAGAAGCCAGAACAGCAAGAGAGATAGCTGCGCAGTGAAAGCAGCAATCCCTCTTGCTGTTCTGGCTTCTGTGATAGATGCGCAGCCTGCATTCACTCCATAAGACACACACACATTTCCCCTTACTTTTTAGGAGGGAAAAAGTGAGTCTTATAGAGCAAAAAATACAGTATGTGGTCTCGGCGGCCGCTCCCAGTCACCAGTCTAGCTGCCGCATGGTGAAGGCATGCAACTCTCAGCAGCTATCCATGAGCAGAGACACCCACATGCGCAATTTCAACCAGCCTGCCTTGAAACGCGTTCGGTTCAAAATCTTCCTGCATTGCTGGGTGTCGGACTAGATGCCCCTTGATGTCCCTTCCAACTCTACAATTCTCTGATTCCATAAGATGTGATCGTACCGTACTTGCTATCACATTGTAGTTTTGGTATTCCCGTTATCAAATTGCTCTCGAGATTGATTTTTAGATGTATCGCCGTTTTTGTTGTTGCAAGTTGCTTTGATTTTTTTGTGGGCTGAAAGGTGGCTTGCAAATAAAATAATGGCGCTTCTTTAATTACCGTATTTTTCGCTCCATAAGACGCACTTTTTCCTCCTAAAAAGTAAGGGGAAACGTCTGTGCGTCTTATGGAGCGAATGCGTGGTCCCTGGAGCCGAATTGCCTAGGGGCGAAAAGCAGATCATGCTTTTTTAAAAAAAGAGGGAAGGGGGTGTTGAAACAAAGCTGCTGATTGTTTGCGGATCGGGGAGAGAGATAAGGAATGCTAGAGATAAAGGAGGCTGCCTGGGAGGGGGGAGGTAAAGACAGTGAACTTGCAAGGAGAGGAGACAGGAAGATTAAAGCAATGAGGAGAGAAATTAGAAGGAGCAAAAAACTGCTCCAGCTAAGGAAAAGACACTAAGGCAAACAAGAGGGAAGGGAGTATTGAAACAAAGCCGCTGAGCAGCTGATTGGCAAGGGATCGGGAGATAAGGGACTCTAGAAATAAAGTAGGCTGCCTGGGAAGGGGAAGGAAAAAACACATGGATCCTCAGGATTTTTGCATTGGGCCACCCCGAATTCTTCATCAGATCACATAGCATGTCCATGGCTACAGCCTGCACCAAAAAAAATCACGCACCGTTTCGTGGGGCCGCAATGGCGCAAAAACATGGTTACAATGCACGGATCCACATGGATTCTCAGGATTTTTGCATTGGGCTACCCCAAACTCACCGTCAAATCACATATCATGTCTGTGGCCACAGCTTGAACCATAAAAATCATACATCCACTGTTTCATTCAGAATATTTTTTTCTTGTTTCCTCCTCTAAAAAATAGGTGCGTCTTATGCAGCGAAAAATACAGCATTTACCAGAAGGCTGCAGATTAAAAGCATTGGTTGGGAGAAGAGATGGAACTCAGAGGCAGAACATCTGCTTGCATGCAGTGGGTCCTTGACTCAGTAGAAGGCAGCTTCTCAACTAAAATTAATTCCGCTTCTTCCTGACGTCACTGCCTTGTTTGTTGCATTATATTCTGCATTATATTATTTTTCTAATGATATATAATCTTATGGTATTACTCTTTTAAAAGGCTGCTGTTATGCGCCATCAAACCTCAGAAATACATATTTTCAAAAAGGTTTCCGAATTTGGCTGCTGGCGTACATTTGTGTTACGTATATCTGTTATCTGTATGTGTTGAGGTCACACAATCCATTACATTTGCAAGAGAGACAACAGGACCACTTTGATTCCACTCCCAACCCCATTAACACTTTCACACTGTTTTGACGTAAATTTGTTCCTTTTATTGGAGAAAAAAGTCATTTTAGAAAATGGTTGTTCACAGAAGGGATAGAAGAGATTTTTCAGCACGAATCAAATGCACCAGATGGGACAAAAAACAGATGGAATGGATTTTAAACCCCTCCTTGTTGTTTTCTTTTACTAACTCCTGCTGTTGCCTTTGTCCTGAAATACACCCTGGCAGATTTACTCAGCTTCCTTCCCAGGTCTCGCTCCCATCCAATAAAAGGTTTTCTTATTTAAAAAATCATTTTCCTTCCGCCTGATTGATAAATATATATAAAAAAATCAAAACTTGCTTGCAAATGTACAACGTTGGCTTAATAATGCAAGTCCTGTCTTGAATCCCTAACATAAAAACTAAGAATCCTTTCGCAGCCAGCAGCCAAGACAAAAATTAATTCAGCAGAGCTTTTGTGATAAATGCTGCGTGGTGCAGGGCTGCCTCCTAAAGCAGTTGCCAGCTTAAAATAAAAATAATTCTACAGAGGGTTATGCAAACTCCCCGCTTCTGAGAGTCCTTAGCAGGTCCACCTTCATAGGAGCAAAGGAACCTGATGGAGCAGGTTGAAGACGTTCTCAAAGCAAGGCAAAGCGAATCCTGGCTGGATCTTTGCATCTGTTTTGTATGTCTGAAATTTAAAATCTTTTCTCCCCACCTCTGGAGAGAGACAGAAAAAGGAAGAACAGAAAGAGAAAGAGAAAGAGAAAGAGAAAGAGAAAGAGAGAGATCTCAGGACAAAAACAGAGGCTAACATTCGTTGCTATTTTGCTTTATTGGCTTAAACTCAGCATGAGCCCAGCGGGTAAGGTGGACGCCGGACGGAGCCTCCTACTTTATCTTCCTCTCTGTGAGCAGGCTGTCGTGAAGCTTGGAGACTTCTGGCTCAAAGGCTTCCATGACTAAGGTGCCGTTGCAGTCGAAGAATTTGGCGATGGACATGGTGAATTCCGCCTCCCTTTGCTGCCTGGTTCTGCCGCTGATGAATGTCATCTTCAGGGTGTATTTGTCGTCAAACCTAGAGAGATGGTTGCAGGAGCAGAGAGAGCTGGAGGTCAAGCCATTTAAGTTCTGCTTGCAGCTGCATTACAGAGCTGAACCTAATAGTTCTGATGTTTTATTGTATTTTTAATATTTTGTTGGGAGCCACCCAGAGTGGCTGGGGAAACCCAGCCAGATGGGTGGGGTATAAATTATTATTATTATATTAGTCTGGTTAAACAGATCAGAATCTCACTAGACGCCCTGCACTGCTTATCGAGTCCAGCATCCTGTTTTCACAGTGGCCAATCAGGAGCCTTTGGGAAATCAGGAGATTTTGGTAATCCTGCAAGCAGGATTCTGATTTCCAGAAACTGGTATTATTGCTATTACTATTATTTATTAAATTGGTATACCACCCTATGCCTCCAGGTCTCAGGGTGGTTACAACATAAAACCACAATATAAAAAAACACAAAATACATAATGAAAAAACAACCCAATAACACCCCTCCCCCCCCAACACTTTTAAAAAGGGCATAGCCAACCTAATAGCACTCAATAACTTGTGATAGTTCAGCCAGAATCTCACTGGGGAAGGATGAACCACTCCAGGGCCAGCATGATTTTCCACAAGCAGTTCCCACTGTCCTCATAGAAAACTAGCCCGAGAGAGCAAATCCTAGCTCTGTACGTGGAAGGGATTTTTCTGCATGCAGTTTTCCCTGGGCGAGAGCCTCCTACCTCCAGTTTAGCACTGTGGTGAAGAACAAGCTTTCAGCAGCGTGATCCTGCAAAGCCAAGAATTATCTGTTTCAAACTGTCACTATGTTTTCTTAGGGATAACGGTGATCGTGTTTCAAGTGCTTAATCTGAATAATTAGCGGCGAGGCAGTCTGCAGGACTGTGAGGGCAACATTTGGCTGCTTGCAACGGCAAGGTTAAGGTTCCTTTAAGGTCTTACAAGCGCAATACCTCAAGGACCGCCTTTCTTTATATAAACCATCCTGGAATCTGCATTCATCACGAGGCCCTTCTTTGTGTGCCTCCTCCATGTGAAGTCCAGAGGGTGGCAACACAGGAACAGGGCCTTTTCTGCAGTGGCTCCCCATTTGCGGAGTGCTCTTCTATATACAGTCGTACCTTGGAAGCCAAATGTCTTGGCTCCCGAACGATCGAAACCCCGAAGTGAGTGTCCCGGTTTTCAAACAATTTTCGGAAGCCGAACATCCGGCATGGTTTCTGATTGGCTGCAGGATGCTCCTGCGGCCAATCGGAAGCCACACTTTAGTTTTTGGATGGTTCCAGGAGTCGAACGGACTCCCGGAACGCATTCTGTTCGAAAACCAAGGTACCACTGATCTTTAGGGGCCAGGCAAAAATGTTCCTCTTCAACCAGGCCTTGGGCAAATTGATATTCTATAGCCTTATGAATGTGTCTGTGAGAAGTGGGGGTTATTGTTTGGATTTACTTGTTGTTATCCTGTATTTTATTCTGTGAACTGCCCTGAGATCTATTGATTAAGGGCTATATATAAATTTAATAAATATAAAGCCCTAAATGGCCTCAGCCCAGTTGACCTGAAGGAGCATCTCCACTCCCATCGTTCAGCCCGGACGCTGAGGTCCAGCTCCGAGGGCCTTCTGGCGGTTCCCTCCCTGCCCTGCGAGAAGTGAGGTTACAGGGAACCAGGCAGAGGGCCTTCTTGGTAGTGGCGCCCGCCCTGTGGAACGCCCTCCCATCAGATGTCAAAGAAATAAACAACTATCAGACTTTTAGAAAACATCTGAAAGCAGCCCTGTTTAGGGAAGTTTTTAATGTTTGATCGTGTTTTTAATATTCTGTTGGAGCCGTCCAGAGCGGCTGGGGAAACCCAGCCAGATGTGCGGGGATAAATAAATTATTATTATTAATTATTATAGTAAATAAAGGAGGTGGCACCGCTGGCAAACAGGAAGAGGGCAGAAATGGGGAACTGAGGACGGCAAGGCATGGCCGTGCATGCTCTATGAGGGAGACGTTGCTTCGGCACCAAGGAGCAACATTTGTGATCTGAGCGAACTCTGCAAATTAACTAGAGCTGCGCCACATTTGCTTACTGGGCCCAATTTATTCTGGTCACCAAGGAAATATGCAAATCTCAGGAACCTCCCGTCCTATACCTTGGAAACTCTGCTCAGCTGCCCACCTCTGGCTTATGCCGTTTCAGCTTATGCAAGAACACAGTGTCAGACTACTGGGTCCATCTGGCTCAGTACTGTCTACACTGACAGGCAGCCGCTCCCTAGTGTTTCAGACGGGTCCTTGCGGGTCCTGCTGGGAGATGCCAGGCATGTAAGCAGAGACAGGCGCTCTGACTCTGAGCTACATGCACAACATCCAGGGCTAGAAACTTGTGCTTCCTCCAGACAAATGACCGCCGAGATTCTCAGGGCGCCCAATTCGATAGCCGAAACCAGTCCCTACAGCTGCGGGGTACAAATACAGAAATGGAGAGAATACTCAAAAGCCCTGAACATCGTTAGAAGGTTTCTCCCAGGGCGGGAGGGGAGAGAAGAGGCTGGTACCTTTTCAGACTCGAGGAAAGCTGCCAGATGTCATCGGGATCCATTCCAGCTGGATCTTTCCTATGTGCTACCAGGAAGATGCTCTTCTCCTTATACGAGGTATAGATGGTCAGAATCCCCATCATAACAAAATACGTGGGGAGACATTAAGGAAAAGAGTGTCGGAAAAGAGAATTATTGCCCTATAAAAGCCACGGGCCCGGATCTGACGGTTTTGCAAACGAGGAATGCCACCGGGCTCAAGCCCACTTGACGGGAGCAGCAATAAAACTGCCAGTGCATTCGCAAAGCTAAGCAATGGTCCAGTAGGGTTTCAAATTGGATTGGAGGATGCCTGCATTTGGGGCGGGTTGGACTAGATGACACTCTGGATCCCTTCCAACTCTGCAATCCTATACAAAATCGCAAGAAATCAGAAAGGGGGTTTCCCAGCAGTGTGGCCCTTTCCTCTTGTGTGGACAGGGTTCTGGAGTAAGGTTCCATGTGATTAGGAAGTCATGTATTACTATGACTTTATTGAATTTTCTTGATGAATTCATTGCTGTTGATTCAGGTAGGTAGCCGTGTTGGTCTGACACAGTAGAAATATATTTTTAAAATGTCCAGTAGCACCTTAGAGACCAACTAAGTTTGTTCTTGGTAAGAGCTTTCGTGTGCTTGCACACTTCTTCAGATACCTCCAGTATTCTTCAGTTTCTGAAGAAGTGTGCATGCACACGAAAGCTTATACTATGAACAAACTTAAAGGGACCCCTGACTGTTATGTCCAGTCGCGGACGACTTTGGGGTGGCGGTCTCTAAGGTGCTACTGGACAATGTTTTTATTTTTTATTTATATTTCATTGTTGTTGTTTGCTTTATATGCCATTGCATTTGAGATTCTAGTGAATATCAACGTACAGTGGTACCTAGGTTTATGAACTTAATCCGTTCCAGAAGTCTGTTCTTAAACCGAAAACATTCTTAAACCGAGGCACGCTTTCCCTAATGAGGCCTCCTGCTGCCGGCGCCCTTCCACCGTTCGGATTCCATTCTTAGACCAAGGTAAAGTTTGCAAACCGGGACACTACTTCCGGTTTTGCAGAGTTCGTAAACCGAATCGCTCATAAACAGAGCTGTTCTTAAACCGAGGTACCACTGTATAAGTTGCATTTTCAGCTGAATCCGGGGAAACCACTTGAAGCATCTGTTGTGTCAAACTACAGTGGTACTTGGGTTTGCAACCACTTTGGATTACAAGTGTTTTGGATTACAATCACATCAAACCCGGAAGTGTGTGTCCCTTTTTTTGGATTACAACCAATTGGGAGGGGGGGCATTGGTGAAAGCGCGCCTTAGGTTACAACCTGTTTTGGTTTACAACTGGACCTCCTGAATGGATTATGGTTGTAAACCAAGGTACCACTGTATTTCAATTGCTTTTGTTTGATTTGCCCATTGCAAACAGCTGAAAGCCTGTAAATTTTTGATAATAAACCCGATTTGCAATGGGAGTTGAATAATTTTGATTGCAACTGTAGTTCAACCGTTTGCAATGCAGGAATCTTTGCCCAACGTGGGGCTCAAACCCACAAACCTGAGATTAAGAGTCTAATGCTCTAGCAACTGAGCTATTCCAGGTCTTTCCACAACTGCACTTTCCGTCTTGGGCAAGCGGGGCGGGAGCAGCTTTGACAAGACACCCTCTTAAGGGCAGGCTAGATCTGATTTCGGCAACCAAGCCATGAAGGGGAATGAATGCTTGGGGGAGGCTGAGGCCCCAGCCCCCCAAAAAGGATATGATACAACACAGACAGCAAGAACTGGCTTGGATTCGGGGAAGGGGTGAAGGTAATCCCATATTAAAGCCACAATGGCGAAGAGGCAAGAGATTGTGCAGATAACAAGGCGGCCATCTATCAGGCAGAAGTTCTCCACGTACTTGTACTTTTCCAACAGAACCTAGAGGGAGGGAAAAAAGCGCATTTAACAAAGGAAAGAGCAAACCCAATCTAGACCTCGAGGAGTCATAGGATCAGAGCGATGGAGAGATACAGGAATTTAGCAAAGTATTCCCCAACGGACTGCTGAGGAGGCTAGCAAGGAGGAGTAACGAAGCCTGCAAAACCATGAAGGAAATACCTGGCTATTCCACAAGGGAGGGGAAATGGTACCTTTTTGGCGGAATCGTCCAACGAGTTCTTCACGGCTGAACCATCCCACTTGTCCACTTTTACAGGTTTGTCATCAATCTTCCACTGTGGGGTAAAGGAACAAAAACACAAGCAAGAGTTGCATCAATGAGTGCACCTCAATTATCACAGGTGAAAGCGGTCGCTCATCTTGTGCGTCTGTTAAATTTATAATCATCTCGTCTATATGTCAACAGCAGCGTCTGGCTGGCTCCCAGACCATTTCCAATTCGGGGCCCGATGAATGCTTTAGGCGCAGCATGCTGACAGCGCTGACAGCGACAGAATAATCTGTGCTGCAGAGAGGAACACCAGGTACAGCTTGCCAAAGTCCTCTGCCTGCAATTGCCATATTTTTCGCCCTATAGGACGCACTTTTTCCCCTCCAAAAATGAAGGGGAAATCTGGGTGCATCCTATGGGGCGAATGCAGGCTTTCGCTGAAGCTTGGAGAGCGAGAGGGGTCGGTGCGCACCGACCCCTCTGGCTCTCCAGGCTTCAGGAAGACATCCGCAGCCTAGGCAGCCCTGCGGGAGTTCCCGCAGGGCTGTCTAGGCTGCGGATAGCAGCCTGTTTCCCGGAGCGCCGGGCGCGCTGAAAACAGAGCGCCTGGCGCTTCGGGAACACATCTGCAGCCTAGGCAGCCCTGCGGGAGTTCCCCGCAGGGCTCCCCACCCTGCAGATAGCAGCCTGCCGCCATCGGCCAGCCCCACAAGCTCGGGGGACAGCAGGGAGGCGCAGCGCCGCCATCCCGCTGTTCCTTGACCTGGTTCAGTTTCCCCGACCTGGTTTTGGGGGGGGGGAAATAAAGGAAAAAAAAAATTTCCTTTATTTCCCCCCCAAAAAACTAGGTGCGTCCTATGGGACGGAAAATACGGTAAACGTGACGATAAATACACTGGATTACATCCAACAAGGTCATACTCGAGGGGAGATACACTAAAACCAATGGGCTTAAGTTAGCCATGACTAATGCAAATCCATTGATTTCAATGGGCTTATCTCGTGTATGACTTAGCTGGATACAGCCCACGTAAAATGTCCATAGTAGTTTCCCCTGCAGTCAGGGGTTGATTGATCGACCTCACATGTCATGGGGACCCCTATAACACTGACCATTACAAGAGGAGACGCCACAGCTCAGAGGCAAGCAAATCACAAGTCTTCCCAAGATCCCAGGCTCTAGCACAGGGGTTGGCAAAGTTTTTGTGGCATGGGCTAGTTCTCCTTCCGGCGCAGAGGATGCGAGCGCAGCTTCCAATTGGCTGCAGGAGCTTCCTGCAGCCAATAGGAAGTCGGCCAGCGTCGTGGAAGGCGGTCCCCGCTCTGCTGTGCCAGTTTAGCATGACACACGGGAGCCGACCGAGCGGGCGTCCATGGGCCGGTTAAATGACCCCCATGGGCTGCTTGTGGCCCATGGGCCTTAGGTTGCCAACCCCTGCTCTAGCATCTCAGGGCCAAACAAGATGTGGTGTTGATGTCTTCAGCCCTGACGCGCTTCATTTTATGCTACAGGGTGTTTGCTTGTGAGCACAGCCAGCTTGGGACCATGCCACACACACACTGCAATAAGAAGATTGGAGCAGGACTGTGGTAGGGCAAAGAGTGAAAGCCCCTCTCCCCATGCACAGAGAAAATACGGGGCTAAATGATCCATTTTGCATGTTCAAACAAAAAACTCTCCTTCACATTTGGTTATAAACAGTTGTTAAGATACATATGCTTGTGGAACAGTGTAGCAGGAATCAACACAGGCTTTTGAAAAGATGCATAAGCTTGAAGCATAAGCCCTAGGCTGCATTAAATGAAGTTTTACTTACTGTAATGAATAGATTGAAGTTAGTCACGTCCCTCAATTCCTACTCCTGAGTATGACTGAATGGAGCCCTGCCTAATAAAGATACTAAGAGCTAATGTGGCCTAGCGGTCAGAGGCTAAGCCATGAACTTCCTTCCTCCTCCCATTTCTGCAGGTTGCTTCCTGTTACTCGCTACAATCCTAAAACTGAGATACACATCACCCCACTTAAAGTACACATCATCCTTCTTGAGACAGAGGGAGCGTTTCAACTGCTCAAGGTTCAAAGGGAATTCTGAATCCATCCCTTTCCAACACGGGAGACAGAAAGCAAGCCTTCCTGTGGATAATATGATATAATCCTATGCAGGAGGGCAACAATTCATATTTGTTCAAGACTCTGGAAGTCTAGAGCAGCTGCCCATCAGTGTAGGTGATACTGACACCTCTCACCATCAGAAAGTTCTTCCTGATGTTTAGTCAGGATTCGCCTTTCTTGTCTAGCCATGGGTTCGAGTCCTACTCTCCAGAGCTGGAGAAGACAAGCTTGCTCCATCTTTCACGTGATGTCCCTTCATATATTTGATGACAAGGATCACATCTCTCAGTCTCCTCTTTCCCAGGCTAAACATCCCAAGCTCCTTCAACTGTTCCTCATAAGGCTGAGTTTCCAAACCCCTGATTATCTTAGTCGCCCTTCCTTGCACACCTTCCAGCTTGTCAATAACCTTCTTGTTCAGAAGTTTTTAATGTGTGACATTTTAACATATTTTTAATCCTTGTTGGAAGCTGCCCAGAGTGGCTGGGGAAACTCAGCCAGATGGGCAGGCTACAAATAAAAATTATTATTATTATTATTATTATTATTATTATTATTATGCTGCAGGGGAGGGAGAGAACAGCCTCCTCCTCCATGAGCATCCCTCTTTCAAAGCCAACGCAGCTTGTGGCCACCAACGACATCAAGGAACACACGCACGTAGGTCAGGCCAAAGGGACACCCCCTAACCCCCCACCCAGCATCCTGACATGATAGCAGTGGCACGAGAGCTCAGTGGGTAGAGCACAAGGCTGTTGCTCTCAGGGTCGCGGGCTGGAGCCCCACGTTGGGCGAAAGATCCCTGCATTGCAGGGGGTTGGAATAGATGACCCTTGTGGCCTCGCAGCCGCTGCACCTCTGCGCTTTTGCCTCCTCAGAAGCCACTCAAACTGCCTAACTCTTGTGGCAGTGAGTTCCACGCACTAACGGCGTGAAGAACCAGGAATTGGGGGAGGGGGAAAGCTGTCTTGTGGTTCCTCAGGGAATGGATGGATGGAGCCTAATAATAATAATTTATTATTTATACCCCGCCCATCTGGCTGGGTTTCCCCAGCCACTGTGGGCGGCTTCCAACTGAATATTAAAAACAATACAGCATCAGACATTAAAAACTTCCCTAAACAGGGCCGCCTTCAGTTGTCTTTTAAAAGTAAAATAGTTGTTCATTGCCTTGACATCTGATGGGAGGGCATTCCACAAGGCAGGCGCCACTACCAAGAAGGCTCTTTGCCTTGTTCCCTGTAACCTCACTTCTCGCGGGGAGAGAACCACCAGAAGGCCCTCGGCGCTGGACCTCAGTGTCTGGGCTGAACAATGGGGGTGGAGACGCTCCTTCAGGTCTACTGGACCGAGGCCATTTAGGGCTTTCAAGGTCAGCACCAGCACTTTGAATTGTGCTCAGAAACGTTCCTTAGCCTACGGAACTCCCCGCCACTGCCTTCGTCCAGGCGCGCGTGTGGGGTTTTTTTTTTTTTGCTCCCTCCTCCCTCGCCGAGGCCCTTCCCGCGCGGCTCCCTCGAAGCAGAACGACCCCCGCCCGCTTAGCCCGGTCCACCTTGTCCAATATCCCGTTCTTGTTAGCGCCGCCGCCGCCTCCTCCTCCAGCGCCGCCGCCTTTCGCCGCCATCTTGCCTCCTCCTCCCTGCTTAGCGACCTGTTCGCCGCTGATTGGCCGGGAGCGGGAGGAACTGGGCGCGCAAGGGACGGCGGGATTGGTAGTTTGGAACGCGGCGGCGGGCGTGGAGGGAGCGAGGCCGCCCGTGTGCGCGTGCGCATTGGGGGGTTTGCCTGTTTTGTTTTAAAATGGACTGTGGAATTCTGGGAAGAACTAGGCGTGCCCTGCGCGACAATGGCCCGGAGTCTCCTTCGCCGCCGCCCCGCGTGGCATTCTGGGAGGCGTAGTTCCCCCCCCGTCTTCCGGCTTCCTCGTTACCGTGGCAACCGCGTGGCCGGGCGAGGACATGGGAACCGGGGCCTCCTCGTAAAGGGGGAAGGGAAAGAAGGCGAGCGGGGGGTGGGGGGTGGTCTTGCTCCGGAGGGGGCGGAGTAGCCTGACTGCTGCGGGGCAAAGGCCAGGTAAAGCGTGGTAGAGAATGAAAACAACCCCCCTCTTTCTCTCTCTCTGTCCCCGCCTTTCTAGCCTTTGGAGGTCTTCGGCCTCTATGGCTTACCCACCCCCTAATGCTGCCTCACACCTGGACAGGTGACCCTGGACAGGTGAGGGGGTCGGGCTCAGGGTGCAGAGCCCCAGGCCTGCCCTCAACCCCCCTCAGCTGTGAAGATGGCTGGGGGTGTTGGGGACCAGGAAGAGATGCTGCACACGCGCTCCCTCATTCTTCCTCAGCAGCCCAATGGACTACCTCACAGGGGTGCTGTGAAGACAAAATGGGCCAGCCATATCTATCTATCTATCTATCTATCTATCTATATTTCTATTTCTTTATCAGCAACCCAGTGGACTACCTCACAGAGGTGCTGTGAAGACAAAATGGGCCAGCCATATCTATCTATCTATCTATACAGTGGTGCCCTGCAAGACAAATGCCTCGCAAGACGAAAAACTCGCTAGACGAAAGAGTTTTCTGTTTTTTGAGTCGTTCCGCAAGACGAATTTCCCTATGGGCTTGCTTCGCAAGACGAAACGTCTTGCGAGTTCTTGCGAGTTTGTTTCCTTTTTCTTAAAGCCGCTAAGCCGTTAATAGCCGCTAATCCGCTAATAGCCGTGCTTCGCAAGACGAAAAAACCGCAAGATGAAGAGACTCGCGGAACGGATTAATTTCGTCTTGCGAGGCACCACTGTATTTCTATTTCTTTATCAGCAACCCAATGGACTACCTCACAGGGGTGCTGTGAAGACAAAATGGGCCAGCCATATCTATCTATCTATCTTTCTATCTATCTATTTCCATGTCTATGTCTATGTTTTCTATTTCTATTTCTTTCTTAGCAGCCCAAGGGACTACCTTGCAGGGGTGCTGTGGAAATAAAACAGGCCAGCCATATCTATATATCTATTATATATATTTCCATTTCTTTATCAGCAACCCAAAGGACTACCTCGCAGGGGTGCTGTGAAGACAAAATGGGCCAGCCATATCTATCTATCTATATTTCTATTTCTTTCACAGCAGACCATCTCGCAGGGTGCTGTGGAAATAAAACGGGCCAGCCATATATATATTTCTCTCTCTTCTTTTCTGTTTCCATTTCTCAGCAGCCCAAGACACTACCTCACAGGGTTGCTGTGAAGATACAGCAGGCCAGTCATTCTCTCATCTGTCTATATCTATCTGTCTCTCTCTGTCTCTCTCTTTCTATTTCTTTCTCAGCAGCCCCAGGCACTGGGTGGCTGTGAAGCAGTGTTTTCACCTTTGTTCTGGGAAAATACAGGACAGGACCATGGGCATAGCTAGCAGATTCAGAGTGAAATGTCTCAACAAGAGTTGTTTTAAATTACGGTACTTTCTTTTGACCCCAAGGGCTCAGAAAAATATGTCAAAATCTTTCTACAATTTCTACTTTTAGTTAAATTTTTATTTATTTACTTGATTTAGGTGGGGACAGCTGCCCCCCTGCTTCCCCCTGGCTACACCCATGGGGGAGTTCCCCACCTGGTGCTGAAGTGACTTCAAAGCAATCAAGTACAATCTATTGCAGCCAACAGGGTGGCCCCTCTGGAATTTGTCACACACACACACACACACGTGAATGTGTAAATCTACCTGTGCTTGGCTACCCAAAACTTAAATACATGACCTTTTGCACATCCTTTCAAACACATGCATTTGGAGAGGATCCTTAACTTGGCAGAGAGAGAGAGAGAAGTACAGGACAAAACTGTATCAATAAAGGATGTAGCATTTTACATCGAAATATGGGACAATCCTGTATTATGCAAGACAGGTGGCGAGCCTACAGTGTGAAGATAAAATGGGCCAGTCATATCTATATTTCTCTCTCTTTCTGTTTCTCTCTCAGCAGCCCAAGGCACTACCTCGCAGGGTTAATGAGAAGATAAAATGGGATAAGGGAAGGGGCTGGGATCATACTCTAGGACAGTGAAGGCTGTGTGAGATGGAAAGGCAAGGATTGTAAGCTTGCAAGATTCCAGTCCTCATGGCAGCTGTGGGGTGCCTGGAAGGTAGAATTGTAGTTGGAGAGGTGTGGGTAGCTCAGTCCGCAGAGCACAAAGAGGGTCGTGAGTTCGAGCCCCTTGTTGGGCAGAAGATTCCTGCATTGCAGGGGGGTTGGACCAGATGACCCTCAAGGCCCCTTCCAACTACAGTCCTATGATTGTGAGAGAGAGAGTGAGAAGGAAGGAGGGAGGGGTGCCTGGCTGATTGCAACTGAAGCAAATGGGAGAGGCTGCATTTTCCCTGTGCAGGTTGCTGATGTGTTGCCCCCCTCAAAAAAATAATAATACAGTGGTGCCCCGCAAGACGAAAAACTCGCTAGACGAAAGAGTTTTCCGTTTTTTGAGTCATTCCGCAAGACGAATTTCCCTATGGGCTTGCTTCGCAAGACGAAACGTCTTGCGAGTTCTTGTGAGTTTGTTTCCTTTTCTTAAAGCCGCTAAGCCGTTAATAGCCGCTAAGCCGCTAATAGCCGCTAATAGCCGTGCTTCGCAAGACGAAAAAACCGCAAGACGAAGAGACTCGCGGAACGGATTAATTTCGTCTTGCGAGGCACCACTGTACAGTGGTACCTCAGGTTAAGTACTTAATTCGTTCCGGAGGTCCGTTCTTAACCTGAAACTGTTCTTAACCTGAAGCACCACTTTAGCTAATGGGGCCTCCTGCTGCTGCTGCGCCGCCGGAGCCCAATTTCTGTTCTTATCCTGAAGCAAAGTTCTTAACCTGAAGCACTATTTCTGGGTTAGCGGAGTCTGTACCCTGAAGCGTATGTAACCTGAAGCGTATGTAACCTGAGGTAACACTGTACAGTCATATCTCGGGTTGCAGACGCTTCGGGTTGCACCAAACTCGGAAGTACCGGAACAGGTTACTTCTGGGTTTCTGTGCAGAAGCGCTAAATCCCACTTTGCGCATGTGCAGAAGCATCGAATCGCGACCCGCGCGTGCACAGATACGGAGCTGCAGGTTGCGAACGTGCTTCCCGCACAAATCACGTTCGCAACCCAAGCGTCCACTGTAATCAGGACTGGAGGGGGAGGGCAGGGGCAAAGTGTTCAAGTACCCCACGCTTGAGGCAGTGTGGTGTAGTGGTTAGAGTGTCATACTATGACTTGGGAAACGGGGGTTCAAAGCCCTACATGGCCACGAAGCTCACTGCCTCTCAGCCTACCCTACCCTGAAGGGTTGTTGCGGGAATTAAATGATGAGTGGGAGAAGCATTTTCTCCTTGAAGAAAAATGTGGGATGTAAATGCAATAAGTAAATAAATAAACAGAGCCCTAATCTTGAAAAAACATACATAGGAAGCAGACGCCATTGTGGATAGATTTCTGCAGGCAAAGCCGTTGCTGGGCCCCTGAGCTACGGCCCTTCCTCTTCCTGCCCCCCATTATATGCTAAAAAATAAATCCCTGCATTTAAGTATCCAGCATGGAGGGCATAATGCTGTCTCCGAGAGCAGACCATTGCTTTTCTTTCAAGGAATGAATGGCAACCATTGATTTACGACGGGAGGAAGTCGCAGCGTGTCCTGCAGAAACACTGATCCTGGCCTGCTTTGACCCCAGTTATCGAGAATCAGCTCTGCTCCTGTCTGGGCAGCCTCCAGCTCCTCAACTCTGTTTCCAACACTAAAGCTGTGGTGTGAAGTTTAAGGAACGGGATTTTATGTGAAGATTCCTACGGCATTTCTTAAGGTACGAAATCTGGAACAGTCCTCTGCCTCAAATTAATGACAACCATTGGGCTAGAGTTCTATGAGGTTTACAGAAGGAGGGGGTCAGACTGTGCCCTGGCCAAAGGCCTGGTGGAACAGCTCTGTCTTGCAGGCCCTGCGGAAAGATGTCAAGTCCTGCAGGGCCCTAGTCTCTTATGACAGAGCGTTCCACCAGATTGGGGCCATGGCCGAAACAGCCCTGGCCCTGGTTGAGGCCAGCCTAACCTCCCTGTGGCCCGGGACCTCCAAGATGTTTTTATTTGAAGACCGTAAGGTCCTCTGTGGGGCATACCAGGAGAGGCGGTCCCGTAGGTATGTGGGTCCTAGGCCGTATAGGGCTTTAAAGGTTAAAACCAGCACCTTAAACCTGATCCTGCACTCCACCGGGAGCCAGTGCAGCTGGTATAGCACCTGGTGAATGTGATCCTGCGGCAAGGACCCCGTACATATTTTATTATATATTGTATTTATATCCCTCCTTCCCCCCCTCTAAGGACCTCTCAATGGCATACGAGATTCCCCTGCTCCTCATTTAATCCCCACAAAACATGCTGTGAAGTAGGTTCAGCTGAGGCAATGACTGGCCCAAGGTCACACACCCAGTGAGCTTCATCATGGCTGAGTGGAGATTCGAACCCTGGTCTCCCAGGTCTTAGTCTGATGCTCTAACCACTACACCACACTGGCTCTCACACACGGGCAGACGGAAGGGGATGAGCCTTCAGCGCACCACCACCGTGCCTTCGGGGAAAGATGGGGTGCTAATCTGATAAGGCCCAAACCATCAAGGCAAGACGTGATTTTTGGGGGTCAGCCCGCGACTTCTAAACAAACGAGGCTGAACTTTGCGACGCTCCTGTCTATACCTCACGTCCCCTGCCATGGTTCCTCCTTGTTCTGTTGCTGGTGCAAGGCAACGGTGAAGAGAAGGTCTTTTCTTGTAGGCGTTCTCTGGGAACGTTGCACCATGGCTGCAGCTTGATGTTAACCCTCACGTCCCCATGTGTCACCCGCATTGCTGACCATCCTCACTGCCGCGATGCCATGGTGCTTGCTGGGCTCTGCCCCTCTGCAGAGGGGGCTGGTGGGAAGGGGGCCTTTGTGTTGTGTCACAGAAGCAAGGCTGCTTTGCTCAGCAAAGACATCACTTGGGTTTACTTAGAGCAGCAGCAGCACATAGAAGTCGCAAGCCCTTATGATGGGGCTTGTGTAGAGGTCAATAGAGATGTAATATTCTGCTTCCAGCCACAAGGACTGTTCTGTTTCCAGTATCAGAGGCCATATGTTGTTGAATCCCAGTTGCTTGGAATCGCAAGTGGGAAGAGGTCCATTGTACCCAGTTCCTACTGGTCCCGCTGTGGTCTAAACCACCGAGCCTCTTGGGCTTGCTGATCAGAAGGTCGGCGGTTTGAATCCGCGCAACGGAGTGAGCTCCCCTTGCTCTATCCCAGCTCCTGCCAACCTAGCAGTTCGAAAGCACGCCAGTACAAGTAGATAAATAGGTACCAGTGTGACGGGAAGGTAAATGGCATTTCCATGCACCCTGGCACTCGTCACGGTCCTCCGTGCACCAGAAGCGGTTTAGTCATGCTGACCACATAACTCGGAAAGCTGTCTGTGGACAAATGCTGGCTCCCTCAGCCTGAAGCAAGATGAGCGCTGCAACCCCATAGTCGCCTTTGACTGGACTTAACCGTCCAGGGGTCCTTTACCTTTTTACCTTACTGGTGGTCTTCCCAGTAAGTATCTGGCTGGCCACTGGGAGGACAGGATGTTGCACTCGATGGGCCATTGGCCTGATCCAGCAGCCTCTTCTTGCATTGTAATGCAAGTTTTGGAACGACTGGCGGTAGACAAGGCCCCGTGTGGGATAGCTGAATGGAGCATTGGACTTGAATTTGGAAGGCTTGGATTCAAACCCCTGATCAGGCATGCATTTCCCTGGATGCCTTGGAGCAAGTCATGCTCTTTCTGCCCTGGCCCGCCTGAGCCGGCATTTGTCCACAGACAGCTTTCCGGGTCATGTTGTCATCATGACTAAACCGCTTCTGCTGCACAGAGGACCGAGATGAGTGCCAGGGTGCACGGAAATGCTGTTTACCTTCCCGTCACAGTGGTACCTATTTATCTACTTGCACTGGTGTGCTTTCGAACTGCTAGGTTGGCAGGAGCAGGGACTGAGCAACGGGAGCTCACTCCGTTGCGCGGATTCAAACCGCCGACCTTCTGATCAGCAAGCCCAAGAGGCTCGGTGGTTTAGACCACAGCGGGACCAGTAGGAACTGGGTACAATGGACCTCTCCCCACTTGCGATTCCAAGCAACTGGGATTCAACAACATATGGCCTCCGATACTGGAAACAGAACAGTCCTTGTGGCCGGAAGCAGAATATTACACCTCTATTGACCTCTACACAAGCCCCATCATACGGGCTTGCGACTGTTTGAGAGGAAAGAATGACATAGCTCCATCTGTACCCTGTGCTCCTCGGAGAAGGGAATCATGCAAACGTGAGAACCCCAAGTACATGCCCACTTTGCCAGGCCCCTAAAGATTCGATCAGTGCCATGCACATTTTCTCATGCTTGTGAGTTTGAGGGTCTGCAGCTGAGTGGCAGATCCCTGGCACCTCCCGTTTAGAAGAAGGGTCCCGGGCATCAGAGCTGGGAAAGGCTTTGGGCAGTGGGGTGGTCAATGTATCGATATAGCATCCCAAACCGGTTTGAAATCCATATCGTGATGTCGGTTTCATAATTCTTGACCTGAGAATATATCATGAATCATTATGTGTGTGTGTATGTGTGCTATGCAAAAATCGGAATGTGGGAAAAACCGTGAAGCCAGCCAATGGTTCTACATAGCTCCATCCTTATTTCAGACAGTGATATATCAGGATATAGCAATGTTCATCTAGTGATATATCACAAAGTTGAAAACCAGCTCCATCCTTATTTCAGACATTGTGATATATCAGTATATCACAGTGTTTAGATGGTGATACAGTGGTACCTCGGGTTAAGAACTTAATTCATTCTGGAGGTCTGTTCTAAACCTGAAACTCTTCTTAACCTGAAGCACCACTTTAGCTAATGGGGTCTCCTGCTGCTGCTGCTGCACCGCCGCTGCACGATTTCCGTTCTCATCCTGAAGCAAAGTTCTTAACCCGAGGTAATATCTCTGGGTTAGCGGAGTCTGCAACCTGAAGCGTATGTAACCTGAAGCGTATGTAACCTGAGGTACCACTGCATACCATGAAGCTGAAAACCAAATATCGCCCAGCACTACTGTTCACCTCTACATAGTTCCATCCTTATTTCAGTCATCGTGATATATTGCGATGTTTAAAACAGCCCTAGTGAACTGTCACAGCAGACAGTCCTGGATTCAGTCAACCAGTGATCTGATGCAGGCAGCTTCATGACACGAGCCCAATCTTTGGCCCACCCAGAGCAATATTGTCAACACTTCCTGGGGCAGTTGTAGCTAAGCAGTATATAGATTATCCGAACAAAGAAAGCAGCATCAGTCCATCAGTCCGTTGGTCATCCTTTTGCGTAGCTAATGGCCATTACAAAATCCAAACAGGCTTTAAAATCTCATCAAACGTCTAAATAAAAAGAGAACCTGGATCCAACCCAACATGTATATAGACATGTTGGGTTGGATCCAGACTTATTCGTTGTGCTTCGATTAGACCTATTGAAATCAATGGGACAAGCCGGTCATGAAAACAGGGACATCCTAAGGAAAAGCGGGACATTCCAGGATTGAATCAGAAACTGGGACCGCTTCTGTAAATCTGGGACTGTCCCTGGAAAATAGGGACGCTTGGAGAGTCTGCTGGTGTAGGAGAGGTGTGACTCAGTATAAGGAAGCTTTCTGTTTTCCTAGGGTGCTAAAAAAACATTGATTTAGCCTCGAGAGCCTTGCTGTTCTAGGAAATCTTTGATCGCTTTCTCCTGCCTTTAGGTGCTAGAATGACAACATGGCTACCAAAGGAATGTATAAACTGGACGATGGAAACTGCTGCCCCACCAACTGCTTTCCGGCCCGGAGCCTTTTGCGGTCCAGATACGAGGAAGGTAACCCATCCCGACGTTGATAACGTGGAAATAAATTTCCTGGAGATCAATAGGGCTCCCTCTTAGGCCTTCCCCCACCTCAAGGGCAACTTGGGTGCTGCACCCCAGTGGTGGGTGAGGCTAGAGACAGGAATGGGGAGAGCAGCAGATGTCCTGTAGATGTCCTGTTCTCCCTGGGCTCCTGGGCAAACACGGGACTCAACATAAGCAACACCAATAGGGTAACATCCAGGACCTGATCATGGTCAGGGTCCAGGCTAGGACAGACCACAACAAGAGTGAGGCAAGAGGCAAAGTCAGAGCCGTCCATGGTCAGATTCGGTGCAGGCAGGCAATCCAGTAGCAGGCAAGGCTACTTTGGGGCAAGTACTCTTTTGTGAGGGAACCCCAGCAGAGATTTAACACTGCAAAACATGCAGCACAGAAAAGCTTTAGAATGTGCCCTTCCAGTAAGTCCTAAAGTGTGCCCTTCTCAAAGCTCTTTCCAAGGTTTCCCACTTCCCCAGCACCGAGATAGACCACACATTCGGTAAGTCATGGTTTACTTACAAAGCTCTTCAAAGGTCAGATTCATGTGGTTTTCCATGCAGCAGTCAGACAAGGTGCACAGGCAGTTTAAAACATTGCTTAGTTACAAACGGTAGAAGTTTCTGAACTATTGGTGTAGAAAAACAGGCTCCATTTTGGTCTGAAACAAAAGAGGGTGGTTGAAGCCATGCGGCTGGAGCGACCAGGTCAGAGCTGTTTATATACCGAAGTTCACATGGAGCGGTGTAGAAATTTTATAAAATGAATAGGAATAAATGAATGAGGCCACGTGTGGCAAATCCACAGTGTGCTTTCTCCTGATTTGATGCTGGCCGTTTTCCGTCGTGGCTCCTCAGGGGCTGGCCACTGGCAAGTGGCCCGCCGGACAGCGGAGAAGACCAAGATCGAGTTGCTGTTTGGGACAAAAGCCCCCCAGGTTAGGCTGAGAAGACCAGAGACGGCAAGTGGGGCTTACAGGCTTCTGGACAACAAAACTCTCGACGGCGCACAGCTGGTGAGTACGATTGGGGTACTGTTGCTTTTCTGTTGTGCGTGCAGAGTGACTTCAAGGAAGAGACCCTACAGCTTGAGACTGGTGCCGATCCTCGCACAAATACGTTAATAATAATAATTTATTATTTATACCCTGCCCATCTGGCTGGGTTTCCCCAGCCACTCTGGGCGGCTTCCAACAAAACACTAAAATACAATAAGCTATTAAACATTAAACGCTTCCCTAAACAGGGCTGCCTTCAGATGTCTTCTAAAAGTTTGGTAGCTATATTTCTCTTTGACATCTGGTGGGAGGGCGTTCCACAGGGCGGGCGCCACTACCGAGAAGGCCCTCTGCCTGGTTCCCTGTAACTTGGCTTCTCACAGTGAGGGAACCGCCAGAAGGCCCTTGGAGCTGGACCTCAGTGTCCGGGCAGTGTGGCTGGGGAAGCCCAGCCAGATGGGTGGAGTATAAATAATAAATAATAATAATAATAATAATAATAATAATAATTATTATTATTATTATTATTTAGGCTCTTCAGCTCTTTGATCATTTTAGTTGTACCATTTGGGGGTGGTTGAGAGCATGAAAAACTCAAGCATCATTAGAAGAGGCCCAGAACTTGGCTTTCCTTGGTAGAGGATTTTGCATTTTTCTTTTTTCTGTATTGCTGCATTTACCGTATTTTTCGCCCTATAGGACGCACCAGCCCATAGGACGCACCTAGTTTTCAGGGGGGGAAATCAAGGGAAAAAATATGATTTCCCCCCCGCAGCTCTGGGAGCAGTGGACAGGCTGCACGCAGCCTAGGCGCTACTCCAAGACCTTCTCCCTGCTTTTGCGGGAGGTGGCGGAATTCCGCCACCTCCCGCAAAAGCCCACAGGAGCCCCGCGTGACTCCTGCAGGCTTTTCGACCAGGAGGGAGAAGGGACTGAAACGGCCAGTCAGTCCCTTCTCCCTCCTCGGGGAAAAGCCCCCAAGAGAGGCGCACTCTTTAAAGGGTGTGCGGCTCCTGCGGGCTTTTCTAGGAGGTGGGGGAATTCCCCCCCCCATAGAAAAGCCAGCAGAAGCCGCGGAGCCCCTTTAAAGAGCGCACGGCTTTTGCCTGCCTTTGCGGGAGGTGGGGGAATTCCCCCATCTCCCGCAAAAGCCCGCAGGAGGGAGAAGGGACTGACTTATTATTATTATTATTATTACTCTGCCAGTCAGTCCCTTCTCCCTCCTTGGGGAAAAGCCCCCAAGAGCCGCTCGCTCTTTAAAGGGTGTGCGGCTCCTGCGGGCTTTTCTAGGAGGTGGGGGAATTCCCGCTGCCCCCCATCCTCTGGGGCTGGCGATGGGGGAAGCGCTGCTTTCCCCACCGCCAGCCTCAAACCCGGGTTGGAGAGTAGCGGCAAGGCGTCGCGCGCCTTCCTGCTGCCCCCCATCCTCTGGGGCTGGCGATGGGGGAAGCGCTGCTTTCCCCCACCGCCAGCCTCAAAGAGCAGACTCTCCTGGCTTCAGCGGAAGCAACGCGAAGCGCAGGCTTCGGAGGCTTCGCGTTGCTATCGCTGAAGCCAAGGAGTCTGCATTCGCCCCATAAGACGCACAAACATTTCCCCTTCATGTTCGGAGGGGAAAAAGTGCGTCTTATAGGGCGAAAAATACGGTAAATCCCACCTTTCCTCCCAAGAGCTCAAAGGGGGCTTCATGGCTCTCCCCATCACCCTTTCAGGTGGTTGGTGACTAGCCCAAGGTCGCCCAGTGAGATTTCTGGTCCAACACCCTGGTCACTAGGCCACACTGCCTTCCTTGGGCAGTATATGTCCACAACCCTGTTCTCTGGCTTGTTGTATCAGGAAATTTTTCTCTTTTTTTTCTTTTTTAAAAAAAATATTTATACTTTTCAAGTTTATACATTTCACTGATTTTATAATCATTTTGACATTTCAAAACTTGACTTCCTTCCCCCTCTTTCTGCGGTTCCTTACATTTATTTTTAATATCTTCTGCATATCCTAATTTGCTCATTTGTTCATCTTCTTTAAATATATACTCTTATGAAACTGCAGGTTATTACAATAATCCTGCCAGTGTTTTTATCTGTTTACAATTTATTTGTAAATATGCAATAAACCATTTCCATTCTTTTATAAACAGTTTGTTATCTTGATTTCTTATTCTCCCAGTAAGTTTTGCCATTTCTGCATATCCCTGAATTTTTGTATCCATTCTTCCTTTGCTGGGACTTCTTCTTTCCATTTTTGGGCAAGTAACATACTTGCCGCTGTAGTAGCATACATAACTAAGGAAGTTTCAGGAAGTTTTTAATGCTTGATGCTTAGTTGTGTTTTTATATTATGTTGAAAGCTGCCAGTGTCAGATGGACGGGGTACAAATAATATATTATTATTATTATTATTATTATTATTATTATTGTTATTATTATTATTATTATTATTGTTATTTGCAGATTAAGCTCCACCACGTGAAAAGCCCGTCACATTTGTGCTCTGTGGACATCAGTAACCAAAATTTTGTCATGGTGAGTAGGAGGCTTGCCTTGTGAATTTACTCTGGTGTGTGTTGTACTGGAATAGCAGCAGCTATGGTGAAATGGGTTGGAACTTCAACCCACCTAACTGGCTGAATATAGTCATGGCCCAAGCCTGGAAAGTCATGTTGCTATGCAACCATTAGTTGGGGGGCTTCTTATGGGATGCGGGTGGCACTTTGGTCTAAACCACTTAGACTTGGGCTTGCCAGTCGGAAGGTCAGCAGTTTGAATCCGTGCGACGGGGTAAGCTCCCATTGCTCTGTCCCAGCTCCTGCCAACCCAGCAGTTCGAAAGCACGCCAGTGCAAGTAGATAAATAGGTACCTCTGCGGCGGGAAGGTAAACGGCATTTCCATGCGCTCTGGTTTCCGTCATGCTATTCTGTTGTGCAAGAAGCGGTTTAGTCCTGCTGGCCACATGACCCGGAAAGCTGTCTGTGGACAAACGTCGGCTCCCTCGGCCTGAAAACGAGATGAGTGCCGTAACCCCATAGTCGCCTTTGACTGGCCTTAACCGTCCAGGGGTCCTTTACTTTTGCCTTAGTTTGGGGGCTGGGGTCCGTCCATGGTTATGAATGTCAGAGGATTCCAGTTTGCTCTGCAGTTGAGAGCAAGCTTAACCATTCTGGCCCCGCTTCTGTTTCAGAATGTGTGGATGGAGCTTGTTTCCTTTTCACTTCTACAGGCAAAAGAAGAAGATTTTGAGCAGTTTGACTGCGTTGCCTATATCAACGCCACAGAAAATCTCTTGACCTTGGGTAAGGAATGCATGGCAGTTTGTGGGCTGCAGCAATGGCATGTTATTTTTAATTGGGCTGTTGGGTGGGCGATGAAGAATCAGTGGGCATGTTCACACGGGTGGCTTGAAAGGCAGAGAGGTCATTTTCCGCATTTACACAGAGATGTTTGCATCAGAATGGGGTGGGGGTGTCTTCACCTGAAATGCATGTTTTTTTGGGTTCTCCTGCCTTCCTGCAACTCCCGTTCATTCAGCTGTCATCTGCGCCTGCACAACGGCTGTTAGGGTACATCCTTGTGCAAATTAATTGAAACAAACAATGAGTTTAGTAGCTTATTGTACAAAACTCACATATACGTACATTAGTAACGGACATCATTTTTGACATCATCTGATAGGAAGTGCCTACAGAGGGTGGTGAACACAGCACAATATATTATGGGCTGTCCCGTGAATCCGCTGGATGACATCGCAGAAGAACGTTGCCTCGGGAGAGTGAGGAAAAGTCTCAGGGATGATTCACAACCTTGCCGGCACTTTCTTGATCTCCTGCCCTCGGGCAGAAGACATAGAAACATGATTAGTCGCCCCAACAGGGTAAAGAACAGCTTCTGTCTGTGGGCTGTTAGGCTGCTGAATGAAAAGATAACAACAGGGCAACTGACTTTCAGGTTTGGTGTGTGTGTGTGTCAGTAAACAAGGGGAATTAAGACTACGAGAGCTGAGTGGGGGGTGCTCGCGTAATCTCACTGTATACAAGTTGTACAAGTGACAATAAAGTATTTCAGTATGACCTCCACTATTTTTAAGCAGCATTTGAACACGTTTCGGCATGGAGTCTACTGTACTAGTTACAAACAGTCACTGTTGATTTTCGGATCCATGTACCACACTTGACTCAGCGCTTGAATGAGCTTCTCCATAGTCGTACAGTCTGCAGAACGGAGGCGACTTTTGCATACAGCCCACAAATTCTCAGTGGGATTTACGTCCGGGGAATTCCCTGGCCAATCAAGTACCTGTATTTGCTGCTCTGTCGTGAATTTCTTCACCACTTTCGATGTGTGACAGGGGGCTAGATCCTGCTGCAATATCCCAGTACCGTCAGGATACCTCTTTTCCAGCTCTGGAATAATTCTCTTTCGTAGAACCTCAATATATTGTGGCGAGCGCATCATTCCTTCTATTGGCTGCAGGCTTCCAACACCATAACAACAGAAGCATCCCCAAAACAACTTTTGTGGGTGCTTGACAGACTGATCAATGTGGCAATCACAAAGCTTGTCTTAGATAGAAAACATGCTTTGTTTCAATTCATTTGCACAAGGATGTAGATTTAGGCTTCCTCAGAGCTGGAGGAGGGGTCCCACCCGCTTCAGACGTTTCCTTCTTAATGGTTTTATTAATGCGCCATCACATCCACTTCGTTCTTAGTCAATGGCTCCTTTCCCAGGTGATTTCCTGAACACGGGAAGCTAGTTTCGCCCAAATGTTAATGTGCTAAATCCAGTTGACTGGCACTCAGGAAGGGGGTGGTGGTGGTCCAGGAACTAGAAGAGTAGTCCAGGCACCCCACAAACTCACAACACTACATTACCTTGTGTTTCTTGGCCTTGATGGCTCCAATCTGGCCTGCTGGCGATGACCCACAGCCATTAAAAAAATTACACCAGGCGCTCCACCCCCATTCCTCCTCTGTTGGAGATAATGGTGAGAGGAACTGTCCGATTTTGCATCTCTCGGTTTCTCATTTTTCCAATCTTAAATATGGTCCTTTACACTTCTACAGCAATTGGCAAACTCTTCTTTTCCTAATCCTCATAAAAATTAACCAGCCTTTTACTTGGAATTTCACCTTAACAAGTCCTTTTCTGTATGCAACTTCGACCAACGTACACATTTTTGCAAGCCCATTCCCTGATATAGCATGTTTATTTGTACATAGCTTTCACTAACATACTCATTTTTATGCACACTTTCCCCCGATATATGTATTTTGGTAAGCATCGTTTGGTTCAGAGAAGGGCACATTCTGAAGGATGGCTTTGTTTCAGTTCTCGTCTTGTTTTGGAAACTGCAAATTTGATCGATTTGCATTTAAATGGATGGGGAAACCCAGCCAGGTGGGTGGGATATAAATAAGAAAATTATTATTATTATTATTGCAAACTGAACCCAGTTTCGCCCCCATCCCTAGCTGGAGATCAGAGTGGCATGTGCCATAGACCTGTCATGCATCTAAATAATAATAATAATAATAATAATAATAATAATAATAATAATAATAATTTATTTATACCCCGCCCATCTGGCTGGGTTTCCCCAGCCACTCTGGGCGGCTTCCAACAAAATATTAAAATACAGTAGTCCGTCAAACATTAAAAGCTTACCTAAACAGGGCTGCCTTCAGATGTCTTCTAAAAGTCTGGTAGTTGTTGTTCTCTTTGACATCTGGTGGGAGGGCGTTCCTATAAGCTAGACTTCTGCCTTCAGGGACACTGGAGGACCTGTCCCCTTTCTGAGTGTTGAAGTGAGATTAAGCCGTCTTGTCCTTTGCTTCGGGCGGCAAAATGCCTTGAGCTGGCCCTCCAACTGCTTAGAAGGTGTGTTCGTGTGGTTCCCTTTTTTTGGAGACTCAGTGTTGCCTAAAAGAACATGCACATCTGGGGAGTCCTAAATGGGGGGTGGTGGCTATACCGTTCACATGCTTTGTGCCCAGTAATCTCAAAACACCCAGCCATTGCTGCCCTGATTCTTTCGGTTGATGTTGCCTTCCCCCCTTTTATCACCCATTCAGACGCTTTCCGTACATTTCCTGGGCTCCGGGAACTGGAACTCTCCTTGAACGGCCTAAGGAATCTAAAAGTCAACGCCGGGGACTTTCCACACTTGGAAGTAAGTCAGAGGGGTGACTGATAAAGAAGAGTTTGGATTTTATATCCCGCTTTAACACTACCTGAAGGAGTCTCAAAGCGGCTAACGTTCTCCTTTCCCTTCCTCCCCCACAACAAACACTCTGTGAGGTGAGTGGGGCTGAGAGACTTCACAGAAGTGTGACTTGCCCAAGGTCCACCCAGCGGCTGCATGTGGAGGAGCGGGAAATCAAACCCGGTTCACCAGATTACGAGTCTACCACTCTTAACCGCTACACCACACTGGCTCTCTGATAGAGCTTAAGGGGCTAGCTTCTTGTGGCATGTAGGGAAAGGACCTGGAATTCACTGGAAGAGCATAGGCTTTGCCTGCAGAATGTCCGGGGTCCATTCCTTGTCAACTCCAGGAAGGACTGAGAGGGGCTTCCTGCCTGAAACTGTGGGAAGCTGCTGCCAATCAGTGTCAAAAATACTGAGCTCCATTGACCACTTTCCTATGCTCCCCTTAGGATTCTTAACTTAGGGAAGAGGTTGTAGCTCAGTAACAGGGCATCTTCTTTGCACGCAGAAGGTCCTTGATTCAGTCTCCAGGGATGTCTGGAGCCCCTGTGCTGAAGTCCTGGAGAGCCATTGCCAGTCAGTGCAGGCTGTACTGAGCTCGATGGACCAATGGCCTGGCTCATTATAAGGCCACTTCCTCTGTTCATGCAATCCATCAAATATCCTTTATTAGGCGTAGCAAACCACACATTGTCAAACAGACACCATATACAAATTGTTCAAAATACGAGCTCAGCATAACAAGGTTTGTCCCCGTCAGATCTTTAACTCCAGAGGAAATCAATTTGCATAAATAATACAATACAACCCTACCACATCACTGATCAATTAAGAACCACTAAATCTCTTTATAATGGCCCGGTCTCTCTACATGGACAGCACTCAAAAATTCAGCCACTATTAAAGTAATTTGATCATTCCTGTGTTCAGATATGCCTTTGGAACCTCACCGGGGGTGGCTGGGGAATAAACCACCAGGAGGGAATGGGTCTCTTCCTCCTCGTCTGCTTCACATTCCCCCCCCCCAAAGTGACTTTTCAAAAAGTGCCCCGGAGGTCAGTTTCACGTGTTGAGAGTAACATGTATGTAGCCTGGACTTTTCTGACGAGTCTCTGTCTTTTTTGAAACTCTCAGGTCCCTGTGAAATGACCAGTTAGGTTCTTTTTAATCTGTTTAGGTGTTTAACATAGATGAGACCCAGTACACTCTAGAAAGGCACAAGTAAACCTCAGACAACCAATACTGGATTTTCTCTGTAATATTGCTTTATTGATTAACAAGTACGGTAATTCACATGTCAAGACAAGGAATATGCACTCAACCATACGTCCATTCATACACCTTTCATACTCACCACTCTTTACTGGATAATAATAATAATAATAAATAAATAAATAAATAAATAAAATATTATTTGTACTGCACCCATCTGGCTGGGTTTCCCCAGCCACTCTGGGCGGCTTCCACAAAGACAAAAAATACACCAATATGTAATACATTAAAAACTTCCCTGAACAGGGCTGCCTTAAGATGTCTTCTGAATGTCAGGTAGTTATCTCTTTGACATCTGATGGGAGGGTGTTCCACAGGGAGGGTGCCACCACCGAGAAGGCCCTCTGCCTGGTTCCCTGTAGCTTTGCTTCTCGCAATGAGGGAACTGCCAGAAGGCCCTCGGCGCTGGACCTCAGTGTCCGGGCAGAATGATGGGGGTGGAGACGCTCCTTCAGTTATACTGGACTGAGGCTGTTTAGGGCTTTCAAGGTCAGCACCAACACTTTGAATTGTGCTTGGAAACGTACTGGGAGCCAGTGTAGGTCTTTCAAGACCGGTGTTATATGGTCTCGGCGGCCGCCCCCAGTCACCAGTCTAGCTGCCGCATTCTGGATTAGATTGATCAGGTTCAGTAAGAGCCACGATTGGCAGACGACAGCGCAGTCAATGTCTGGCTCACAACTTAGGCTGGAGGGATTTGCCATATATACACCTCATTGTTCATCTGTATGTGCTGTTCTGTACCGTTCCTGGTACACACCGTTTTTGGCCCCAAAATTGTGATGTTTTCCACATTATCGTTTATACAACACAGTTCACGATCAGTTCACTGACAGTTCAGCCATCTTTAGGCCCATCCAAACCATGCCATTTGTTACACCAGGGAGGAGGAGACATTGCAACGCGATTGTTTAATTCCTCCTTTCACTCCCTCCCAGCTGCCTTGGGAGGTCTCGTGATGGGAAAACGAGAAACCAAACAGAAGACAATCCCATTGGATCTCAATAAATGACTCGAAAAAAGTAACCCATGGCAAAACCTGTCACCTTAATTGAGGCCCCTGTAATAAACGAAAACCTGCCCTTATTCCCTTATGGAGGACACAAGAGCCCTTACAGAGTGCTTTGCAGGTTCTCCATCGGTCAGAGAAAATAACAGAGGCCAACCAGAGAATATTGAGAAGCAAAGCAGCTAGTAAGCCTGATTTTTATTGAACTGTTGCAACAGGGTGCTCCCCTCACACACAGGAAAGGAGGAGGACCCAGAACAAAGGTGTGCCCGCCCTTATATAGACATTTTAAATTGCTAGCCCTGGAGTCCAAGACCACCTCCAGAAACATCATACCTACATCACAGAAAGGGCGGTCTACAACAGAAATCTGAGTGTGTTGTTTATCTCCTGTCTGGCAGGTTACTTGTTAATGGTTACTTGATTGGATACCCTGGGGAGCCTGGCCAGTCTTTTGTAATGACAAATACTTAGTTCCTGAGCCAGGTCACAGACTCACCCTATTCATACGCAGACATACCCTTAAGACAGGATTTGTGAATGAAAAGACAATAGGGAGGCTTTTCCACTTTCCTTGACCTTGCAGAGAAATCATTTGGTCAGTCTGGGAGTCAAAATGGTTTCAGGGCTGTTTTCCTGTGCTGCTTCAGACATGTGGATTATATATTTATGTACGTGTTTGCTTGGTACGTTTATGAACATTTATTTTATATATAAGACCTTAACTTTTTTATTTCACCCCCAAAGCCATTGGCAATAAAAACATCTCACAGTGTCGTTCTTTCTGCTGTGGCTGGGTTAGAGGTGACGCTGGTTCTTCCCCAGCCATGGAACTGCCTGCTTTTCCTCTGCTCCAGGTCTTGGATCTCTCATACAACAACCTTTCTCCCGAGGACGTCCGAGCCCTGGGAATTTTGTCCCACCTAAAAGCCCTCCATCTCACCGCCAATGGGCTGACTTCGCTTCCCCTCGATCTGGCTGCCCCCGAGAGGTAAGCCCATGGGGAGAGGAAGGTGGCAAGCAAGAGTTTTTATTTGTTGGGGGGGGGAGGTCGGGCCGCGTGGGGTTTGTGGAACCTGTAGATCAGGGAAAGCCAACGTGGTGCATTAATAACAATAATAATAATAATATTTATTTATACCCCGCCCTCCCCAGCCAAGGCTGGGCTCAGGGTGGCTAACAAGCAATAATAAAAACAAGTTGAATGAATACAACTTAAAAACAAGATTAAAATACAACATTAAAATATTGAAACATTAAAATATTAAAATGCAGCCTCATCGCAGGAGGAGAAAGGAAAAAGAAAAAAGAAAGAGGGGGAGGGAATCAAATTGGCTCCAAGCCAAAGGCCAGGCGGAACAACTCTGCCTTACAGGCCCTGCGGAAAGAAATCAGATCCTGCAGGGCCCTGGTCTCATGAGACAGAGCGTTCCACCAGGCCGGAGCCAGCGTTGAAAAGGCCCTGGCTCTGGTTGAAGCCAATCTAACTTCCTTAGGGCCCGGGACCACTAGGGTGTTGCTATTTATGGACCTTGAGGCTCTCCGTGGGGCATTCCGGGAGAGGCGGTCCCGTAGGTACAAGGGTCCTAGGCCGTGAAGGGCTTTAAAGGTCAAAACCAGCACCTTGAACCTGACCCTGTACTCCACCGGGAGCCAGTGCAGCTTGAAAAGCACGGGGTAAATATGCTCCCATGGCAGAGACCCCGTGAGGAGCCTCGCTGCAGCATTCTGAACCCGCTGGAGTTTCTGGGACAGCTTCAAGGGCAGCCCTGTGTAGAGCGAATTACAGTAGTCAAGCCTGGAGGTGACCGTTGCATGGATCACTGTGGCCAAGTCGGGGCGATTCTCATCACCTCCAACCACAGGATCTGCTAGCTGGGGGATGATGGGAGTTGTAGTTCAGCAGCATCACGAGGGCTCCACATTGGCTTCCTCTCTTCGTTTCTCTCAAAGTCTTACACTGCACCCTTCTCTCCCCTTTTGCCTTTTCCTGAGTGATGTGGCACAGCCAAAGTCACTGTTCGTTTCCCTTGGCAGTGAGAGCTCCCCGAGGTTCCCGGCTCTGGAAGTCTTGCTCTTGGACGACAACCGCCTATCCCATGCCAACGTCTTTGTCAGCCTCGCCAACCTCCGCAGGTAAGGAAGACCTCCTGTGCTTGCTATAATAATGTAATAATAATAATTTTTTACTTATACCCCACCCATCTGGCTGGGTTTCCCCAGCCACTCTGGGTGGCTCCCAACAGAATATTAAAAACATGATAAAATATCAAAAATTAACAACTTCCTTAAACAGGGCTGCCTTCAGATGTCTTCTAAAATCACATAGTTGTTTATTTCCTTGACATCTTCTGGGAGGGCGTTCCACAGGGTGGGTGCCACCACTGAGAAGGCCCTCTGCCTGGTTCCCTGTAACCTCACTTCTCACAGGGAGGGAACCACCAGAAGGCCCTCGGAGCTGGACCTCAGTGTCTGGGCAGAACGATGGGGGAGGGCAGGGAACGTCCATGTCAGGTCCGGAGGGTGGCAACATGAGGACGGGCCTCTTCAGTGGTGGCTCCCCGTTTGTGGAGTGCTCTCTCCAGGGAGTCTCTTCTGGCACCGTTGTTATCTATTTTCTGGCAAAAGGGAAAGCAGTTCCTTGTTAACCAGACCTTTCTTTGGCTTCTAACTATCTATGGCATTTTAGAGAGCGTGGGATGTATTACTGTATTCCCCACGCACTCCAAGTTTTCCTATTTGATTATTATTTTTTGGTAAGTCGTCTTGTATGTCACGTGGCAAAAAGTGACTAATAAATTTAGCAATAATATTATATAGTAATAATCGGGAAACGGTCTTGCGCCTTGCCCTGGTCTCTGCAGGAGTTCTGCAAACCTTGGCCTTACCGCTGGCCTCCTTGTTTCCATTTCAGCCTGAAGCAGTTAAACTTGGACAGAAACGGAATCAGAGAGGTGCCGTATCTCCACCACTTGGACAGCGGCCGATTCTCCATCCATCCTTTATCTGCCAAGTCGGGCATCAGGGAAGGATTGCGCAGCCGCAAGAGTGCTGGGAAACAGATCCGCCAGGATAAGTCACCGGCTGGTGGTGGGCAGCCGGAGTACATTGTCTTCCAAAACAGCAAGGACCCAGACAGGACTGGTGGGCCATAATTATATATTTTTCCTTTGTAGTGCATTGGTGCTCCTCGCCCCCGTGGATGATGGTGAAAGAAGCTCACCAAGCCTAGGAAACAAAAAACAAACAAAAAATAAATCATTTATTAACAGCATAAAATTTTAACTTAAGGACCAGGTTTTATCAGAAGACAAGAGAACTGACAGTACATTTTGGCAATCCTCACAGAACTCTAGCCCAATGGTTGCCATTAATCTGATTTGAACTGATTTTAGAATGAAATGATTTTATTTTATTTTTTTTAATAATTTTTATTAAAGTTTTAAACAAAGAAAAAAGAAAAAGCAACACACACAAAAAGACAATACAAAATTTAACAATAGAAACACACAACATAACAATTTAAAACAAACTCTCTTTTACATTCCCAATTTTAAATTACTTATTTTCTGGACTTCCTCATACCTCCCTCTTTTGTATTCCAATCTACATTATTTGTCCAGCAGTTTCTTTTCCACTTTTTAAACCCAATCTTTAATTTAATGAAATATTAAACTATATAGCTTCAGCTTTTTAAACATAATCCTTGTTCTTAATGTCATATACCTTTAAATTTTTCCCTTTTATTATCAAATTTCCATTTCTTTAAACATCTTTAATCTTAATCTTTAATCTTAATCTATCCTTAGCTTTAACCTGTACAGCTGGAAACCACTTATTTTCAATCCAACATCACTCTAACATTCCTTAATTTTGCAGTGTTTCTGAAGATAGTCTTTGAATTTCTTCCAATCTTCCTCCATCGACTCTTCTCCCTGGTCACGGATTCTGCCAGTCATTTCCGCCAATTCCATGTAGTCCATAAGTTTCATCTGCCATTCCTCCAGCGTGGGAAGTTCTTGTGTCTTCCAATACTTTGCGATGAGTATTCTTGCTGCTGTTGTTGCATACATAAAGAAAGTTCTATCCTTTTTAACACCATTTGGCCCACTATGCCCAGGAGAAAGGCCTCTGGTTTCTTGGGGAAGGTATACTTAAATACCTTTTTTAATTCATTATATATCATTTCCCAGAAAACCTTAATCTTTGGGCACGTCCACCAAAGGTAAAAAATGTACCTTCAGTTTCTTTACATTTCCAACATTTGTTATCGGGCAAGTGATAGATTTTCGCAAGCTTGACTGGGGTTATGTACCACCTGTATATCATTTTCATAATATTCTCTCTTAAGGCATTACATGCCGTAAATTTCATACCAGTGGTCCATAACTGTTCCCAGTCAGCAAACATAATGTTGTGTCCTACGTCCTGTGCCCATTTAATCATAGCCGATTTTACCGTTTCATCTTGAGTATTCCATTTCAGCAGCAAGTTATACATTCTTGACAGATTCTTGGTATTGGGTTCTAACAATTCTGTTTCTAATTTTGATTTTTCCACCTGGAAGCCAATTTTCCTGTCTAATTTAAATGCCTCCATTATTTGATAATAATGAAGCCAGTCTCGCACTTTGTTTTTAATTTTTCAAAACTCTGCAATTTCAGTCTATCTCCGTCTTGTTCCAAAATTTCCCAATATTTCGGCCATTTGACCTCCATATTGACCCTTTTCAAGGCTTTCGCTTCCATTGGTGACAGCCACCTTGGGGTTTTATTTTCTAGCAAATCCTTATATCTAATCCAAACATTAAATAATGCTTTCCTGACAATGTGGTTTTTAAATGCTTTGTGTGCTTTGACCTTATCATACCATAAATATGCATGCCATCCAAATACATTATTGAAACCTTCCAAATCCAAAATGTCAGTGTTTTCAAGAAGTAGCCATTCTTTCAACCAGCAAAAAGCTGCTGATTCATAGTAAAGTTTGAGGTCTGGCAGGGCAAATCCACCTCTTTCCTTTGCATCTGTTAGTATTTTAAATTTTATTCTAGGTTTCTTGCCCTGCCAGACGAATTTAGAAATATCTTTCTGCCACCTCTTGAAACAGTCCACTTTGTCAACAATCTGCAAAGTTTGAAACAAAAACAACATTCTAGGCAATACATTCATTTTTATCGCAGCAATACGGCCTAGCAGTGAAAGCTTCAAGTTTGACCAAATTTCTAAATCTTTTTCACTTCTGACCAACATTTTTCATAGTTGTCTTTAAATAAATTCCCATTTTTGCTGTCATATTAATCCCCAGGTATTTAACTTTCTTAACCACTGTTAACCCTGTCTCATTCTGAAACCTCTCTCTTTCAAACGGTGTTAAATTTTTCTCTAAAACCTTGGTTTTTAATTTGTTCAATTTAAATCCTGCCACTTGACCAAATTCTTGAATCAGTTCTAAAACCCTTTTTGTACTAGATTCTGGCTCCTGTAACGTCAATACTAAGTCATCTGCAAAAGCTCTCAATTTATAGTGTTTAGTTCCGACCTGTATACCTTTAACCAACTGGTCCCTTCTAATCATGTTCAGCAACACCTCCAGAACCAAAATAAAAAGAAGAGGGAAATTGGGCACCCTTGTCGTGTCCCTTTTTCAATTTTAAGTTCTTCCGTCACAACGTTATTTACAATTAGTTTAGCCTTTTGTTCAGAATAAATTGCACCTATACCATTCTCAAAACCTTGGCCTACCCCCATACCCTGAAGATTCTTCTTCATAAAATTCCAAGAAATATTGTCAAAGGCTTTCTCCGCGTCTACAAATATCAACACTGCTTTAGTGTTTATATTCACTTCTAATTTTTCCAAAATATCAATTATATTCCTTAGGTTATCAGACAAGTGTCTTCTTGGGAGAAAGCCCGCTTGGTCTTGATGAATCTCTTCCAACAACACTTTTTAAATCTCGTCGCCAAAATATCTGCAAAAATTTTGTAATCCACATTAAGTAATGATATTGGGCGGTAGTTCTTTAGTTGAGTCTTTTCAGCCTCTGTTTTTGGTACAAGTGTAATATATGCTTCTTTCCACGACTCTGGTGCCCTCCTCCCCTCCATTATTTCGTTACAGACCTCTTTCAATGGTTGAATTAACCAGTCTTTTAAGGCTCTGTAGTATCTAGAGGTCAAACCGTCTGGGCCTGGAGATTTACCCAGTTGCATATTTTGAATGGCACCTTCTATTTCCTGTTCCGTTATTCTATCATTCAGAATTAGTCTCTTTTCTTGAGATATTTTTGTAATCCATTTGTTTTCAAAAATTGGTCTAAGTCTGTTTCTTTCACGGGCCCTTGAGTGTATAGTCTTTTAAAATACTTCTGGAAACAACTTCTAATTTCTGCAGGGTTCTGTATATTCCTTCCATCCACTTCTATATTCGTAATCGTATTTAATTTTTGTCTCTTTTTCATTTGCCATGCCAACAGTTTACCACATTTATTAGCCGATTCAAAAGTCTTTTGTCTCATTTGTTTAATTTTCCATTCTATTTCCTGATTCATTATTTTCATATATTGTACTTGATATAACTTCAGCTCTCTCAGAGTCTCTTGAGATTTAGGATTTACTCGCAATCTTTTTTCGCATTCATTCATTTTATTCATAATTTTATCCTTCTTCTCGTTTTGAGTTCTTTTCTTTATCGCATTCTGTTGTATTAAGAACCCTCTCATCACAGCTTTACTTGCATCCCAGATTACTCTTTTCTCCACGTTGGAACTAAGATTTATCTCAAAGTAGTCTTTTAAAGTTTTTTGGGCCTTCTTAAGAAATTCTTCATCTCTGAATAAGGTGTCATTCATCTTCCATCTGAAGGAGCCAGTTGGCATTAGTCTCATTTCCATCTTAACAGCATTATGGTCGGAGCAAATTTTTGGGCAGATTTCCACCTTTTTTTTGCTTTTGGTGCCATTCCTCTAGTTATCCAAATTTGGTCAATTCTTGTCCAAGTCATTTTGGCTTCAGAAAAGAAAGTTCCTTCTTTTGCCAAGGGGTTTCTAATTCTCCAAATATCCACTAAATCCAAGTTGTCTGTCATATCAAAAAAGGTTCTCGGTAGTCTACCATCTTTGGTGACTACCTGTTTTTGTGCCTTGTCCATATAGGTAGATACCACTCCATTCATATCTCCCATCAAAATTATGTTGTAATCCATATGGTCCATCAAGGTCTCATGCAACTTCTTAAAAAAATTGGATTTCCCATCATTTGGTGCATAAACTCCTACGATCAAAAATTTTTCTCCTTGTGTTTGAATTTCAATTGCCACAAATCTTCCTTGGTCATCCTTGAAAACAAATTTTGGTGATAAATTATCTTTTGCGTAGATCACAACTCCTCTCTTTTTAACTTTATCCGACGAAATAAATTCCTGACCAAGTCTTTTGTTTGTTAACAATTTCCTGTGTAGTCTCGTTATATGTGTTTCTTGTAAACAAATTAAATCTAATTGTTCCTTTTTTAATATGTGAAATACTGACTTCCTCTTCTGAGGGAATTCAAACCCCGACAGTTCCATGTTAAAAGTTGCAGGGCCATGATGTTATTGTTTTGATACTCCTCCTACTGCACCTAGTGCCTGTTCCTCGTCCGTCGGTGGTATCCCTTCTTTCGAGCGATCTTTTGGTTCCGGAAATAGTTCTTTTTGTAAGTCTTCTCCGTGGTCTCTGTAGAATTTATCTTTATCGTCTTCCGATCTTATTTTCCTCTTCTTTCCCTTGTAGGTAAAAGACAGGCCTTGAGGGAGTTCCCACCTGAAATTGATGTTGTTCCTTCTCAGCAGGATAACCAGGTCTTTATATTTTGATCTGAGATCCAGAATATATTTCGGAATGTCTTTGAATATTTCCACCCTTTTCTGATGAATTTCCAATGTTTTCCTGAAGTGTAGGCCCAAAATCTTATCCCTCTCTTCTTTTGTTCTAAAAGTAATCAGACAGTCTCTCACTTTCTTTTCTCCTTTTCTCCCAAGTCTAAATGCGTTTACTATTTTGAAACTGTCTTTTGCCAGTTCTGGATCCCAAAAGTCCAAAAATTCCTGCGTGAGAAATTCAGCTAAATTGTCCTTTTCCACCTCTGGTACTGATCTGACCCGAAGATTCACTTGCTTCTCCCTCAAATCTATCATAGACAGAGTTAGTTTATGGTCTTCCAATTGTTTATGCAATGTTGGTAATTCCTCTTGAACCTCCTTAACATCCGTAGCAGAAGTTGTAGCAATTTCTTTAGCCTCTTCAGCAATCTGGCGAGTTGCGGCCGATTCCTCTAATAATTTCTGAATAGTCTCAGTGTTGGTATTTACTTTTTGGCCCAAATTATTTATACTTGCTGTATTTTGATCAATCTTCTCACAAGCCTCTGCTACTTGTTGACTTATTTTACTCAAAGATTCATTAACTTTGGCCAAAACTTGAGCAAAGGCTTCTTCACTTGTCGAGCTTTTTACCTTTGATTGTGCCGATGAGGCTGTTGTTGAGGTTCCAGAAGGGCCTGAGACCGAAGCTCTCCTTTGTAATCCTTCTTCTATGCGAATATTCCTCCCCGATCTTGTAGTCGAAGCCTCCGTCTTCTCTTTATCTGCCATTCCTTAGATAATTCTCAAGGTCAGACACGTAGTTAGAATTGTACAGTGGAAATTTCCTTCCAAATAGTGTGAGAACTCCTCAAGCCTGCTACAGTTACAGTTGTAATAAGTTGCAACAGTTCCAGGTTCCACTAGGGGGACACTGTAACAGTCCTAAAAGTTCTTGGATACTTTAATTTCCTTTTTAAGTCCCCTAGTTTGTTTAACAGGGAATCAATCTATCACAGTTTTCAGCTTAAGACCAGGAGATATATATTCACAAGATCTTATCCAAACTTTTTAACCAATGCAGGACTAGCTGTCAAAATATATTACAAGACAGTACCTCTTTTTTTCCCTAGGATCTGGAGAGTCCTTTCCCAGGAAATTGAGTGATGGTTTAATCTCTTCTTTTCCACTCTTTATAAAGAAATCACCTCCAGAGATCTCCCCCTATTTTCCCTCAGTTTATAGAAGGAAAAGTCCAGGTTCAGTGATTGGATTAAAGTCCTCTAAAAGCGTCCTTTCCAAAAGCTTCCGTTTTCAAGTTCAATGCTTTAAGTCTATCTACAATAGAAGGAGGTTGACTTCCTTTTTAAACCTCCTCCGTTTTCAGCCTGATTTCAGATCTAATTTGTACAGTTCCAATTTGAGTAAATCCTACTCACGGATCGTTGCTTTCCAAGTCCGAATTTCAAGAAAGAAAGGCAGCGCTCTCCGATTGACAGCTTGCGGCTTCACTCCACGAACGAGCAGACAGCCCACAGCACCGCGCTCTCCCCCGCTCCGATTTCAAGCCCGTTTCTGGGCTTTTTGCCGGGTTGGGGGAACACCAAATGTGCCCGCTGGGTCCCAGGTTCACAGGCTTCCCCCGCCTGTGATTTTTAGGGGTCCCCCGCTGCGCCGAAGCGGGATTCGACCCTTTTTTCGTGGGGCTTATTCCCTCTGACCGAGGGAATCCGCCATCAATCGCTGGCGCCGCCTCCGGAAGTCCTAGAATGAAATGATTTTAGAATGTTGTATCATTTTACTGTTGTTAGCTGCTCTGAGCCCGGCTTCGGCTGGGGAGAGTGGGATATAAATAAATTATTATTATTATTATTATTATTATTATTATTATTTATCGTATTGGCCCGAATATAAGCCACACCTTTAAAATTCAAGGCGGGGAGGGGGGGAAGACAGTACCTGAATATAAGTTGCTCCCTTAAAATTCCGCAGGCACTCACACCTGTTCCATTTTACTGTATGTTATGTATGTTTCAGCAGTGATATCGTAAAAGCCAATTTTTGTAAGGTCGCGAATTTAAACCTCACTTTTTTCACGGTCAGTATTTGGGGGGGAAAGTGAGGCTTATATTCGGGCCAATACGGTACTGATAGCCACTCTTATGGCTATTAATTGGGTGAAAATCTTAACTCTTCGACGTTAGACGTATGGCTAGCCGAGGAGCAGTGCAAATGATAAAATTGACAGACCTAGTTAGGACAAGAGAAGGAGGACCATCTAATCAATGTATTGAAAAATGAAGGCTCTTCAGTATGTGTGGGAGCAATGAAATGCAAGGTGGTAACAACAGCAGCAGCAACAACAATACTAATAGACAGTACTAAGTTGAATGGGCCAAGGCAATTCAGAGTTTTTCTCCCCAAAACAAACCATGAACAGCAAGTCAGGAACAACCCTTGGTTACAGCTCACGGTTTCTTTGGAAGTGCCCCATTGAATCTCATAGGATATAGCCATGGTTAGGGCTGCCATCTTAGTTTATCCTGTTTATCCTTCACCTGTATTCAGCATCTTGATACTGATATTATTCTTTCTCTATTTTATTTTTACAAAAAACAGAAGTTATCTTTCCATCCTGGTCCCCAGACCTACCAACCCAGGTAAGATTTTTCTTTTCTTTCAAGTCATCCTCATCGGCTCTAGATAAAGGGTAAAGGCACCCCTGACCGTTAGGTCCAGTTGCGGACGACTCTGGGGTTACGGCGCTCCTCTCGCTTTATTGGCCAAGGGAGCCGGCGTACAGCTTCCGGGTCATGTGGCCAGAATGACTAAGCCTCTTCTGGCGAACCAGAGCAGCGCACGGAAATGCCCTTTACCTTCCTGCTGGAGCGGTACCTATTTATCTACTTGCACTTTGATGTGCTTTTGAACTGCTAGGTTGGCAGGAGCAGGGACCGAGCAACGGGAGCTCACCCCGTCATGGGGATTCGAACCGCTGACCTTCTGATCGAAAGCACACCAGTGCAAGTAGATAAATAGGTGCCACTGCGGCGGGAAGGTAAATGGCGTTTCCGTGCGCTGCTCTGGTTTTGCCAGAAGCGGCTTAGTCATGCTGGCTACATGACCCGGAAAAACTGTCTGCGGACAAACGCCGGCTCCCTCAGCCAATAAAGCGAGATGAGCGCCGCAACCCCAGAGTCATTCACAACTGGACTTAACTGTCAGGGGTCCTTTACCTTTTTTCAACTGGTAAGAACGCTCCTTTTGTTTGATCTCCTTATTTACTGCCACTGGGGGAGGGATCTGATTCCCAGAAGCTTGGTACTATGCACATATCTCTACAGAGGGTGGTGATATCATGGTTTGTCCCCTGAGCCCATTAGATGACATCTCCTTAGGATAGCGAGGAAAATTCTCAGGGACGTTTCACACCCCTGCCAGCACCTCTTTAATCTTCTACCCTCAGGCAGGAGATCTAGAAGTATAAGGTAAAGGTAAAGGGACCCCTGACCATTAGGTCCAGTCGTGACCGACTCTGGGGTTGCGGCGCTCATCTCGCTTTATTGGCCAAGGGAGCCGGCGTACAGCTTCCGGGTCATGTGGCCAGCATGACTAAGCTGCTTCTGGCGAACCAGAGCAGCGCATGGAAATGCCGTTTACCTTCCCGCCAGAGCGGTACTTATTTATCTACTTGCACTTTGTGCTTTCGAACTGCTAGGTTGGCAGGAGCAGGGACCGAGCAACGGGAGCTCACCCCGTCACGGGGATTCGAACCGCCGACATTCTGATCGGCAAGTCCTAGGCTCTGTGGTTTAACCCACAACGCCACCCGCGTCCCTATAATCAGTCATACCAACAGGCTAAAAAACAGCTTCTATCCGTGGGCTATTAGGCTGCTGAATGGAAAATAATATAGTGCAACTGACTTTCGGGGTTGGTGTGTTGTGCGACAAGCACACAGAGTGCAATGAGACTGAGTGTTTTGGGGGGAGGCTTGGTTAATTTCATTGTACACAGGTGGTACTTTGACAATAAAGGTATTATTATTATATGTTATTGTCAGGTGGCATCACAGAGCCACCACTTGCCTTCTGGAGTTCGACAGTCCCAGGGAGAGACTGACACACCCATATGCAGAGATTATAAGGGCAAGGATCACGACAACCCATGATGCATTGGGGCAGCTCCTCTTTCTTCTTTGGTGGCCTGGTTTCTGTTTCTTACCTCTCTTCTGCCTTCCTTTCAGGAAAGCTCTCCTTCACCGCAGATCGCTTCTAAGGCCTCCTGTGCCAGTTTCATCCCCGAGTTCACTCTTCCCCTACCGGAGCTGAGGTTTCTCAGCCTGGCCAACAACCAGGTGACTGGATCCTTCCTTTTCCACTGTTAACGAGACACACTGATCTTTTGCAACAAATGGTAGAGGCGGGTATGTCTAGGAATCGCTATGATCTTATATCGCCCCGTTGGAGGACCTGGTTTCTAGTCCTCAACATCATAATTTTATTTATACCCCACCCATCTGGCTAGGTTTCCCCAGCCACTCTGGACGGCTCCCTACAGAACTGAAAACAGAATAAAACTTGAAACATAAAAAGCTTCCCTAAACAGGGCTGCCTTCAGGTGTCTTCTAAAAGTCAGATAGTTGTTTATTTCCTCGACATCTGAGGGTTGGCGTTCCACAGGGTGGGTGCCACCACCGAGAAGGCCCTCTGCCTGGTTCCCTGTAGCTTGGCTTCTTGCAGCGAGGGAACTGCCAGAAGGCCCTTGGCACTGGACCTCAGCGTCTGGGCAGAATGATGGAGATGGAGACGCTCCTTCAGGTATACTGGGCCGAAGCTGTTTAGGGCTTTAAATGTCAGCACCGACACTTTGAATTGTGCTCGGAAACATACTGGGAGCCAATGTAGGTCTTTCAGGCCCTCAGAGCTGGACCTCAGTGTCTGGGCAGAACGATGGGAATGGAGACGCTCTTTCAGGTGTCTAGAGGACCTCAGGCTTCAAAGCCCCTCCCTGGCAGGTATTTCTGGTGGCAGAGGAGTATAGGGTGGGGCAGGAAACACCTTTGCATGCCAAAAAGATGCTCTGCCACACCTAGAAAATATTATGACAACACTCAGACGCCACCACTAAGAACAAGTGGTGGCAGAGGTGGCAAATCTCTGTGGCACTTCAGAGTTGCAAGTTGGTGCCCATCATTCTTCTTCATAAAAAACACCCTCCCAAAACCAATCTTCCAGAAATCTAGACCCCTCAGGGAGGAGGCAAGGCTCTAATCCTTCTCCCTGACATGCAAATTTTCTTTCTTTCTTTATTTCTTTCTTCAAAAGAAAGACCCCCCCCAAAAAAAATATATATATTACGAAGGCCTATATTCCTATACATGCACCACAACTTAAAATAGTATCTAACCATCTGCAAAACATATTCTTATGAAGTGACCCACAAGTTGCCTTTGTTTCTGGTCTTTGGTTTCCTGGATAATTAGTGAAGGAAATGAAGCTCCAGCAAAGGCACCTCTCTGCTTTCTTCCACCTGCCAGTCTTAATTTGTGAGGCAATTTTTCCCTCAGGGCAATACGCCACCCTCCCTTGTACCAAGCGTTCGAAGTCTCTCCCGAATGTGGCTATAACCCTATGTGTTGCCGCTAAATGAAATCCAATTATTGGTTCATCCACCAAGTCCTGATTTCAGTCGTCGCTTAAACACAGGCTCTATAGCGCAGGCTCTGGAGACTTCACGATATGCTGATGAGTAATTTTACTTATGACGTTAAGCACTTGTTCCCCCCAATTTGCCACTTTTGTGCATGTCCACCACAGGTGTCTATAGCTGCCTCTGTTCCCACATGCTCACCAGCACATCAGTGGAGTATGTTTATGCGCATATGGATGTTTACCTGAGGTTAAAGACAATGTCTGCATTATCTTCAGCATTGTTTCTTTGATGCTGGCTGCATTTTCTATGTCCAGGAATTGATGGATGGATGGATGGATGGATGGATGGATAGATTGTGTGAATATTTGGTCCTGTGAGCCCCTTTTTGAAGTGGGGTAGCCCCAATGCATCAGCCTCCTTCCTAAGCCTAAATCTTAATGCTGGTCCTTTTAATGCTGGCTCCCTTTCACAGCCGTGACTCACGGTCGCCTACCAGCCTGAAAGCGCTGCTGTGTTCTGATTTGCAGATCGAACACGAGGAAGATTTGTTAGCCGTGGCTCTTTTCCCATCGCTGACCGAGCTGACGTTCCACGGCAACCCTTTCACCACATCGCGCAGCGGTAAAACGAGAACAGCAGCAACCATTTTCTAGTCCCTGTGGTTAGGTAAAGGTAAAGGGACCCCTGAACATTAGGTCCAGTCGTGACCGACTCTGGGGTTGCAGCACTCATCTTGCTTTATTGGCCGAGGGAGCAGGCATACAGCTTCCGGGTCATGTGGCCAGCATGACTAGGCCACTTCTGGCAAACCAGAGCAGCGCATGGAAACGCCGTTTACCTTCCCACCAGAGCGGTACCTATTTATCTACTTGCACTTTTACGTGCTTTCGAACTGCTGGCTTGGCAGGAGCAGGGACCGAGCAACGGGAGCTCACCCCGTCACGGGGATTCGAACCGCCGACCTTCTGATTGGCAAGTCCAAGGCTCTGTGGTTTAACCCACAGCGCCACCTGCATCCCTGTCCCTGTGGTTATAGGCATGAAAATGCCTGCTGTGAAACCTTAGAAACCAGAAGGTGCCTAAATTAGATTTTCTGTGCTCTGAAGATCTCACCTCTTCCTGTGACTAGGAGAGCCAGAATAAAGAGGCAAAGTCATAAGAAAAGATTTACGTTGCCTCAATCAACACATTTTATGTAGGTTGCAGAATTCATAGAGTTTGGAGCACTCAGGTGCAAATTTTTAGCCCCAAGTCTGCACAGCACTGCTGCAGCTGTCTCCACTCTCTGTGCTGTTTTGTGGTTCCTCTTTGTCGCTAGTCGGAATGCATCATGGAAAGTGAAGCTAATCTATGCAACATAGACCACCCAGTTGCTTAATGACGATTCCCTCCCCCTTTCTTTTCTTCCCTTCCTTTCCAGGTGACCCACCTTTACTCACCAGTTTCCTTCAGAACAAGCTGGGGATTAAAATGGTTCGGAAGAAAATTTCGAAACTGGAAAAGCCACGTATCTTTATACCCAACAAGCCTAGCCGGAAGGTAGGAGCCCTTTAGGAAGGCGTTAAGGAAGTCCGTTTCAGAATGGGAAGCTTTTAAACAGAGGTTGGGAGCATAGGAATTCTTTGTGATTCCTGCATTGCAGGGGGTTGGACTAGATGACCGGTGGGTTCCCTTCCAGCTCTACGATTCTGTTGTTGTTTATTGAGGAGAATGGGGGCAAGAGGAAGATGATGTGTCCAGAGGAGGGCAACCAAAATGGTCAAAGGCCTGGAAACGATGCCTTATGAGGAACGGCTAAGGGAGCTGGGCATGTTTAGCCTGGAGAAGAGGAGGTTAAGGGGTGATATGATAGCCATGTTCAAAGATATAAAAGGATGTCACATAGAGGAGGGAGAAAGGTTGTTTTCTGCTGCTCCAGAGAAGCGGACACGGAGCAATGGATCCAAATTACAAGAAAGAAGATTCCACCAAAACATTAGGAAGAACTTCCTGACAGTAAGAGCTGTTCGACAGTGGAATTTGCTGCCAAGGAGTGTGGTGGAGTCTCCTTCTTTGGAGGTCTTTAAGCAGAGGCTTGACAACCATATGTCAGGAGTGCTCTGATGGTGTTTCCTGCTTGGCAGGGGGTTGGACTTGATGGCCCTTGTGGTCTCTTCCAACTCTATGGTTCTATGATTCTATGATTCTATGTTTCCACTGTTGCTTGTCAAGGGCCAAGGAACTTGCAGCTGAGAGAGACTCATAACCTAAAGATTTGGCTGGCACAGGGAGTTCAGTTTAATATGTGAATTTTAGCTTCTGCCCACCTACTGCTACTCCCCTACAGACCCTCCCAGGTGTTAAGATCAGCAGAGGGGACCCTCTTAGTAGTTTCTCCACTCTCAGGCGCAAGCTGGTGGGGGTGGCCTGGGAGAATGCAATCTGTGTCACAGACACTCAGCCATGGAATTCCCTCCCCACAAAGGTGCGCTTGGCAACTTCCTTGCATACCGTAGTTTCCATCATAAGCTGAAGACACGCCTCCTTTCCCTGGCCCCTGACACCTGAAATGTGCATTTTCAGGACCCGACCAATTGCTGTGGCGGTCATTTGTTTTAAACTCGTTTTCATATTAAATTGCTATGACCTGCCCTTGGGCCTTAGGATGAATTATTTCATTATTATTTATTAAATTTGTACGCCACCCATCACCCGAAGGTATCAGGGCGGTTCACAGCATAAAAATACGAGATAAAAACACTAAATACATAATGAAAGCCAGAAGAAAAACATACCAGTAACCCCCAATCCCCAACAACAACAACAACAACAACAACAACCAGTTGTTGTTATTTGGCAACCCAGATCCAAGATCTCATTCCTTCCCTTCCAAAGTCCTACCTCCTCCTGTTCTGCCAGCAGCAGATGCATCCCCTTCTAGGCTCAGAATAAGGAACTTCTGGACCTTTCAGATTTTGAACTCCCATCCTCCCTGACCCTTGGCCACTTTGGATGAGGCTGATGGGAGAAGGAGCCTGACCACATCTGGAGGGCCTATGTGTTCCTCCATCCATCTCTTAAGCCCTGAGTTTCCCTGGCCAGCTTCTCATTTTCTCAGCTCTGTTCATTCCCCAAATCTTCCTAAACATACTCCTCTGCAATGGGAAAATGGGTGCTGTTTTCTCCCACTGCTTAGTTTCTGAAAAGTGCAACGGTGATTGGGTGCATAGCTGTCAACCGTCCCTTATTTGGCGGGAAACTCCCTTATACTAGCGCCATTTCCCGCTGCTGTCCGGGGTTGATGATGTCCCTTAAATTTCCCGGGTTTCATGCTCACCCAGCTCGGGAGGGAAGCAGTGGCTCAGGGTCCTCCGCCTCGAGAGAGCAAGAGAGAGAGAGTGCGCACGAGCTGCCGCGTCTCTGTCTCTCCCTTTTTCCCCTCAGGGGCGCGTCGTGAGGAGAAGGGTGGCGGCGGGCGGGCAGGCAGCGCCTCTCTTGTGAGACTTCCGCTGCGCTGCCATGGGAAGCTGGAGGCGGTGGTGGCTGAGGAAGCGGCCTGAGGGAGGAGGAAGAGAAGGGGATGGGGAGGGATGGAGAAGGGCGGTGCTTCAGCGGCTGTGGCTGCGCCGCAACCGCCTCATGCCAGGCTCGTGGGTGAGAGTCTCTCTCCCTCCCTCCCTCTCTCTCGGGCGGGGAAGGGCCGATGGAACTCCTCGCGCCAGGACGACAGCAGCCCCGACGTGCATAAGCTAAGCAAAATCCCTTATTTTGGCTGCTGATCCCTTATTTTTGAGGCTGTTGGTCCCTTATTTTCAAATCTGTAAGTTGACAGCTATGATTGGGTGGGGTGCAGGAAGAACGACACTTGTGGTTATTTATTTCATGAAGTTTTTGCACCATTTGATTGCAAAACAACGACAAGAAGGCCTTACAAATGTGGAATGGGCACCATGGGGCAGCTGAAATAGTGCCAGCTCTGCTGATTAATGGTTAGGGTTTTAAGAGCTGTAGGTTGTGGCCAGGGATGGGTGCTGGGTTTGGAAAGACAGGAGACTGTTCCGCTGTGGTCCTCCCAGGTCTAGAATGCATCACACCGTGGCCTTCTGTGTCTTTTGCAGGTGAAAGCACAGCTGCCCAAGGTCCAAAAGCGGCCTCAGATGCTAGAAGACCACCTGGAGACCACCTTCTGGCAGCTGTGGACAGGTGCAGATCTGGATCCCAATAAAAGAGTGAGTCTGGACGAGCCTCTTCCACCCATCAAGAGATTTTCACTACCGTATAAACCAGAGAAGCCCGTCTTGCCTCTTAAGGAGGAGGAAATATCTGCACCCTCTTCTCTGGAGTGTTGTGTTTGTGATGCTTCAGCAGACCAGCTCTCAGCAGACCAGCTGGAAGACGTTCCTGAAGGCCAGTCTTCGCTAGCTGACTTAGTGTTTGGAAATGTTGCGTCCACTCAACCTCCTGTGGAGCAGCTCCCACCTGAACCTCCTGTGGTGCAGCTCCCACCTGAACCTCCTGTGGAGCAGCTCCCACCTGAAGAGAATCTGCCTGAACCCAGCCCTCTGATCACAGCTCCTTCAAAGGGACAAGACTTGCCCAGGAGGCCTCAATTCATCTCATTGTCTTTGCCGGGGCAGGACCACGGTGCTCCTGTCCCTCCTCCCAACTCACCTTTGTCTTTGCAAGAGCAGGGTCTCTCCGAAGGTCCTCCAGCAGAACCAGATCAGCTGAGGCCGTTCCCCCCCCGCAGCTCGCTTTTGCCAGGACGAAGTAGATCAGAACCTCTTCCACCAGCTCATTCTCCCGCAGGGGAGCAGGACTTGTCCGGGTCTCCAGCCAGATCCCTGTCGGTGGGACAGGGCTTTCCTGATGCCTCTCCACCAGCTGGACCGCCGGCAGTGGAGGGTGATCACCCGGAACCCATCCCACCAGCCAGCTCAGCTCCCCAAGGACCGGATTTGCCAGAACTTGTCCCAGCTACTAGATTAACCTCCGCAGGTCCACCGGGGATTCTCCTGCCAACCACTTCTCCTGCAGAAGGTCAAGATCAGGTGGAGCCAACTCTGCCACACAGTTCAGCTTCCGAAAGTTTGCCTGGACCTGCTCCACCACACTTGTCTGGGACTCTCCTGCCAACCACTTCTTCTCCAGAAGGGCAAGATCAGGTGGAGCCCTCTCAGGACCTGACAGAACCCATCTCTCCATCGATGCCCCGCTTGGAGGAACCAGCTCCCTCTGAGCCCGTTCCACCACCTGGATCCCCTCCAGCAGAACAAGATCACCTGGAACCTGCTCCACTGCCCAGCTCACCTGCACAAGAGCAGATTCCGCCAGAGCCCGTTCCACCACCTGGATCCCCTCCAGGGGAGCAGGACTTGGCCCAGCCAAGCCCTCCTTCAGCTGAACGGAATCTTTCTTGGACTTCGCAGCCAACCGGATCCCCTCCAAGAGGGCAGGATCATCTGGAACCCGTTCCACCGGCCACCTCACCGGTCCAAGAACCCGACCGATCAGGTTCCGAGCCCCAAGATGGATCAGAGGAAGAGGAGTTTTCAGAATCTCGACCAGCCAGCTTAACTTCTGTGGAATGTGGCCTGTCTGGGTCGTCTTCCAGGGAGCTTTACATGCTCTTTGCCAAAGTCCACTCAAGCACGAAGCCTATTTTTGAAACATATGATAGTCTTTCTAGTGAGGGCGAGGTGTTTAGCGGCAGCGGGGAGTTCGTGGAGGCAGAGGAAACAGAATCCATTTTCATGACGCAGGTATGTCAGCTGGCAGTACGCCATGGTATTTAAGCAAGAAATGTTTACCAATGAAGCCATTCTAGAATCCCAACCTGTAGTTTACACTAGACAATGTATCGTCCCAAAACCGGTTTGAAGTCCATATTGCAGGCATCTCCAAACTCGGCCCTCCAGATGTTTTGGGACTACATATACATATCAAATAGTCCAAATAGGTACCCCTGCCCGTACGGGCCAGTCGTGTCCAACTCTAGGGTTGTGCGCCCATCTCACTTAAGAGGCCGGGGGCCAGCGCTGTCCGGAGACACTTCCAGGTCACGTGGCCAGCATGACGAAGCTGCTCTGGCGAGCCAGCACCAACGCAGCACACGGAAACGCCGTTTACCTTCCCGCTATAAAGCGGTACCTATTTATCTACTTGCACTTAGGGGTGCTTTCGAACTGCTAGGTGGGCAGGAGCTGGGACCGAAAGACGGGAGCTCACCCCGCCGTGGGGATTCGAACCGCCGACCATACGATCGGCAAGCCCTAGGCGCTGAGGTTTTACCCACAGCGCCACCCGCGTCCCTCTAGTCCAAATATTCTGCCTAAATTATTTAAAAAAATTGTTGGGACTTCCCATGCTTCACGTTTGGGGGGGGGGAGGCTCTGATCATCTCCTATCTCTGCTGCCTTGAATATTCTTTCCAATAGTTCCTTTAAATCTTCCTGTTGTTAACCTTCCTTCTTTCATGGCCTCTGAGTTGTTTCCACAAGCGAGTTGAAATAAGCAATGATATGTTTCTGTGTGGGTTTTGTGTATGACTCTCACATACCTCCATTTCTGTCTTGGGTCTGAAGGTGGACGAGGAGTCTGGTCCCTTGCCGAAGACTGAAAGGGCGGCATCCCCACGTAAGATGTCAGGCAAAGGAAAAAGGCAAGCCCAGCCAGTCCCCGAAAAATACAAGGGTTATGAAGAGCTGCTCGGCGGAGACCCTGGCGCGGATTTCGTTGACCCAGTGGGTGAGTTGACCTGGGACTGCTGGAAATGTCAAGTGCACGCTTTGACCTTCCTTGTTCCAGTTGACAAAAGGATCTTGGCTGGGGCCCATGGTTGAACGTTCCTCTCCCATCACACAGAGAGCTACCATCTAACTTTTGCAAAGGTCCATCTGTCTCTGCATTGTCTACACTGCATGGGCCCTCAAGATTCACCTAGTGTATGTACTCACGTTTTTGAAAATGCACATCTATTTCTTGAAGTCACTCTGTACTCTCTGCATTGATCTGTGTTTCGGGTGCTGAGTTGCTGTGTGTAAAATGAAGCTCTGTGGTCCCCATTCACTAGAATGGTAAATCTAAAAACAACTACAGTGGTACCTCGGTTTTCGGACGTCTCCGTTGACGAACATTTCGGTTTTCGAACGCCGTAAACCTGCAAGTAAACACTTCGGTTTTCAAACATGCCTCGGAAGTCGAACATCGAATTTTTCGTATTGTGTTTTCTGTTTTCGAACATTTCAGAACTCAAATGGTCTTCCGGACCATTTGAAAACCGATCTACCACTGTATAACTTTCCCCCTTTTTGGATAAAGTGGATTAAATTTGCAGGCCACTTCAGAGTAGATTAAGCCTCCCCAATTGCAGAGGAGAAAAGGTTCAGGGCTTTCTGTTGCGGGAGTAAAAGGGATTCATTTCTCTTCATAATCTTGTATGGGGAGGGGGGAGCAGGGGGTCAGTTGTCTTTTGCTCTTTCCCACCTTAACATAATTCAGAAATAGTTGAGTGGTATATCTTATTGCTTGTTGCTTATTTTAAAGAGCTTTGTGGTGTCGTGGTGGAATTTATTTTCTAGTTGGATTCCTGAGAGATCTTCTAAACAGGGTTTACGTTAACATGGTTCCCACCCGCAATTTCCCCTCTGCTCCCATTTTTATTTCAACCAGGAATACAGCACAATGTCCAAGCTCTGGAGAAGGCGCTCCGATATCCCCGTGTGTACCGCGAGTCAAAGGCCAGGCTGGACAGCTACCAGAAGCCTTATGTGCCTGCAGAGAAAAAGGTACTGTATTTTTCGCTCCATAAGACGCACCAGACCATAAGACGCACCTACTTTTTAGAGGAGGAAAGGGGAAAACCCCCGTTTTTTTTGAGGATCAGCTCAAAGTTGTGCAGCTTACTTTGCAAAGGGAAAAAAAATCTTGTTTTTATGGGGTTCAACTCACAGTTCTGCAGGTTCTTTAGGAAAGGAAAGGGTGCCGTTTCTACTGTTTCCAGACAGATAATCTAATCAGCCAGTCTCATGTCGCTGGGGAAACAAGCAGCCTCCGTACGCAGAACATTCAAGAATGGAGGCCTGGGCAAGGGCCGGGGCAGGAAAGGGAGCCAGTGATCAACCACACATCACTCCGTAAGACGCACATACATTCCCCCTTACTTTTTAGGAGGAAAAAGGTGCGTCTTATAGAGCGAAAAATACGGTAAATGGTATCTAGGGAAGTAAAACTCTTGCCTCTAGACCTGGGAGGTTGGAGCTCAAACTTCTGCTCAGGGGAGGGGTGTTTGGCAAACGGTTCCCTCTGTGCCTCAGTCCCCTATCTGTAAAATGGGAAGATAAAAAGGGGGGGCGTGTTGTCAAATGAACAAGCACATCAAGAAAGCGCTTTGTGAAATACTTTGCAAAATATCAATGCTAAATTGTACTGGGGTCACCCTCTAGATGAGTGACTTCCAAACTTTTCAGAGCCACCCCCCCTTTAGGTTCCGTAAACTCACTGCCCGTCTCCATTACTGTACCCTATAAAAAGCAATATGCAGAATAGCACTAAGGAAGACGACAACAGAGGCAGATTTAGCGGGACACAACCGGTTCGGTCACACTAGGTGCAGAACCTCAGGGACACCACAACTATGATGTAGAATGGAAGGCGGGGGGAGGCACAGATTTTTGCGCTGCTCTGGTTTCTCCAGAAGCGGCTTAGTCCTGCTGGCCACATGACCCGGAAAACTGTCTGCGGACAAACGCCGGCTCCCTTGGCCTGAAGGTGAGATGAGCGCCGCAACCCCAGAGTCGTTCGTGACTGGACTTAACTGTCCAGGGGTCCTTTACCTTTATTTATACCTCGGTAGGCAATCCCCAGCAAAAGGTTGCAGCGTGGAGCGTGAAGGGCTGGCAGACAGACACAACACCCTCCAGGATGCTCATTTGCATTCCTCCCTCCTCTCCTGTCCCCCCTCCCCGAAAAAAAAGCAGACACTGGGCATTCCGTGGCCCCTGAGCATGCTCAGTCCTCATGCAGCTGCCTCATTGTTTTTTAGCACTCCCCCCCCCCCTGCACCATTTTGGCTATACAGTGGTAGCTCGGGTTAAGTACTTAATTCATTCCGGAGGTCCGTTCTTAACCTGAAACTGTTCTTAACCTGAAGCACCACTTTAGCTAATGGGGCCTCCTGCTGCTTCCGCGCTGCCAGAACACGATTTCTGTTCTCATCCTGAAGCAAAGTTCTTAACCCGAGGTACTATTTCTGGGTTAGCGGAGTCTGTAGCCTGAAGCGTCTGTAACCTGAAGCGTCTGTAACCTGAAGCGTCTGTAAACTGAGATACCACTGTATAAGGATCGGCCCGCACTCCTGAGCATCACCAATAGAGGGAACGGTAAGTAAAGATGCGGGGATTGTGCGTGGCCTTCTCATTTTGATCCGCTTTCTGTGCAGGCCTTGAGTGTCCGTCCGCCACCACCTGAAAAGACCCGGCTGCAGAAGCTGGAGGAAATCCTCCTGAAGATGCGCAACCCCACAAATATCATACAGATGCCGCTAGGTATTTATTTATTTCATAAAATTAACGCACCACTTGCTTGCAGAAAGAAAGGAGAAACCTCTGAGCAGATTACAAACAAGGTAATGCAACGAACGTATCAGTGAGAAAAATTAAGAAAAATGAGCAACACTTAGTTCTGTTGGTGGGGGACGTGGGTGACGCTGTGGTCTAAACCACTGAACCTCTTGGACTTGCCGATCGAAAGGTCAGTGGTTCGAATCCCTGCAACGGAGTGAGCTCCCGTTGCTCTCTCCCAGCTCCTGCCAACCTAGCAGTTCGAAAGCACGTAAAATGTGCAAGTAGATAAATAGGTACTGCTCCGGTGGAAAGGTAAACAGCATTTCCGTGTGCTGCTCTGGTTTCACCAGAAGCGGCTTAGTCATGCTGGCCACATGACCCGGAAAAAACTGCGGACAAACACTGGCTCCCTCGGCCAGTAAAGCTAGATGAGCGTCGCAACCCCAGAGTCATTCGTGACTGGACTTAACTGTCAGTGGTCCTTTACCTTTACCTTTTTTAGCTCTGTTGGTTAGAAGGTGGTGCTGAGAATGCCAGGGTTGCAGGTTCGATCCCCGTTTGGGGTAGCTGCCCTTTCCTGCTTTGCAGGGAGGTTGGACTGAATGACCCTCAGGGTCCCTTCCAACTTCACGATTCTATGAAACCTTCTGAAAAGTTAAAACAAAAATAGACTAAGAGATTAAGACTCACTCACACAGCAGTGCTAGCCTGTTTTCCATCTAACCTCCCTTGCTCCTCTCTCGCAGCTGGCAGAAGAAGAATACAGTGGTACCTCGGGTTAAGTACTTAATTCATTCCGGAGGTCCGTTCTTAACCTGAAACCGTTCTTAACCTGAAGCACCACTTCAGTTAATGGGGCCTCCTGCTGCCGCTGCGCTACCAGAGCACAATTTCTGTTCTCATCCTGAAGCAAAGTTCTTAACCCGAGGTACTATTTCTGGGTTAGCGGAGTCTGTAACTTGAAGCGTCTGTAACCTGAAGCGTCTGTAACACAAGGTACCACTGTACATTATGCAAATGCAATGAAAAATAGGCCTGCCTGACTGCAGTTTGGTTCTGTTAATAAGAACACAAGAGCCTGCTGCACTGGGCCAATGGCCCATCTAACGGAAAATCCTGTTCTAACAGTGGCCAACCAGATGCCTGTGGGAAACTGGCAAGCAGGATCCGAGCACAAGGGCCCTCTCCCCTGCTGTGGTTTCCAGCAACTGGGATTCAGAAACATTGGAAGCAGAACAGAGCCATTGTGGTTCGTAGCCCCCGATAGCCCTCCATGCATTTGTCTAATCGTCCTCCAAAGCCATCTCAGTGCATAGCTGCCAACGTTTCCCTTATTCTGAATAGGATTCCTCACAAGAAAAGAGAAAAGTTGACAGCTATGTCCCAGTTGGTGGCCATCACTACCTCCTGTGGGAGTTCCATAGTTTAGCCGTGTACGGCATGAAGAGGCTCTTTCTTTCCCGCATTCTTTGCAGTGTGCATCCTGCGGAGGAAGAAGGACAACTGGCGTGAGTACCGGCAGGCCCTGGCGATGCTGAAGGAGTTCCGGAAGGAGTATAAAGCGGCCGTGGCCAGCTGCAACAAGCAGGTCGAGTCCAAAGCCATTAGTAAGAAGGGTACCAGTGCAGAGGAGACGAGTCAAAACTTGATGCTCGAGGGTCTCCCTGAGGCTGAGTTGGGTGGGCAGTCACTCGAAGAATCCTCGGTCCCTACGGAGGAGAAAGGACTTTCTCCATCCAATCCGAAGAAAGCTCAGTTTAAACCGGACTGCTGAGGAACCGCCTCTTTTTACAAGACATAGAGCTATTTGCTGTATTTTCCAAAGAGTCCCATGTCCTAGGAGACCATAGTGGTGTAACTAGCAACCATAGGAACGGAGGTTACCTACTTCCAAACCCTCTGCGAAGGTTTGACCCGCTCAGGGTTACAGGCTAAGAGTAGTTCAGGCTCCACTTCAGTGCAGACGTTCAGAAGCGCAACAGAAAACCAACGGGAACCGCTAGGCGCACTCCGAAAGGCTGTTTCAGGATGCAGTTCCCATCTAAATCATGAGACTTGAACCCGGGCAGCCGCCGCAAAAGCAGTGAAATAAATGTGTCATGGTGGGCCTCCGGTTTTATCAAATGACTACGGCCTAAGTCCCCCCTTTTACAATTGTTCAGATGGAAGAACCTTGGTAGAATCTGTTGGGAGAGGGAAAGAAGTCATGCCAAGACAGCTTTCCATAGCAGCAGTGACTGGCACAGAAAGGCTTCGTCACACTTCCAGTGCCTTATTGTAAGACCCCAATTGCCCATGTAGTTTGCTAGGCATTTCCCCACTTCCCTTCTGCTTGCCCCAAACCAGGGGAGTCGGTAAAAGGGCATGTTGTCCCTTGCACACTTCTTTTGCTTTGCAGGTTTAAATTGCCCCCGGCACCTCACGACCGCTTGCCCTGACTCTTTCCTTTCCCCTTAGGCTGTGGCTCTAGGGGGGGGGAAAGGAATTAAATATTTAATCCTTAAGGTAATTGTGCAGTTAATATTCTGCTTTATGTACCCGATAATCCTTCACAATCCACTTTCTGAGCTCTAAGAGAATTGGCATTTGCAGATGTGGTCTTTTCAGATGAGTTAGCTAAACCACCCAGGAGCAATTCATGGGCCAAACCTCGCTGTTTCTTTTACCAAGGCAGAATTCCCTCTTAAGACCACCCAAGGTTAAAAGGGCAACCATTTAAAATTAGTACAGTACTGCAGGGAGGGAGAGGCAAGAGCAATGGCCACCCAGCGGCAGTCTATCATGTACACATAGGACCCCACCTAGTCCCATTCTTCCTCATAGTCCAGACTTCCGAGTCCTATGGCTTTTTCCCCATGAGCTCAGGCAGAATGGCTTGGCTTCCTCACCGTCATGTTTTCTCTAGATTCAAGCACTTCTCTTTTGCCCATGCATCGGAATGCCTGCAACTCATTCCCTGGGCATGAACATGGAGCATGAAGGCACATGTCCAGAGATCAGCTCGGCCTGTTTCCTCTGTGAGCCCCCTCTCTGGAGCACAAAGCACATTTTACCCTCTCAGATCAAAATCTATTTTTGTTGCAGAGAACTCTCTAAAATTCCTTGAAACCCAAGCCAGTCTTGGGGCTGCATTCTACCTTGTTGATACAGTGGGACTACTAGACAGAGGTAGGGAAACAAGTTTTGCATACGTAGGCTACTGAATGTGCGTCTGAGTAGGCCTCGGAAAATTCTAAGAAACTTGTAAGTAGATGGAAGAAATAAAAGCATCTCTAAAGAAGAGTTAAAATAACCACTGCTGGATCAGCATGGAAGATGGGCTAAGTCCCCTCCCCCTTCCAATTCATCTGACTGCTAGTTAAGTATTGATCCTTGTTCAGGGTGGCAACGTAGGTAAAGCTACGCTAAAGGGGGTTGTGGCTGAATAACTACAAAAATGATCCACTCTCCAGAGTCATTTCCTGGTCAACTCAACTATCTTATTTTAGGTGGAGGGGCTTGTCAAAGAGGGAGATTTAGGAAAGCATGCAATTTCATTGTGTTAGAATCAGTAGCTGGGTTGGGTTAAAGGACATCCACTTTTCTTTTTTACTGTTGCAAACCCCCTTCCCCCACCCCCAAAAACCCATTTCTAAGGACTTAGTGAGGGAGACTTGTGTACCTTTACCCATAAAGACAGACACACACATTCGTTTCTCAGTAAACAGATTTGTTTTATCAAAAAATCTGATGAAGCCACAGTGATTCAGTTGCGATCTCAAAAATGATGCTTTGTCTTGTACTGCACTGGCTTTCAAGTACCAAGCGGAGGATACACACCAAAGCACAAAATGATTTAAAGCATACTGGGGGGAGGGGGTGTTGAGAAGGGAATTAGATAAATGCAGCAACATCAATTTTTCTGGGAACAGTCTGACACCAGTAGAACCTAGCTTACACAAAATCCCAACAATGGTAACCAAAAAAAGGTGTTTTCTTTGTTTGCATAGTGGATAGCTAATTCTATATACCTGCTTGCAGTGTTCTAAATAGTTGGAAAAGGAACAATGTTTTCCATCAGATTCCTAATAACACAACATTTAGGAAGATGGCGGCACCAGCTGTAGAGTTCAGCAGTGCAGTTTTGACCTTACTGTGGAGACTCAGCAGAGAGTATCTAACAGACCAGCGTCGAAATTGATGGACTTTCACATCCAGTCAGTTCTTGGGCAAGGAATGTTACTTTTAAGCGACTGTATCTGGTCCTCTCCGAGAGCTGAAACTGGTTTTGGGTGGCACCTTTCTGAAGGCAAGGCTGCCTTAATCCACCGGTAAAGATGAAAATCAAGATGCCAGCGTGATCCTTTTTAAAAGCCCAACAAGAAGCATTGCAGGTGCTTGTTGAAGCAATGTCCAGGTTTGTTTTTTGTCCATTTTTTTTGGGGGGGGGGAAATCAATGCATTATAGAAAGTCTTTAAGGCTTGTACTTTCCTCTTCCTTTGCCTTCATTGAGAGAACTTCAACAAAGTGCTTGGGTTTGACCTGTAGTCCATGACATGCCCCACAATACATTTGAAGAGAAAGAATACTGACAGTTATATAATAAAATGCAATACAATCATCGTACAAAATCCAATCTTTTGGCACTTTCCCCATCTTCGCTATTTCCACCAACATCCGTAATCAACTGAAGAACTTGCATCGCTCCCTTTTCCAAACAGGGATATCCAGGAGGGTCAGAGCGGATTTTCAGGGTCAGATTGTGTCTTTGGCAGCTGCATTCATTCACTCACTGTCAAGATCTCTCCCCCCCCCCAACTGAGCTATAAACAGAACCCCATTTTTAAACCTCATCAGGAACCAGAAGTCTGACAAAGGCAAGAGCCGGTAAGCAGGAAGTTCACACCCACTGACATTTATGGCAAGACACTCTTTGACCTCCGTGAGTACGTAACAGGCCCAACAGTAGTGCTCTCCTTGATAAGTAGGCAAGCCTGGGTCAGTTTCTGACCAAATGAGGGCAGATCTCTCAAAGGCAAGGAAAACACAAAAACACAAGGGCACGCTTTTAGGCTATGAGGTGGGCAACCAACCTTGCAAGATTAAGGGCCCCCGTATCTATCTAGACTAAATGGCCCCGTTAATACATTCAGTGGCCAATAGGCTCATATGTCCAAAGAGATCTGTGTTTGGCATCAGGTCGGCCAGAACCTTGGGCAAAAGCACTCTAGTAGTAGTTTGCAACTGCCCTACCTAAGGGCCAGTAGAGAAGATGTAAGGGCTACACTGCTACCTCTTGTCAGATTACATCCCTGCAGTGTTCATCACCATGGCGAGGAGGTTCACAGCCATGACTTCATCAAGTAAGTGATCTCTCGCTCACACACGTGTACACACACACACGCCTCGTTTGGCCTCCTACTCCTGAATCTTGTTCACGTCCCACATCCCGAAACAGTCGTGTCTGCGTTCCATACACACCCCTCTTCCGGAATGCCTGCATTTGAAACACCAAGCTGAGGCCGCTCGCTCATTGAATAGATCCACTTTCAGAATGTGCTTCGGTTTGGAGCTTCATGCAGCAAAATACCAGGGGATAATATTGCTCGAAGCTACCAACGTGAGTGACCAAACTGTGGGAGGCAGTGGAAGACAGGAGTGCCTGGCGTGCTCTGGTCCATGGGGTTACAAAGTTGGACATGACTAAACAACAAATATTGTTCCTTGTGCCTACTTCCAGACATTGCTCTGGATTACAAGAGCATATAGCGGATCTCTGTTTGCAAGAGGGCTAGAGCTCTTTTGCAACTGGTGTGTTTCCTTCCAAAAGGAGGAAAGTCCCAGAATGCTACTGGGCGCCCCTTAGGCCATAGGGCTACTTCAATAGTCCACTGCAAGGAAGTTAAGAGATGAATTGGTACATCACTTTGGCTATGTGCAGGTACATTACATTCCTCAGATTGGCTTCGCTTTCCTTCCAAGCGCATAATCAGTCAAAAATCTGGGTTTGTTCCTATATAATTTCTGGAGTTATCCTTTGTGCCTCTTATCATGAAATCTTGGTGTCCCCACAAAGAAAAGTGCAGCCATAGGCAGTCTCTTGTCTGAGACCCCATGGACGGCACTAGACCTTTTCACAGCATATCCTGAAGGAGACTGCTGGTGTGAAGATACCACATGGGTAAAGCTTTGCTTCCCTACCTTTCCACAGACTGTCAAGACCTAGACCATGCTTTTCCAAATTCAGGCAGGACCATATCACACACCTGACTTCACCATTGCTTCTGCCATCCCAGTTTCTGGCACTCACTTAAATCACTTGTACACCCCGAGGGTGTACTGATCAAAAGTCTAACAGGGCCGTAAACGGGTCGTAAATGGGTCTCGAGGGCTGAGCCCCTGCAACATGCACCGGGACAACACAGAACAGACAACCTGACTACCTGTGTGCGGTAGTGCAACAAAAGAACTGGAAATCCACATAATTCTTCCAGCGATGATCCTAAATTCCCATTAAGAAACATGATCATCAGCTCACCCAAATTATGTTACTTGACGTGCGATCACTTGGGAAAAGTGCTCTACATTCACCAGAGATTATGCTGAAATAAGCATCTGAAGTGAACTCATACTTTCCAAGTTTTTAAGGCCCAATTCTCCTCTGAAGTATCCTTCTAATCCCCTTTTCTTACCAAGGGGCCACATCTTTCTAAAGGGCCTGAAAAGGTCTGGTCTCCATAAGGGTTTCCTTACTGTAATGGCAGTCTTTGGCATGTTGAGAATAATACCGATTGCTCCCAGGTTTTCAGCAAGGAAACACTGCATTTTACATAAGCGTTTTCTGTCTCTAACAGATCAGCAAAATTTAAGGTTGCAATTCTACTCAAGCTTACCAAAAAGTGAGCCCCACTGAAATCAGTGGGGCTTCCTTCTAACCAACTATGATAGAATGGTAAGGACCTAAGGAAATGAAGCAAAAGTGAAACCAAAACATATTCTAGTTCTGTTTGCCAGGAAAGCCAACCAATCTGGAATTAGTTCAAAGTCCACCTGAACACTTTCCTCCACATAATTTTTAGAGAATTCTCTTAAGTGCCGGATTTGCTTGGTCCAAGCAAGTGTCAAGGCTGATGCTAGACGGTGAAGACCGCAAGAGCTCTGCCCCTCCAGCAAACAGCTGTAGAGAGGAAGTTGCAGGATAACCAAGGAAGCTCCGCAAGGCAGAGTTGGAATGAACGAGTCAGGCTGGAAGACAGGTGGGGGTAGCTCTCTTGCCAGTGATTGAGGAAGCCTTGAGAAAAGTATGCCAAGTTTTAGCTTCCCACCTCCAAAGGGATACAGCAGCACAACACAGAAACCTGGGTCTACAAGTGACTGTTGAACTGCTAAAAGCATTTTTAAACCACAACCTGTTTTTAGAGATTACAAGTTTCCACCCACTGAGAGCTTCTTTGGCTCTAACCATACTAGGGTGATGTACTTATAGACTATTTACTCTGTATTTCACCTTTTGTGGCTTTCAACTTTTCCTGAGCAGCAAACCCAGAGGCCTCAATGCCAATCTATCATGGTACGTAGTTCAAAGGGGCTTAAAAACACCTACTCCTAGTGTGGGACAAACCTGGCTGATTGCAGTGGCCACTTTTGAAGTCATCATGAGTCACCTTATCCTCTTCAAATTCTTACGACAAAGCAGGCTTGTGAAAAGCCTATCTGATACAGCAAAACAAAACAAAAAACAAACCTCTGCAGCACACTAGACAACAAGCATTGCTGAAGAGATTGTAAATATGACACACTTCCACATGTGGAAACTTTAACTTGTTGACCAAGTGAGCACTGGTTAGGGTGGGTGTCCAGAAAATACTCCCAACATCGCCTATCTCCAATTCAAAACCCACTTTAAATGGGACAGTTTAGTCATTTGCATTGGGCCTTTCAACCCAGCAATCTCAAAAACCAGACACTGGAAGAGTTCAACAGAATCCACTCTCCACGGCCGTCTCATTCACACAACACATCCGCACACATTTCCAGTCACAGAAGTCATTCCACTGCTGTCATAGTTTATATCCCCAAAGCTGTGCATGATGAGGAGCAAGAGAAAGGCTTGGGATAGCAAACAAATCGCCATGGTAGTGAGAGAGGCTAGGTGCAATTTCTCTGCCTTCAGTTCTGTCTCGCCAGAGTGGGAAGCCTTGTGTTTGTACACCTCAAATCTGACTCCTATTAACATGGCCTTGAGATCAAAAAATAATCTGTGGCAATGCAAACGGATTGTGCCAGGTGTTAAGAGATGGACAGCACAAATAGCAGCCACAGATCTGGCAAAAGGTTATTAGTTTGGGTTCTGTATAAACAGCCCTCCATAGATGTGAATGCTCAATAATACACTGTATATTTAAATACATTCCTGTGTATCCCACAGTTCAAATGACTGGCCTCCCTCCCTCTCAAGGCTGCTCCTGAGGTTAAAAGATCACTCACAGCAACTGATTTCAGTGACAAAAAATGCCAATCCAATAGTGTCATCTACTCACAACCTGGAAGCAGTTTGCATACCAATGGGACTCGGCTGTAGACACGGGTCTATGCCCTTCTGATCAGTGAAATTTAAATGCATTCCTGTGAGTGGGTCTGAAGTCTCAGAAGCAACTTCAGTAAAAAGAATAAAGTGTAGCCTACATCTGTGCAAAGACCTTGACTGTAGCGTGAACTGGATTTAACTCACCTTACCATAAAAAAAAAAAAGGAAACGCAATTGGGGGAGGGGGAGGTAGGATAACAAAACAGGTCTTCCTCCTTCCCAGATCATTTTGACCAACCTCACATTAACTAGAAAAGGCAACATTGTTCAATAAGTGCTACTTTGCACCCGTGGTGCTCTTTGACCGCAGGAAATACTGATCTGCTCTCCCTTTCCGCCTTGCCACTGTCCTGTTCTCGCTGTCAAACTTCCGCTGGAGCTGCAAGGCCAGCCGGCGGTCTTCCTCCTCCTGCTTCAGCCTCTGCTCCATCTCACTCCTCCTCCTCTTCCTCGGAGGTTCGGGAGCAGCCAGCGCCCCGTGGTGACAAGCCACCTGCCTCAGTCTCTTGACCGAGCCGGCCTGTTCCAAGTGCTTCATTTTGCACTGTCTCTTTCGGCCCCTCCTCAAAGGCGAGGTCTCGTCGCCGAGGGCTTTCTCGATACAGACGCCGTTTGGGAAGTTGCTCCGCTCACTTTCGTTCAGGTACTTCAGCTGCTTCCTGCCGGCCGCCTTGACCGATGGGCCGAGGGCCCCGTTCTCTGGAAACTCCGAGCTGACTCTAATCACTTTCCGGGTCACCATTTTGGCATCGACGTTCAAACACGTTTCCGTCTGCCGCAAGGCTGATTTTGCGCTGGGGACGTCAGAAATCCTGGTGTTTAGGGTGCTTTCGTTGGGTCTCGCTACGGGTGCTTTGGGGTAATCTTCCACCGCCTCCAAGTCTCTCCTGATATTGCCAGAGCTTTCAAACTTTGAAACACAGACGGAAGGCGAACAGTCTGTTGCTGCCTGCACGTGCGTGATGATTTCAGGCGGCAGCACATCGTTTGATATCTGCGGGGGCTCTTTGACGAGTGAGTTCACGCTAGGAACCAGAAAATCTTCCCCCACCTCTGGGGCCAGGGATGTTAGGGTGGCTTTAGAAAGTGTCTTTTTCACCTGCCGTTCCTGGAATATCTGCTCCCATTTTTTCAAGATCCTGGGACTGGCTTCGTAAGTGGTTGGCTTCTGTAAACTCCTCGTTAGGTTCCTCGGAGTAGACTTGATAATTAGGGGACTGAGAACTCCACCGTCGGGAAGCTGCTTTGGAGGTGTGCAGGGTGAACAGACAATGGGCTTGAAGTGATTGAGTTCTTCTGAAATGCTGTCATTGCTCTCGGGGCTGATCGAGCGCTCTGGCTTCTGGAGGACGGAGAAGGAAGCAGCGGCATGGAAGACAAGGCGCTTATCAGCTGTTAGGTCTGGGGCGGAGAGGCAGCGATTGTTCTGGGTGGACGATAAAACTCCAACGAGGGGAGCAGGCGCACCAGATAACTGGTTTATCTGCAAGGAGCAAGTGGGTATCGTTATTAACTAATTTACACACAGCTTAATGCCAAAAGGGGTTTACAAAGTACAGTGGTACCTTGGTTTACAACCACAATCTGTTCCGGACGCCCGTTTGTAAACCAAAACAGGTTGTAACCCAAGGCGCGCTTTCGCCAATGGGGCCTCCAAAAAAAATTTTTTCACAATCCAAATAAAATGGGTTGCAATCCAAAAAAACGTTGCAAACCGGGACATGCACTTCTGGGTTTGACGTGTTTGTAATCCAAAACATATGCAAACCAAGGTACCACTGGATAAAAACGATTTTCACAGATTACGTTGAGAACTGCTGCTGCTGCACATTAACATGGAAGGCAGATTCAGGGTAATAATGAAAACAGCTGTAACATAGCCCTCCAAGCACCTTACAAAAAAAGGGGGCAAATTCCATGTTATAGATCATTAAAAATGGGGATTGGAAATCAAACTGTCAATATCATGACGACGTTATACAAAACTATGATACAACCACACTAGATGTACTGCCCAGTTCTGGTCAACACACACCTCAAAAATGACATTGGAGAGCTGGAAGGTTAAAAAAAAAAAAAACCCCAACTGAAGTGATTGTGGGGCTGGAGCAATTCACCAATGAGGAAAAGTTACACAACATTTGGGGATTAATTCAGTGAAAAGGTGGATAAAGAGGGAGGCATGATAGTGGTGTATAATGATTATGGATGGTGAAGGCAAAGGGGACAGAGACAGAACAGTGCAGTACAATAGTAAGAACCCAAGGTTATTTGATGAAGCTAGATGATGGAAGATTCAGAACAGAAAGAAGAAAGTTCTTATTCACACAGCGCATAGTTAAAACTACGGCATTCACTCCCAAATGATGCAGCGATGTCCCAAACTACAGGTGACTTTAAGGGACAAATTCATAGAGAAAGAGGCTCCCACTGGTTGCTAGCCATGAAGGCTGCATCCAACCTCCACTACAGGAGGCAGTAAAAGCCTCTGAAAACCAGCTGCTGAGATTAGGGAGGGAAGTAGGGAGCGCGCTATTGAACTCAGGTCCTGCCTGGGGGTGTCTAATAAATAATAATAATAATAATAATAATAATAATAATAATAATAATTTTTATTTATATCCCGCCCTCCCCAGCCGAAGCTGGGCTCAGGGCAGCTAACAACAATAAAATAATACAACATTCTAAAACCATTTCAGTATACAATTAATTCAAATCAAATTGATGGCAACCATTAGGCTAAAGTTCTGTGAAGATTGCCATAGGAGGGAGTCAGGCTGTGCCTTGGCCAAAGGCCTGGTGGAAAGAGGGTGCTAAGCTAGGTGGTTCTTTGGCTTGAGTCAACAACAAACTGCCACATGGAAGCACCCACAGGACCCTCTGCAGTAGTAAAGGAATATGTCAAGAAACACACATTCAGTATTACAGAAAGCCAGCAGATGCAGCAGTCCCCTGGTCAAATCAAAGACTCTTTACAATATAGCTCAGGACATTTTGAGGCAGTGGAACCCAAGATGATAGCCACCATTTTCAAAATCATCATCACCTTTGTTCTGACTGGAGCTGATCTTTGCCTGCTTTTGGATCTTTCTCGAAGGGTATCGTTGCAACTCTGGCTCCTTTCTACCTTGGAGCTCAAGGTTCTAAAAAAATGTAAAGAAAACAAAAGTTTAGTGGGAAAAGCACAATAAATTAACACAATGCCTACATAATGCTATCATTAAACACCAGTTTGATCTTTGTGCAATAGCTTCCTCTTCGTCTCACCTGGGGGAAGGTAGAGGCAGTATATATGCAGGTAGACTTACTTGTATTGTACAAGGTACTGTTCTGGTTCAGCCACAGTATATATGCAGGTAGACTTACTTGTATTGAACAAGGTACTGTTCTGGTTCAGCCACATGCCCTCTATCTAGAAATAATATTTCACTAGTTTTAGTTTTATTGCTTCTAATGGACTGAGCTTTATTTTAAATGTTGTGAACCCATTAGTAATAAGGATACTTCAGATATGGTATAAAACCATTTATTTTTACTAATGGCCCATGACCTACAGAGAGCTGCCTCACCCAGAACATGAAGGGGCTGTGAAATCTTTATAGAGAGGAGCTCCAATTGTTCAGCATTTCTGGTCCACATGATTGCCAAGAAGATTGCAAAGCAGGCAAAAAAAAAATCCAGCTAAATTGCCCCTTCACGCCACACTGCCCCCCCTTACAGCTCCACAAAAACCAGGAGTCACAACTTCCTTGGGCCCCAGTCCCTGTAACACATCTGCATAAATGTGCACACAATTTTGAAGTGGTTTGTAATTTGTAGTTTATTCCAGGAACAAATTCTGAGCCGCTATAACACAGTCCAGAGTCATCTGCTCACTCTCCTAATATTCCCTGCCCCACCTACCTCCACTGTCTTAGCTGGAACTTTCCCTTAAAGACAACCCAGAAACTGACCAAGGACTTACCCTGCCACCAATGCTATTGAGTAGGTGCTTCCCTTGGAGACAAAAGCTGACCGATGTGCAGATTTGCCCTGGAATGGTTCCTCATTCTCGGAATCAGAGAGGCGTTCAGGAAACTGAAGGAATCAAGGAAAGATTAGTTGGCACTTTCCTTATTTATAACAATATTTTAAACTGCCAACTCACAAAAAGTACCAATGTGGCATACAATGGACCACAAACAGCCTCACTCTGGCAATTCACTGCTTCTTCCAACAGTATTTTGAGCCTCCATTCCACAGAGCAGTTACGTTTGAAGTATGCACTGAGCAGAGCGGGATTTGTTGGCTGTAACCAAATTTGAGACAACAGTAGAAGAACAAAAGAAGAGCGTTTCTGCTGGATCAGATCAAAGGCCCATCTTGTCAAGCATCCTGCTTCCCTTGGTGGCGAACTAGATGCCCCTGGGAAGCCCGAAAGCATGACACCGAGGCAAACGGCTCTTTCTCCTGCTATTCTTCCCCAGAGGCTGGAATGCAAAGGGATACTGTCTCCATGTCTGAAGGTGATTTACATCATCGTCAAATAGATTTCTACATGCTCATCACTGCAAAGTCTTAAGATGTAAAAAAACTCACAACAGTAAAATCCTGACCAGTATATAGCCACATGGTTTCAGAGTTAAGGGACTAAAATACAGTGGTACTTCAGGTTACGAACTTAATTCATTCCGGAGGTCCGTTCTTAACCTGAGGCGCACTTTCACTAATGGGGCCTCCCGCTGCCGCACGATTTCCGTTCTCATCCTGGGGCAAAGCTCTCAACCCGAGGTACTACTTCCGGGTTAGCGGAGTTTGTAACCCAAAGTGTCTGTAACCCGAAGCATTTGGAACCCAATGTACCACTGTACTATGGCAGCTATGGCTATCCACGACTAATACGTCATGATGGCTAGATTTATATTCAACATCACAGGGAGTATGCCTCTGAATACCAGTCACCGGGGAATTACAGAGGGAAAGGGATACTAGCCAATCCAGTTTCTATGCCTGAGTCCTAAAATCCTTAGCTCATCAACATCCCATGGGAGATTACTCTGTACCTCTTGATACACATGTCTGAAAGCGAGTCCTACTGAACTCAACTAGGCTTTCTTTTGAGCAAAGCTTTAAGGTCAGGGTTGTCATCTAGTTAAATCAGGGGTCGGCAAGGTTTACCCCACCTGGGCCAGTTCACTCCAGCGGAGATCCCTCCATGAGCCGGACTGCGTGTGAGAGCGCGCCCGCAATTTCCGGCGTTTGCACAGACACGATTTCCCGCGCCATGGAAGCAAGTCCCCACACCGCGCTGTGCCAGTTTAGCGCAGTGCGCAGGGACTTGCCAAGCAGGCAGCTCGGTTCGGGGGCGGCTCGGGGGCCGGTTAAACAACCCCCGTGGGCCGCTTGTGGCCCATGGGCCTTAGGCTGCTGACGCCCTGAGTTAGATGCCCCTTCTCCCATCCCATTCAGCATTTTGTCCGCACATTCATGTAGTTATAGCTAGGGAGGAGGAGCCCGCTCAGCACTTTCAATCCCTGCAATCCATATTCGTGGGTATCTTTGTCCTGTGTTGGTTCACACAGCTGAACAACAAAATCTGTGGCTTCCTACGGCAAGACTTTCCAGAGGAAACAAGGTCTCAAAAGTTCCCCCTTCAATTCTGCACTGAATTTGGTGTGGCCATGAACCTGACAATAAAGTCCCAGGCGAAGACAGTGTGCCATCGTCACGTGACATAGTCCCTAGTGTCTACAAGATATTTCTAGGAGGAACACCCAAATGATTGGCTTCTGCATTAAAAGCAGTATTTTTTTTTATCCTACATCCACCATATGGACAGTAACTTATGGTTACCAGATTTTTTTCAATGAATCCAGGAACACTTTTTTTTTTTTTGGAAGCTGAGTAGCAACAGGGAGTCAGTAGTGGGGATGGCGAGGCAAAAGACCCTGGGCCCAAGCACACTTGCATATTGTATAAAGGCGCAAAGCCCTTCTTTCGCACCGTGAAACATAAACGTGCAGAGTTTTTTAAAAACTGGGCAACGGCCGCCCACCCGTGACTCCTGAGCCTCCCCCAATCAGTCAAAACAAAGGGGGAAGGAGGCAGGAGATGTTTACCGCCGGACGTCCCTGGTTCTCCTTTGGCAGTGGCAGTCAGCAGCCCAGAGTCAGCCTGGTAGCGCAGTTGGCTCTGGCTGGCTCCGGGCTGCCACTGCCACGTTTCCCAGGGACAGATTTGCAAATCCGAGGACATCTGGTAACCCTACTGTAACTAAATCGTAGTATTTTGGAGGGGGAGCACTGCACATGTTTTGCCCACAAAAGGTTCAATCTCTGATGCCTCCAGGCTATCCTGGCTATGGCAGGTAAGTATACAACTCTTTTTGGTAGTGGTGGGGAGACAAAGCAACATAGCACAACCCACAGTTACTTACACGTTCTTGGGTCATTTTGACCATTAAGGACTCCTCTTTCTTCTGATCTTCTGTTTTTCTTTTCCCTGCATCAGTAGTGTCCTCAACAATCAGCTTGTGAATAAAATCATCAGAGGTTCTCTCTTCTTGCAGTTTTTCATCCCTCAACTAGAAGCAAATGAGAATTCATGTCCTGGTTTAATCTTGCTTTGGCTGCTGCTCTTTTTTAAAAATGCAGCTGTTTTATTGCTGCGGCTACATTTGGGTGCCACAGTTAGAGAGAGACATTGACCAATTGCAGTGTGTCCCAAGACGGGTGACCAGGATAGTGAGGAGACTGGTAACCAAACTGTATGACAAATGATGGAAAGACCTGGATCTCTTTAGCCTGGAGAAGTGACTTTTACACTGATTCTAAGGCAAAACCTTCCAAAGAAGTTAACGTAACTTAACAACGAAGCATTCTATAGAAATACAATAAAACAGCTGAACAACGGCAACATTAAATCCAGATAAAACACATCATTAAAACCTGAAAACGCTAAAAGGTGGAAACAAATGAAGATAGTCTTCACCTAGCACTGAAAAGGTCTCAGACTCTGCATCATGTAGGCCTCTCTGAGAAGAACGTTTCAGAATCCAGGTCCCACCATCAAAAGGCCCCTATTGTGGTCACCACTCAAGGCAGGGGGACCCATAAGAGGACCTAAGTTGGCTCAGGGTAGCCATTTTAGAAATATAATTACTTATTTTTGGTGTTGCAAGGTTCTGCTTTTTAAAAAATAAATAAAAAATAAGGCAGTTATTATGGGGAAGACTGCAGCTGCAGCTGTTCCTCATGCAGAAAAGTCTCAGGACCAATCCTTGACATGTCCAGGTAGAGCTGGAAATGTCTTGTCTGAAACCCTGGAGAGAGACGGCCGGTCAGTGTCGACAATATTGAGCAAGATGGAGCAAAGGTCTGACTCCTATTTTCCTATCTATTATGCAAAAATTATAGTGAAAAGATCAGGTGTGGCATAGGACTAAATCCCAAGACTTGGCAGCAACTCCTGAATTTAGGCACTGGACAATCTATATGTCCCACCTGAGCATAGGTTTAGGAATCTGCTTCCTTTGGGCGCAGTTTAAAGTTCAGAAAGGGTGTTTAAACATTGAGAAGCACATCTAAGTTCTGCCAGTGTGTCTGAAGAAAAAGAGCAGGGCCAGCAAGCCAAACAGGAAGTGGACAAAAAGCTGTCTCCCAACTGCACACGTGGCAGAGTCAGAGCCCCAGAAACACTTCTTGAAAACATTTTCTCCTCAATTGCTGTAAAGGAAATCATTAGAACTATTGCCAGAAATGCTTCTACAGCATGAAGAAAATCTTAGTGCAGTTTCAACAAGGAAGCTGTGTAGGATATGCAATTCCCAGCTTCCCTTTCCTAAAGTCACCAGGCTTCTGCTTCTGCAGGCTTTAAAACTACAAGATCTGTATAAGGAATTCATTATTTCACCTCTATGATACTGCATGTAGAACATTTCTATTTTCCCCCCTCTGGTGGCCAGTAGGCAACTGTGCTATCTTATTTATAATCCTGCAGTTTTGAATGAATCACCCAGAAGGCTCTTCACGGAGGATTAAAAACGAATAACTATTTCTACTGGGCAACTGGGTGCTTTACCAAGCAAAGTACATGGGGCCTAGAGTCCCTCTGGAGAAAATTTAAATGGTGGGTAGCTAGGGGACTGCTTTGCAGTGTGTCCAACCACCCAGTGAAAATAGTTTTAAGGAGGAGATGGTAGGGGCAAAAAGAGCAATGGAGATGGAAAAAGAATGATGGAAGAGGTGAGGGTAATGAGCAGAGCGATAACGAGGAATGAGTAAGGGTGTGGGGATCATGCCTGGTTTGCACAATGTCTTCCGCCCCACAAAAGACAAAGCACTTGCACAACACAGGCGCACACAGCACCCTGCAGGCATGTGTCCTCCTTGCTTTTCCATCGGCCTGGCAAATGTAGAATCCCGTGGAAATAAAACAAAGCAACTTGAATTTATAATAATGATAATTTATTATTTATACCCCGCCCATTTCCCCAGCCACTCTGGGCGGCTCCCAACCGAATATTAAAAACATGATACAATTTGTGTCATTTTTACAAGGGATTTGCTCCCAACCGAATATTAAAAACACGATACAATTTGTGTGATTTTTACAAGGGATCCCCCCAAACGCATCCATGGGTGTGTACTGTCATTTTGATGGCACCCCATGTAAAAACCACGCAAGATCCACAAAGATCCATGACTTGGATCAACATCTGTGTGTCATGACAGCACTGGGAGTGGCAAGGGAAGAAGAGAAACTGAGGTGTACAGCTCTGGCACACTCTCAACATTCCACAGGTCTACAAGGGTTGGGAGCTCTTGCAATAATAATTTGCAGAAAGCATGGAAAACATTGCGCAGTTATCTCCTTTGCTCCACCTAATCTCTTTCTCTCATCCTCTACCATGGCTGAGAAAGATTCCCACAAAATGAAATAGAAGTTCTCAACTGTGCCCAAGCAAACCTCCTTAGTCAAGGAAGAGAACAACAATTAACATACTTTAAATCGCCCTCAGTAGTAAAAGACTGCCCAAATTCACATTTACAGAGATGTGTATAAATTTGATGTAAATAAATGGATAGATAGACAGATAGATAATTGATCTGACATTTAGAAAGACAAGACAACAGAAATCTGCAAGAGTCTACGGCATGCCTTAACACCCCTGAATGCAAAATGCTTATTAAAAATATGGCATGGATCCTATCAGCCCCCAAGAGTATCTGTCAGTACTACAAAAGGTTAAGCACAAAATAAACACCGTCTCTATGCTGGAGACAGATGCACACTAGGCACATGTAGCAGTGACTGCTTTAAACTTTAAACTCTGGCCCTCCAGATATTGTTGGACTCCCAACTCCCACTAAGCCCCACCAGAAGGTCCAAAGTGTCAGGGAAGATGGGTGGTGGACTCCAGAAACTTCTGGAGGGCCACAAATTGCCCATCCTGGTCATGATGATATGGCTGCAATAATTTATCACAGAATGCAACTGTCTTACCTTTCGTAGCTGGCTTTTGTATTCCTCATGCAGCTCTCCAGGCTTGCTTAACGTGATGGGTGCTCTGAATATAAAATCTGCCGGCAGAAAGAGGGGTGGAGGAGTTGTTTAGCGTTTTGAGAATTCACAGAAATGCTACAGAAATGCAGTTAAGCATGGTTATTCTTACTACTATATCAGAAATGTGTTTTTCCCTCATACTGGGGCTCACCACAAGGAGATGAATCCACTTGGCAACTGCATGCTAAAATAACGATCCAAAAAGCAGCCCCTAGCCTCTCAAAACTTTTTTAAAAAATCAAGCGCAACAATGTCAGCCTACCTATGCAACTGGAGTGAAACTAAGCAGGGTTCGCGCACATAGATGTCTTGCTGCTGGAGAGCAAAATGTCACACTACCTCCTATGCCATCTCTAGTAAAAAGCTCAACAGCAACTTTAAAAACCACACCCACTTTGGCTAAACACATGCCCAGGCAAGTCACTCTCTGGAACCAGAGATTTTCTACAAAGGTATTCAAGACCAAGTCATCCATAAAGCCATCCAATTTTATCTCATCATGTTTGCAAAGAAGAGACTATCGCAAAACAAATATAAGTCACTGATAAGAAGCTGAAAAGGGACAGGTTAGCCAATCCACAATTTGTGCCCACACAGTACCACCAGCTAGCTTTAAGAAAACTTTCCACATTTAAGTTACAAAACACAGGACCCATTTCAATATCACGTGGGCATGTTTATTTTCAAACGTTAAGTGTGTGGACATGAGTGCAAGAAGCAAAAATAAAAAATGTACTGTGTGCCTCTTCTAGGCATCAGATTGGACTACTAACACCCATTTGTGATATACTGCCAGGTCAAAAATTATGAAGCCATTATCACAATATGAACTTCAAACTGGTTTTGGATGATTTATCGACATATTGCCCAGCCCTAGATGTCATGGGGGTGACATGTGTACAGCACCCAAAAAAGGTGACTGCATCCAGCATTGAATGTACATTATCACACACTGCATACATGCGTTAAGGGACTTATGTCAATTCTTTCCCTAACAAACATTTGAAAAGTCAGGATTTGCCAGAAAGTCAAAGAGTCTCTAAATGTGCTCTCCTTTATACAAAGGAAGCCTGTCCTGAATTTCCCTATCACTTGAAAGGGAGCATGATTGTATAACAGAGTGGAAATGCTTAAAGGGAACCACGTCTTCCTCTCAATAGTCCTTTCTAGTAGCAAAATGCATCTTTTACTTTCCAGACAGGATAGTTTGCCTTTCTTGGCACAAGGTCACGATAAATCTACGGGGGAGGAGCAGGCGTGTGCACACACATCAAGATTCCCACACCAGCAGCACCCATAACACAGGCATGCACAAAGCTACAAAGCCAGTCAGCTGCAGTGAGCAAAATTTAGCTGCCGGGGCCCAGGGAAGCCTCACAACACGTGGATTTTTTATTTATTAAAAAAAATATATCATTTAATGGTTTAGCACCAGTGTTGAAGCAATGATTCTTCAACATCAACTTCGTTGGACTGGTCATGTTGTCTGGATGCCTGATCGTCTTCCAAAGCAACTACAGTGCTACCTCTAGATATGAACGGGATCCGTTCCGGAGCCCCGTTCGCATCTAGGAGCAAACGTAACTAGCGACAGCACATCTGCGCACGCACGCGTCGTTTTTCGCCACTTCTGCGCATGCACGTGACGTCATTTTGAGCATCTGCGCATGCACAAGCGGTGAAACCCAGAAGTATCATGCTCCGTTACTTCCAGGTTGCCACAGAGTGCAACTCGAACGCGCTCAACCTGAAGCGCATTCAACCCGAGGTATGACTGTACTCTATTCCGAACTTAAAAATGGAAAGAGTAATGCTGGTGGTCAACAAAGGAGGTTTAAAGACTGTCTCAAAGCAAATCTAAAAAATGTAGTATAAACACTGACAACTGGGAAACACTGGCCTGCAAGCGCACCAGTTGGAGAACAGCCTTTACCAAAGGTGTCATGGGCTTTGAAGACACTCGAACTCAGGAAGCAAGGGAGAAACGTGCTAGGAGGAAGGCACGCTTGGCAAATCCACACCGTGATCAACTCCCACCCAGAAACCAATGTCCCCACTATGGAACGACGTGGATCCAGAATTGGCCTCCTCAGTCACTTACGGACTCATTGTTAAAACCGTGTTTATGGAAGACAATCTCACTCGGCTACAAGTGATCGCCAAAGAAGAAGAAGAAGTGTGTGTGTATGGAGAGACAGATCTAGCAACTTTGTGTACTCGTGCAAGGTTCCCCTAAGACAAAACAGCATGTCCCCATGGCAGACGTTGCTCTGAAGTGACCCAACATTGGGTTGCATGAAATCTGACAGAACTGTTGCTCAAGACTAGACAGAATTTCCTAGATTAACAAAACAAAATCCAGTTTCCTATTTGAGGAAGTTTAATGACCAGGGCAGGGCCGGGCCTAAAAGCAGAAGACCCTCTCTGAAGTTTAACAGGTCAGAGTTTGGTCAGTGCCTAGATGCTTAAAGCTAGGGAAGAAAAATTGACTTTGAATAAACTATTTCTTAACATGTTTGTGACAGTTTACTGCGTTTCGTTAACCTGAAACAATGCCATACACAATCTTGACATAGAACACTTTTGTCCATTCTGATAATCCAATTTAGATAGAAGAGCTGGATATTGCAAACAAATGTAACCTGGTACATATGATAACAGAAAATAAATTAATTCGTTTCATTTGCAATTTCCCAAACTCAAACCAACAGCGGAATGTTGCTGTGCACTCCCCCCCTGCAATTACAACCCCTATTTTGTGTGCTCAAGAATCAGCCAGTGACTTCTGTTCAAAGAAAGAAAGCCAACAGTTGAGATCTGAAGATTCACAAGACTCCACCTTAACTCTTTGTGTCCCCCTCAGGTGACATCAAGGAGTGGCAAAAGTGCAACTTGCAGGCCAAAGCTCAGCACAGCATTATCTGAGGAATTCTCCTGAATTGAATAGTCAATTTCAAAAAGCAGTTTTCAGAAAACCTGTCAAACTACACCTAACCCAGACTTTCCATCCAACACTAAGCTATTCATTCTTTTCTGTAGTTGTACAGCAGACCAGAACAACCAGAAACTGTCAATTTATGGGGGGGAGCTGATAAAATTAGTGGCACTGAAGTGCTTTTCGAGATGAAAAGGTTTTCAGCATAGATAACACAAAGTTTTATGGCACACTGGAATCTAGGGACCTGTTGCACAAGGAACGCTCTCTCAATAACAAGAAAGAAAAAAGAAGGGTTCAGCCCTGGACACAGGTCAGACAAAATGAAGGTAATCTGGTTAGTGGAGATCCAGCTCAGACAAGTAAAGAAAAATGGCACAAAACTGAATTTACTCATGACATCCGATTCAGCGCCCAAGGTAGTGATGGTTGTTAAAACCCATCAAATCCCCTGCTTTAGGACAGTAACAACCTTGCCGAAGGCGGTAGGAATTGGAGAATAACAGTAAGTCCAGGTGACCCTTGCACCTTTGACCAGAGAAGGGCCATTTCCTGTATACACACCTTAGGAAAATCTTTCCCCATACTATCATCGTCTCAATTCACCAATCATCTTCTTTTCGGCAGCATTATGTGTCCAGCATACATTATGTAGCTCAGTAGGTAGAGCACGAGACTCTTAATCCCAGGATTGTGGGTTCAAAGCCCATGTTGGGCAAAAGATTCCAACATTGCAGGGGGTTGAACTAGATGACCCTTGTAGTCCCTTCCAACCCTACAATTCTATGATTTAATTCTATGTGCAGAACATTCAACACATCTACCCACAAAGTCAAGAAATATATGACCAACACAAGAAGCAAAACTAAACTCACACTTGCTCATCTCCAGAGCATGTTTAAAAGGTGCAAATTCACACTCCATGATAAAACTCTCAAACACACATACACAAAGCCCTGCTTTACACCATGTGAAATATATTTTGGACTAATTGTGTTAGTTGTGTTAGTGTTAGTTGTTTTCAAATACGCAGGCAGAGTGACTAAAAAAAGAATCATCTTATGTTTGTGTACAATTGCAATCCATGTAAGTGATTCAAGGAGTGGCCATCGTTCCATCAGTAACCAAGAACAGGAAATTAGCAGACTTAGAAAAAATATTTTGTATATGCGTCATTACACAGCCAACCTCTTGTTCTTAGGAACATCACCTCACTTACTAAGTGTCATATTGTTCTAATAACACTGTGCTCCACAAACAATTAGTGATGTATACGCCTTTTCCCAATGTGCATGACTATCACACCCAAGCACTCATTAACTCACACACCAAACGCATCCCATTTCTCTTTACAGTGGTACCTCTGGATGTGAACAGGATCCGTTCTGGAGCCCTGTTCGCATCCTGAAGCGAACGCAACCTGCGTCTGTGCATCACGATTCGCTGCTTCTGCGCATGTCATCTTGACCATCTGCACATGCGTGAGCGGCGAAACACGGAGGTAACGGAACACGTTACTTCCGGGTCGCCACAGAGCACAATCTGAAAAAGCTCAACCCAAAGCTACTTCAATCCAAGGTATGACGGTACACTGATGAAGTGGTCTGTGGCCCAAATGTACAACACAATACATTTCTTGGGCTTTCAATGCTACATTCTTCTCTGTCCACCCCTCCTCTCAACACCTGACTCAAAGCAAACCTCACACACCCAGTCAATCAGGCACTAAATTTATCACAACACTCGAGACCCACAAAGGCTGTACTGTTTGGTACCTCTGGTTCACACGCACTTGAAAAGCCTCACAATAACACACCCGGAGGTCCTGTGCGCTGGATGTCCATGCACACACACTGCCCATGCCCCATAGCCAACGGATGATCAACCCATGTGGTGTAGTGGTTAGAGACTAGGAGCTGGGAGGCCAGGGCTCAAATCCCAGCTCAGCCATGAAACTCCTAGGGTGACCTTGGGCTAGTTCTCAGCCTAACCTACCTCACAGGGTTGTTGTGGGGGGAAATGGGGAGGAAGAATACACCTTGAGCAACTTGGGAGAAAAAGTGGGATACAGTGGTACCTCTGGATGTGAACAGGATTCGTTCCGGAACCCCATTAGCATCATGAGCAGAACTGTGCACGCGCGTGCCGTCATTCTGAGCATGCAGCGAAACCCGGAAGTAACCCATTCCGTTACTTCCGGGTCGCCGTGGGACGCAACCTGAAAAGATTTAACCTGAAGCGTCTTTAACCCGAGGTATGACTGTATAAAGGCAATAAAGAAAGAAAACTGAACGGGGCATGTCTGGTGACTGCTCCCCTGAAGGACCTGTCCCTGCGAGGAAGAAATATACACACAGGACTCCTTCACTTCACAAGATACACTTCAGACAGATGCCAACTGTGCCAAGGGGTGAGGACAATGCAAAAGATAAGAACGCAAACACAGAAGAGCACAGCCAATTGTTTGAAAACATCAGCCATGTGCTGGAAGTCCATGTTTTATACATCTTTGGTGCACTCGAAGGAGGAGTGTAACAAACACATGTATAAAAGATGTATAAAACATGGACCTCCAGCACACGGCTGATGTTTTCAAACAAACACACACCCCCACACACCCCCAATGTTGTGGTTAGTAAATTCCTTAAAACCATTCTTTTTTGGGAGCCAACCTGCATTTTGTAACTTTGGGTATTAAGGTTTAAGAAAGCGATCAATTATTTCAGGGTATTTAACCAATTCTTCCTGGAAATAAAGCTTGAAGGAATCAATTTCAGCAAGACTCTCAGAGAGTGGTTAAAAGCAGGTGGAAAACACGGGTCTTTGGGGTCACCTGAATGGTGGGCCAACACGCATCATCCGGCTCTCTCATTTGCTCTGAAGGCATTGCAAAACAACCACCGCAGCCACCACACGCATCTTAAGCCTGTGTCCATTTAGCTAGAAATAAACTGCGTTCTCGGGCGAAGCCCCACGCAGAGCTGCTCTCCCCGCGTGACACAGGCCCACGGAATTTCGTGTTTGCATTTTGTGTTTTTCATGTCGCGAACTGCCCCGAGATCTACGAATGCAAATTTAATTAACAAACAACAACAGCCACCTGCCCGCAGACCCAGGCGCCTACGCCCGCCCCCGTGAAATTTACCCATTCACACGCGCGCGCCGCGCCTGGGCGCATCCCGACGTGCTTCGCTGGCAACTGGGGCGCCTGTCCAAAAACCACACACCCTGAGGCTCCGCTGCCCACGTAGGCAGAAACGCGAGCAGGCACACGCCCGCGCCCAGACAACGTCAACGAGTCGCGTGCATTTCCTACTCTCACTCACACACGCACACGTAACCCATTCACACGATACGTGTCGCGCACGGGCGGGCGCCGCACCTCGCTCTGCCTGGGCGGGCGGTGGCGGAGGAGGCGGCGGCGACGGCGTCCCGCCTTCCGAGGGGGCCCGAACCGGCTGCGAGAAGCTGCCGAGGCGGCTGCGGCAAAACGGGCGGCCGGGGCCCTGAGGCGGGCAGCGCCGCGGCCCGCAGGCGCACCGGGGCCCGCCGCCCTCCGCCGCCGCCTCTTTCTCCTCAGGCCCGCCCTGGCGCCGCCTCCTCCGGCCCCGGCCCCGTCGCAGGAGCGGAGGCGGCGGCGGAGACCCCGCGGCCCGGACGCCGAGCGCCGCCGCCGATGCTGCTGCTGCCGCCGCCGCCGCCGCCATTTTCTCACGGCGTGAGGGGAGGGAAACGAGCCCCCGCGTCGGCCACGCCCACCTCCTCCATATTCATGAGCCCCTCCACCGCCAGCCTCCTCCTCCTCCTCCTCCGCTGCTGCTTGTTTGTGATGGTGGCGGCGGGGGAGGGTAGTCCGTTAATGCGCGCGCCGCGGACGACGGTTAGGAAAAGGCCCGCGCCTGCCTCGGCCGCCGCCGGAGCCCCGCCCACTTCTCCCCCCACACCCAATAGCCGGGCGAGGGTGGCTCGGCCGCGCCCAGTCAGAGGAGCGGGCCGGGAAGGAGGCTCCTCCTCCTGCTGTATAAGTGACGCCGCGGCCGCGGCCCCCTCCCCCCACCGCCTCAGCCCTCACAGGCGTCGTTCGCTTTTCGCCCCTGTTTTCCCCTCACGTTACACGGCTGCACGTTGTCAATGAACGCAAATAAAGTGACTGGAAACACGCGTGTCTCTGTGTCTAGACATACGCATATTTACATGAAAAGGGTGTCTATAACGTGTGTCTCGCATATCACTGAGGGAGAGAATACAGAGACGGGTCTCTGTGTGTGTTGTGTAACGGGGTATTCAGATAAAACTCATATTTACAAAAACAACGTTTTTATATAGCACGTGTGTGTGTGTGATATAAAGTCTCAAACTCAGACCCATCTCAGACCTTCCAAGTCTCTCTTTTGGCCAGCGACGTCCCTGATTTACAGAAGCTGTCCTAGTTTCTGATTTTATATATATACAGGGTGAGTCTTTTTTAAAAAGAGTATCCAGTGGGCCTCTTCGAAAGGACTCACCCTGTATATAAAACACTGTTTCTCAGGTCAGCTCCCTATTTGGTTCACTTTTCCTGTTTGCAATGCATAGTCTGTCACACACCAACTATAAGTATCAGTTATATATATATATGAAGCTTTTTACACGTGAAAGTCAAATGCAAGGAAGCATCCAGAAGCCACAAAGAGATGGATCTTGTCCTTTGAGCTCCCTGGAAATTTAATTCAGAACCAGAGATTGTCTTTTAAAGTCCAACTGGAGTGGACTGTTGACTGTTGATCTGAATTGGACGGATGCTTCAGATACTTTCAATTGTGGCTACTATTCTATATATATATATAGAATTAAATTTCCCTGAATTAAATTTCCAGCTTCAAGACTTATTTATGCCCACAAGCCTATGCAACAGTGGCTTGAACCATTTTTTTCCAGGACCCAGCCATTTTGCAGATTTTTCTGCACTGCTTTGAATGTTTTTTTATACTGCTGTACACACATTCTGGATGTTTTGCGATTGAGCGATACATAAATAAAAATACCGATTTATTTTTTTCTAATGGTAGGCGGAGAGCTAGCTGGGCAGTCCCACAGTTTGGTGCCACAACTGAGAAGGCCCTGGATTTTATTTATTTATTTGTTTAAAAGAATTTATATAATGCTTGATTTAAAACAAAAGAAAACAAAAACCCCAAGCCTCAAAGCGGTTTACTGTGCTTCTGACAGTGGGGGCATCATTCAGCCTAAGGCCTCAGGAAAACACAGCAGAGGGGAGTTGGTACATGGGAAGAGGTGTTCCTTCACATAGTTATAAATAAATTCATGGATGTCAGAATCTACCGTATTTTTCGCTCCATAAGATGCACCTGACCATAAGATGCACCAAGTTTTTAGAGGAGGAAAACCAGAAAAAAAATATTCTGAACGAAACAGTGGCTGTATGATTTTTGTGGTTCATGCTGTGGCCACAGACATGTGATCTGATGGTGAATTTGGGGTGACCCAATGCAAAAATCCTGAGGATCCATGTGGATCCGTGCTTTGTAACCACGTTTTTGCGCCATTCTGGCCCCACGCAACAGTGTATGTGTGATTTTTTTGGTGCAGGCTGTAGCCATGGACATGCTATGTGATCTGATGGTGAATTTAGGGTGACCCAATGCAAAAATCCTGAGGATCCATGAGCTTTTACCTCCCCCCTCCCAGGCAGCCTCCGCTAGGGTCCCTTATCTCCCTCCCGATCCCACCGATCAGCTGCTTCCTTTCAACACCCCCTTCCCACTTGTTTGCCTTAGTGTCTTTTCCTTAGCTGGAGCAGTTTTTTGCTCCTCCTTTTCTTCTAATTTCTCTCCTTATTGCTTTAGTCTTCCTGTTTCCCCCCTTTGCAAGTTTGCTGTCTTTACCTCCCCCCTCCCAGGCAGCCTCCTTTATCGCTAGCCTCCCTTATCTCGCTTCTGATCGTTTGCGATCAGTGGCTTCCTTTCAACACCCCCTTCCCTCTTTCAAAAAAAAGAGCAAAAAAGAGAGAGCATGATCTGTGTTATGTACTGAAGTTCTCACCCTGGGCCAGCAGGGGAATACTGTAGATAGTTTTCACTCAGGTCCACATATGCAAATAAGGGATTGAAAGTGACGTTCAGTGATTGGATAGTTACAGAAAGTTGTTACAGTTGCTTTGTAGTGGAGCTCTATATAACCAGGCTGGCTGAACCCTTCAGTTCAGTTCTGTTCTGACCTGTGAATAAACAAGAGCTGTTTGAAGAATCGCTGTGTTGTCTGATATGTTCACCCACAACTTAACAATCTGATTTTCGCCCCTGGGCAATTCGGCTCCAGGGACAATGCATTCTCTCCATAAGAAGCACAGACATTTCCCCTTACTTTTTAGGAAGAAAAAAGTGTGTCTTATAGAGCAAAAAATACGGTAGCTAATATTTGGGATAGTAAGGGAAAATGCAAGCTACAGAACTTCGCCAGCTTATTCAAACCAGCCTGGTCAAGCTGGCTGAATGCAAGCCAAGATGAAACAATGGCCGGGCATCTACGTATTTAAGAAGGTTCTCAGGTCTGTTCAAAACAGGGGTTTGCCGAGGTGTGTGAGGTGACAGGGAAAAGCGTTGTTTTACTGGAGGCTTGATTTTTTGGAGAAAGATGCTGGGAAAAAGAAGGAGAACGAAGGCCAAAAACCATCTCAGTGCTAGCTGGAGGAGGCTGCACTAAGAGACCGGGAGCCGCGACTGACGGCCGCTTTGGAGCCAAGCTTGCTGAAGCTATGAAAGGGGCAACAAGAGATACTCTTGGGATATAATGTTCTGCACCCCTCCACGGCAGACTTCCAGGTGTCATTCAGAATAAATAACAAGATGAAAGATGAAAAGATCTTTTTTAATAATTCAAGTAATTTAGCTTTAGTATGTATAATGGGACATGAATCCAATATCTCCATTCAGATCAGGTCTCTCCATAGTTTTTAGTTTGGTAATGAGTTGTAATTCAGCAACTTCTCTTTCAAGTGTATTTCTAAAATTCTTCTGCAATAAGACAGCTACTTTAAGTTAGAAGCTAATTTTGGTCATCTATTCCTTTAAGAATCCCTTGCCCTTCCCTGTGGAACCAACTGCCATAACAGTCCTCAACAGTTATAAGGCTGAAGTATCTGACGAAGTGTGTATTACACACGAAAGCTCATACCTTGAAAACTTATATTGAGTTGATCTTTAAGGTGCAACTGGAATTATTAAAAAATATTTTTTCATCTTGTTATTTATTATGACTATGACAGATCAACATGGCCTTCCACCTGAATCTGGTGTCATTCGTAGTTGACCTCTCCCACGCACACTGTCTTAGGTGACTTATTCCGGTTTTCAACTTCGGCTTTTGATCTCAAAACGTTCTGTTTATCACAGCTGATTCCTCTGTTCGTCTTGATTGGAATCGGAGGGACCGGCCTGTGCACCATGCACCTTGCTCTTCGCAACCCTGCTGTCAGGTAAGTGCCACCCCTAAGGGCAGGATCAGCCCTTGGCAAGGTGCTGACAACTGCCATCCCCGCAAAACCACTTCACGTGCTCCCCACCTCCCAGTGGCCCCTGGGTGTCCTTCACTGATGGATGTGATGCCGCGCTTTTGAATGGGGCCTAAGCTGGACTCCCATCTGTGGCAGCTGCCCACCACTTTACGCAACTCAGAATTAGCCACAGGGATCCGTGGCCTGAGTGGATAGTAGTGAGCTTGGCTTCTTTTTTAAAAAATATAATTTTTATTAACAGGCCAATCAAATCACATTAATTCCAAATCACATTAGTTCCAAATTATACAGCCAGATTTTTAAAATTTTTGTTGGGGGTACCCATACTTCAAGCTCCGAAAGGGATCCAAACTTCACTCTTGCTGCTGCTGCTTTAATTAAACAGTTCTATCAAGTTCTGTCCAGATAGTCTCTTTATTATTTTCCTCATCTTCTTGTTGTTATCATCATATATTCCTTTCTTTGTGATCTCTGATAATCTTCACAAGCGGGTTGAAAACAAACATATTCTGTGTGGGTTTTACACTCTCCAAGAGTCATATCACATAAAGGACAGACGCCATTTCCACACCTCCGTAAAGAACATTCCCACAGTCTGTCCGTTGATTTCCACAGGCTTGCCAATCTATATCTCAGGGGGACCTGCCAGGTCCAGATCACATTCCGATAACCATACATTCACATTCCAATGACCCTGGTCCTCCTCCCCCTCGTCCTCCTATGGGCAAGCCTGTCTTAACGAAACTCCATTTGTAACTGCGTCATAAAACTTTCTTTCCATTCCCCGATGTTTCCACCAGTCCTCTCTTTGATCAGTAATTCATTTCCACACAGTTCTTAACTCCTGCTTGTGATTAGTAATTAGCAATGATTCTTCTCTCTGGAGGGGAGGGTTATTGGTACTCACATAAGACAAAATAAGAAAAGTTTTTTCCTCCCCCTCCTTTCCGTTTTACTCCAACATACCAGTCTTTTAATGATGATTCTTCACTTGATTTATTTGTCCAGCCCGTCGCTCCGCTCACAGAGATCCCATTAATCAGCAGTCTTTACTCCCGATCTTCACTTGATGTATGTGCATTAGCTTCTTTCCAATTATATATTTCCAATTATATATTTCGAGCTAATGCGCGATTAGAGACAGCGTCAGGGAGAGCCGACCTCACCCGAGGGCTTTGTGCCAAGTGTCCTCACCCCCTTCTTTCGAATCCGGGCGTGAATTATGGACACAGCTGGCAAGGCAGCCCCCCCCATTCCCTTGGGGGGGCAAAGGAGGCTGCATACTCCCATATCAGCCTCTTAATTACCTCATGTGGGTCGGAAAGATGTTATTGTCGGCCATCTTCCAATGCGCCCCCTGGTGGCCCCTGTGAGCTTGGCTTCTTTTCAGAAGCGACACTGCCACTGAAGAGTGTCTGGGGACCCAGTGGCAGGGACTGGTGGCCTGGCTGGGCCAGGCTGATAAGCACCCTTCCAAGCTCCTTGGGGGCAGACCTTTTGCCACTTCTTTAAGTGTTGCATCTTAAAGCACCACCTGAATAAAATATGGCCTGCCATGCTCCAGAGGTATAATAATAATAATAATAATAGTTATAAAACAAATTATAAAACCACAGTAAAACATTAGCATCAGCTTCTTAGCTTTAGAGTAAGAAAACCAACCATATAAGCATTGCCATTCTTCAGCCAAGTTGTATCCAAGGCATTGCAATGAGCGGTACAGCATAGCTAAAAGGGTATTTGGGAAGAGAGTAAAGCCAATGAACTGTCTGAGCAGAAAGCACAAAGTCTAGCAGGGGCCTGTCATGGAGAAAGTGTAGGATTGGGTTGCCAACATCGAGTTCTGTCCAGCACTGCCTCACAAACTTGCTGCTGTCTCTGGTGCAAGGCAGTGAGAAGCTGCCCTTGCATTTAGGTAACTATGCGTTAACTGGCTTTAAAGGGCTTTTACAAATACTTGTGGTACGATGGACTTTTTTTACATCCCACATTATAAAAGAAGTGTGCACTGAGGAGGCCATGATTGTTAAATTTGGTGAGAACCACGTGCCAACAGTTGGACAGAGCGTTACGCTTTATGCTGTATGTTTTTCTTCTTCTTACAAAGATGTACTCCTTGCTGTCTGCCTCTTGTCACGTTTCTCTGCTTGGCTGGGACAAAAAGAGCAACCCAGAGCCTTGGGACAAGCTGTGACCCAACGACCAGTACAAGGTATGGTATGAAATACTTAACTAGGGTTATGATGCTGGTTATCCTATAGGCCAGGAATGGGGACCCTGGTGTCCAGCAAAGATTGTTGGGACTCCAACTCCCATCAGCCCCATCCCTGAAATCTACGGAAGATGGGCTAATAATAATAATAATGGCCATTTGGTGGGAGGCATAATAAGCTTCAGCTTTGGAAGGCCTGGTGTGTGTGATCACAGCATTTGGGGTTCGGCTAGATGACCCTTGGGTTCCTTCTATGATTCTTCATTCTCCTCTCCAGTTCAATCTTCTAAACTCTTGACTGAATAAGCAGGAGAGATCCCTGAGTTTCTGCCATTGACTTGTGGTTCTTTCTGCAAAATTGCTTTTAAGCCCATTAAAGTTGAATGATCCTTTCCCCCACTGAGGCAAAAGTTGTAGAGTCCAAGTCACCTGCAATGGTAGCCCCACGTAGAGCACATGGTAGTAGTCCAAGCTGGAGATAACGCTTAACCGTGCTGCCCTCTTTCAGTTCTATGCGGTGAATGCAGACTATGACAAGCTGAAAAAGGAGTGTCCAGATATCGGAAGAGCAAACGAATCTGGGAGCTATAGTTTGGGTTATAGGGTTTGATGCTTTTGTAACTGGATCTATAATGGCTTTTAGTCAAATACAATAAATGATTGATTGATTGATTGATTGATTGATTGATTGACTGATTGGTGAAAAAGTGCTTTTTTACTGAGATGCTAACTTTCTCTCTGCATGTCATTCCTTGCACAGCTTCCTGTGCAAAGATAAGGCTTGTGCATTTGACTAATGTTGTGTGGAGGGAAATGCAGCCCCTGGGCTGAAAAATGTCCCCTCCTGCCCCCTTGGGTTTCCAGTGTGGCCTTCACAGATATTGGCACAACGTGGGGGGGTGTGTGTGGCTGTTTTGCTGCACGCCCCATTGTGAGGGCTGAGGGGGTGATGGTGATGCCTCCCCAGCTGCTGCCATTGTCTGTGGGTTGACTGTGATGCCACAAAAGCATTTGGCAGCTGAGCGGGTATAAATGTGGGCCAAGGCGCAAGCCTCGGCAGTTGCCCTCCCCAGAGAGAAATGGGCAGCTCGGTGGCACTCAGCCCTGGTGGTCTCCTGCCCCGTGGCAGCAAGCTGGCAAGCGGAAGGAGGCAATCGCCCGGTGCTGGGATGCTGTGGAGCAAGGAGAAGGCAAGTACAAAGTTTACTTGCTGGTGGGATCGCTACTTGAAGGCGACTGATATTCAGCTCTGAAGCTGGTTATTGTCTGGCAATGGACCTGGCGAGGCTGCAGCTGGTGGGTGGTTGTTGGAAGAGTTTGCATTCAGGCTAGTGGAGGCCGCAAGGCTACGCTAGCTGAGATGGATGCAAACTGGTTTGGAAGCCTTGTTTGTTAACAGGCAGCCATACAGAGGAGGAATCTGGGGGGACACTGTTGGATGGGGGCCGTCCCACTCACCTGTTTGCCTTTGCCTTACAGGGATGTCCGGAGCCGGTGAGGTTTTCCCCAAGTCCAAAGTCATGAAGAGAACCGCAGGACATCCCTATTTACATCGGAGAAATGAATGCAAAATACTGGCAGTGAGCAATGGACAAGGCCGTGGCCGTACCTGAGAAAAGGAGCTTTGAAGGAAGACTGCAGGCGGACATCTGCTGCATTGCAAGTGATGGGGCAGTGGGGAGAGAGAAGAAAATGAGGGAGGAAACATTAGGCCACATTAGGCGCACCGTCAGTCCATTGGAAGTGCTATGAAGACGCTTTGAACAGGAATGGCTTCCCCTCAGGGATTCTGGGAACTGTAGGTGGTTAAGGGGACAGAGAGTTGTTAGGCGGGTTAGGCTTAGGCTTAGGAGTAGGAGTAGGGTAGGGGTAGGGTTGAGTTGGGGTAGGGTTAGGGTCCCTTCTTGTCAGGGAACTTTGGGAAGTGTAGCTCTAATTAAGGGTTAAGGGTTAAGGGTTAGCGTTAGAGTTAGCGTCAGGGGTAGGGGTAGGGTTCCCTTCTTGTCAGGGAACTCTGGGAATTTTAGCTCTGGTTAGGGAGTAGGGTTGGGGTTCCCTTCTTGCCAGGGAACTCTGGGAATTGTAGCTCTGGTTAAAGGTAAAGGGTTAGTGTTAGGGTTAGCATCAGGGGTAGGGGTAGGGGTAGGGTTCCCTTCTTGCCAGGGAACTCTGGGAATTGTAGCTCTAGTTAAGGGTTAAGGGTTAGCGCTAGCGTTAGAGTTAGTGTCAGGGGTAGGGGTAGGGTTCCCTTCTTGCCAGGGAACTCTGGGAATTGTAGCTCTGGTTAGGGAGTAGGGTTGGGGTTCCCTTCTTGCCAGGGAACTCTGGGAATTGTAGCTCTGGTTAAAGGTTAAGGGTTAGTGTTAGGGTTAGAGTTAGGGTTAGCGTCAGGGGTAGGGGTAGGGGTAGGGGTAGGGGTAGGGGTAGAGTTCCCTTTTTGCCAGGTAACTCTGGGAATTGTAGCTCTTGGAGGGGAACAGGGGGTCTCCTAACAACTCTCTGCACCCTTTTCAGACTATAGCTCCCAGATTCTTTGGGGGAAGAAGCCATGAGTGTTTAAAGCGGCTTCATAGCGCATGAAATGGTGTGGATGTGGCCCTGGCCTCCCTCACCCCACTGCCCCTTATTATTGCGGAATCGAAAAGATTTCCCCATGCAAATCTCTCGGAAACAATGTATTTCATCTGGAAAAATATTTAATAAAGATTATTTTTTATTAAAACCTTTGAATGTGTTTGAACTGTGTTTGAGTGCACAGAGAATGATTTCCCCATGAAAGCAATGCCTTTAGATTACAGAATCATGGAATTGCAAAGTTAGACGGGACCGAATCTTTTGCTCTACATGGGGCTCAAAGGACAGCCCTGAGATTAAGGGTGGCAGTAATCTGAGCATCCTGGACCCTGCCCCATGGTTCTCCTTGCCCTCCACCAAACACCCATCAAATGTCACAAAAAAGATATTTACATTTCCCTGTGTCCCAGCCTAGTTAATCACACCCTTTTGTCTTCATCTGGGTTTATTATTTCTGGAATGGCTACCTGTCTGGCACTCAGGTATCAGGATGCCAGGAATTATCACTCAGGCAGAGGGGCTGCTGAGTAGCTGAGCTCACATGTCTATATGCATTCCTGAAGTTTTCCCAGTGAGTCAATACACAGATACATTTATCAGTGAATTCTTACATTTGGTATATCGTGCAGCAGAGGCCCTTTGAATAGATAGGTAGAAACAGTGATGAAGTGCTTTGTGGGGACAAATCACAAAAGTCACAAAAGCGATTGTGCTGGTTTTGGTTGTGGGCTGCATGTGCATGATATCTGCTGGAGGGGCAACCCCCCCTCCCACGTATTCATAAATTCCTGCAACAGTACTGAGGTAAAATCAGTCACTGAATGGTTTGTGCACCCAAAAACAGAACGCTCAATGGTCTACTCCTGAGTAATCAATTTAATCTCCCTTTCACTTTTCTCATTTGCTTCTGTTGTATCCAAAAATTAGATCTCAAGTAAAAGGTCCAGTTTAAAGTTTACAGCTGTGTCTGTTTTCCACGTGGTGAAACAAAGTCAGTAGAGTTAAATTGATCTCGTGAAAATGGTTTCCCTTTTCATCTTTTTAATAATAATAATAATAATAATAATAAACTGGTGAAACCAGTTCCTGGTTCCTGCTTGCTAGTTTTCTACAGGTTGGCTAGATGGGCCGACTCATCCTATGTTCCTATGTTCTTATATCTGATATTTTAATTTAAAGAAATGTACCAAAGGTGTGAATGAAAATCCATGTGTAACCAGCATGCATTCCACCACAGTTCCCAGCAGATGTCTCTGTTGCCCAGAAATACAATAGTTTCGACTGGAGTGTTAATTGACGAGGAATAATCACATACACATGCAGATCAATGGAGATCAGGATAGCAAGTATTAGTTCCCCTTTAACATTTATATTCTTAGCAACTCTGAATGCTTATAATCATAGGGTGGCTGGGTGTCCTACTTAAGAAAGGACAGTCCTCTGAAAGAGTCTAATTGTAGGGTAGTCCAGTCTGAGTCTTCATTCTATTAAAATCTTTTGCGTAGTTCCAGCTGCCTTCATAGGGTCAATGACTAATAATAATAATAATAATAATAATATATTAAATTTGTATACCACCCTTCATCTGAACACCACAAGGCAGTTCACAACATGAAACTACAAAATGGGGGAAATACATAATAAAACAAAAACACATTTAAAAGGTGATATAATGTTAATCAGCCAAAGGCCTGGTTATACAGAAATATTTCCCCCTGGTCCCTAAAGATATGTAATGAATCTTTCTTTCTTTCTTTCTTTCTTTCTTTCTTTCTTTCTTTCTTTCTTTCTTTCTTTCTATTACTTTTTATTAAATTTATATCCCACCCTTCCCCCAAAGATCACAGGAGAGTTTACAACATAAAAACCACAAAATGCATGACACAATAATAATAAAACAATGATCCCCGCCGCACAGTCACAGTTGTTGTTGTTATTTATTAAATTTATATACCACCATTAAAACCACCCAATGTTGAACCTTTAAAATATTTTTGTGTGTATGTGTGAGACTGTTCATAACTCATACTGTTAGGAACTTAGGTGGGTCAGTCTGGATGTTGCCCTGAGTTGGTTGCAGAACCGGACAGGCAAGCAAGACAATGGCCTTAGCTGGCCATTTAAGTGTCTTCATCATCATCCCAAAAGAATGAGCTCCTTTGCCGAAAAGGGAACTATTTATATATGCGATGACAGTGGCAATAATGTTGTATGCCCAGGGATGGAAGAAAGAAAGAAAGAACCCCATTGAAAGAAGAATGGATACAGTATTGAAACTGATGGATTTTGCCGAAATGGCAAAATTGACTGGGAAGATTAGACACCAAGAGGACAATAAATTTAAAAAAGAACAGCCTAACTTTATAGAACATATGAAGGAACACTGCAAATATCTCAAAACGTTAGCAGGATTGGACTAGCACTTGTAATTTGACAAAGGATATTAAAAGGGAAATTGAATAGTTTGGATTAAGGTATTTAGATGCAGAAAAGAGAAGAGATAATTATTTGAAACTGGGGAGAGGGGTGGGGAGAAGTTCAGGGGTTGGAAGAACCCCCATAAAATACTGAGATTGTTTGTGGACTAATGCAAATAATAATGTATGTAAAACCTTTAAAAATAAAATTGATATATAAAAAAAGGAATGAGCTCCTTTGCAAGAGGTACAACTAAGTGACGGGGCCATCTTAGCTTTTCCTCCACGCCCTCACTTTGCTGCTAGGTAGAAGAAGGAGAGCCCAGAGAGTTGTCCGTGAGCTGAGCTGAAAGCTGGAGACACAGAGACCCGCTTGCTCTGTGCTGGAACCAAAGCTGTGAGCAATGGAGAAGCAAGGTCTGTTGGGCTGTCAATGCTGTGAGACCCTCCATCCTATGCTCAGGTTGTATATACAGTGGTACCTCGGGTTAAGAACTTACTGTAATTCGTTCCGGAGGTCCGTACTTAACCTGAAACTGTTCTTAACCTGAAGCCCCACTTTAGCTTATGGGGCCTCCTGCCGCTGCCGTGCCGCCGCAGCATGATTTCTATTCTCATCCTGAAGCAAAGTTCTTAACCTGAGGTAATATTTCTGGGTTAGCGGAGTCTGTAACCTGAAGCGTATGGACCCGAGGTACCACTGTACAGTCATATCTCGGGTTGAAGTAGCTTCAGGTTGAGCATTATCGGGTTGTGCTCCGCGGCGACCCGGAAGTAACGGAACGCGTTACTTCGGGGTTTCACCACTCGCACATGCACAGACGCTCAAAATGACAACACACCCATGCGCGAAAGCGGTGAATCGTGACCCACGCATGCGCAGACGCAGGTTGCATTCGCTTCAGGATGCGAACGGGGTTCCGGAACGGATCCCGTTCTCATCCAGAGGTACCACAGTTGGTGTAAATTGTTGGGAAACGCTCTGGGGTGGCCCTGCAGCCCCCGAACTCCAAGTGTCCTCTGGTATGCGCAGCTCTGGAAAAGGCATTTCCCTTCTTCTCCATTGTGCTTCAGCGACATATATCAAATGATAAAAAGGTTAAGGGACCCCTGACCGTTAGGTCCAGTCGTGGCCGACTCTGGGGTTGCGGCGCTCATCTCGCTTTATTGGCTGAGGGAGCCGGCGTACAGCTTCCGGGTCATGTGGCCAGCATGACTAAGCCGCTCTTGGCAAACCAGAGCAGCGCACGGAAACGCCGTTTACCTTCCCGCCGGAGCAGTACCTATTTATCTACTTGGACTGGCGTGGTTTTGAACTGCTGGGCTGGCAGAAGCTGAGACGGAGCAAAGGGAGCTTACTTCATCATGGGGATTTGAACCGCCAACCTTCTGATCAGCAAGCCCTAGGCTCTGTGGTTTAATCCACAGCGCCACCTGTGTGCCATATCAAATGATATATGCACACTAATCTTCTAGCATAACACAGCAAGAAGCGTGAGACATCGTAGAGTTAATCTATGTATTTATTTACACACTATGTATAGACAAAGGAATCATGGCACCCTCTCTCTCCAGCTCCAAGAGAAGAACAGGAACAAGTAAAAGCAAAAGTACAGCACAGTGGTACCTCAGGTTACATACGCTTCAGGTTACAAACTCCACTAACCCAGAAATAGTACCTCAGGTTAAGAACTTTGCCAAAGGATGACAACAGAAATCGTGCGGCGGCGGCAGTGGGAGGCCCCATTAGCTAAAGTGGTACCTCAAGTTAAGAACAATTTCAGGTTAAGAACGGACCTCTAGAACGAATTAAGTTCTTAATCAGAGGTACCACTGCACAATAGTACATACAGCGGAAGAGATAAGACTGTCTTACATTCCCACACTCTTCCCAAACAGGCATGTGATTTACACCAATCTCATCTGCAGCTTTGGAGGTGTGAAATACTAACACACTCAGGCTGTATATATGCGTAAATAACACCAGATATCATAAAGATGCCATAGTCCAGGGGTCAGTAACCGTTTTCAGCCGTGGGCCGGTCCACCGTCCCTCAGACCATGTGGTGGGCCGTACTATTTTTTTGGGGGGGGAAATGAGCAAATTCCTATGCCCCGCAAATATCCCAGAGATGCATTTTAAATAAAAGGACACATTCTACTCATGTAAAAACACGCCGATTCCCGGACCCGTCTGCGGGCCGGATTGAGAAGGTGATTGGGCCGCATTTGGCCCACGGGCCTTAGGTTGCCTACCCCTGGCATGGTCTCTGCTGACCTTCATTCCAAGGAAACTGAACTTGGGCAAACGCTAGAACCCCTGCGATCTCTCACCGCTCAGAGATTGGGGTGGCGTGCAAGAAAACTTTCATTCGGGAAGCAACAGAAGAAAGGGGAAGCAGGAAAAGATTGAAGAGGTGTCTGTGAAACTTGGTTGAGTCTTAGCATTATGGAGTTCGGTTCATCCCGAAGGCTATCGAGAGTCCAACCTCCTGCTCAGTGCAGATAGCTGAGAATAACGCCAGCAAGACAGAGTCTTTGGGTTATTGACTGCATGGTCCAAATGCTCTTAGCACCCATGTGTTCTTCCTAATGCTCAACCCATTGGAGGCTGATCCATGAAAGCAGGGATGTCCAACAGGTTGACCGCGATTGGCAGGTCGAGCCCTGGTTGTTAGAAGTCGATCGCGGTCGATTGCTGGCTCTTTTTCGTCTGTGGGGGGGGAGGAGCATTCGACCTTGCCCCCTCCCTCTGTCCTTTATCGCACACAATTTCAAGAACGGAAGTTGGAGTTTCCACTAGCGAGATGACTTATTGTTTATCAATTTATGTCGCAGCCCCACCAGAAAAGCGACAGAAGTATCAGCTGTCCCTCCCTAAAAAAAGGTCGAAAACTTTGACCTGCACCCCTAAGAAAAGGTTGACAATTTAGACTTGGTCCCTTAAAAAAGCTGAAAAAACCCCCAATGGGTAGATCACAGCCAGTTTTTTATAGATCACAGTCTCTTGGGAGTTGGACGTCCCTGCATTAAAGCAAACAGGGGCACTGCCCACCGAACTCAGTTTGCCTTCTGCTAACAGCACCAACCTGCAACCTGCAGAGAATACTTTACCAAACCGTGCCCCAAAATATACACCTGGACTTGTTTCGATTCATTTCTATAGGAGACTTTGCAGTTTTTAAAGCATAATTAGGAAAAATTGTAATAATCACATATAAAAGAAACAGTACACAAGAAGGAAATAAGGAGGCCATTTACAGAATAAAGGAAGTCTTTTATTTTTATGTTATGTTATGTTTTCTTTTCTTTTTTTAAAAAAGTTTTTATTAACAATTTCAACATAACAAATTATCAAAACATATTATATTCATTATTCCCCCCTTCAAACCCTCCCCCTCAATACTTCCCTCAGCTCCTCTCTCTGATTTCTCAGCACATATTATTCTCTGCATGTTATAAAATTATACATATCCTTACATTATCAATCTACCATGTTATCAACCAATAAATTTGTGTAAGTTTATTCAAAACCTGTGAAGGAGCCCAATTCATTTTGTTGTATTTTAAAATAACTTGTAAAAAGCTCCCATTCTTCCATAAAGTCACAGTTGTCCTTGTCCCGCAATTTGTATGTCAATTTAGCCAACTCTGTTATGTTTTCTTTGTGTAAGGGGATAGGAGTTTAATTTTGATAATTCAATTGTCATTGGAGGTGGGTTTGTTTGTATGTATGAGTTGTTGTGGACTATGTTGCGAACAAAGTAAAAAAATTGAAATTGAAAATAAAAATGAAAATAAATACAGCATTGTAGGCTTGGAAGGGACCCCAAAGGTCATCCAGACCAACCTCCTGCAATGCAGGAATCACAGGACCCCAAAGGTCATCCAGACCAACCTCCTGCAATGCAGGAATCACAGCTAAAGCATCCATGACCGACGCTTAGAAACCTCACATAAAGGAGAGTCCATTACCTTTCAAAGCAGTCCATTCAGCTGTCGAACAGGATGGTGTTCAGGTGGTATTTAGCGCCTGTCAGACTGGCTATGCTGTCTCATGGCTGGTATGTCAATGGAGGCGCAGGTCACTTCTGTGTCCAGGGCATCTGTTTACCAGCTCCATCTGTACACAGGATGAGACCCTCCCTGCCCGCAGACTGCCTCGCCACCAGAGTGGTGCATGCTCTGGTTATCTCCTGCTTGGACTACTGCAATGTGCTCTACGTGGGGCTACCTTTGAAGGTGACCCAGAAACTGCAATTAATCCAGAATGGGGCAGCTAGACTGGTGACTGGGAGCGGCCGCCGAGACCACATAGCACCAGTCCTGAAAGACCTACATTGACTCCCAGTACGTTTCCGAGCACAATTCAAAGTGTTGGTGCTGACCTTTAAAGCCCTAAATCGCCTCAAAGTCCTAGTATATCTGAAGGAGCGTCTCCACCCCCATCGTTCAGCCCAGACACTGAGGTTCAGCTCTGAGGGCCTTCTGGCAGTTCCCTCCCTGCGAGAAGCAAGGTTACAGGAAACCAGGCAGAGGGCCTTCTCAGTGGTGGCGCCCACCCTGTGGAACGCCCTCCCACAAGATGTCAAGGAAATAAACAACTATCTTACTTTTAAAAGACATCAAAAGGCAGCCCTGTTTAGGGAAGTTTTTAATGTTTAATGCTGTATTGTGTTTTTAATATTCGAATGGGAGCCGCCCAGAGTGGCTGGGGAGGCCAGGACAGATGGGTGGGGTATACCGCATTTTTTGCTCTATAAGACGCACCTGACCATAAGATGCACCTAGTTTTAGAGGAGGAGAACAAGAAAAAAAATGTTCTCTCCCTCTCTCCTTAGCGCCTCTCCAGCAAAGCGGGAGGAGAAATGGAAGGGGCTCCGTTTCTCCTGCCGCTTTGCTGAAGGGGTGCTGCGCAGAGAGGGGAAGCTGCGCAGCGGCTCTCCAGCGAAGCGAAACCAGGAGAGCAAGAGGGATTGATCCCTCTTGCTCTCCTGGCTTCAGCGAAATCTGTGCAGCCTGCATTCACTCCATAACACACACACACATTTCCCCTTACTTTTTAGGAGGGGAAAAGTGTGTCTTATAAAGCGAAAAATACAGTAAGTCATGGGTAGGCAAACTAAGGCCTGGGGGCTGGATCTGGCCCAATCACCTTCTAAATCCAGCCTGTGGACGGTCCGGGAATCAGCATGTTTTTACATGAGTAGAATGTGTCCTTTTCTTTACAATGCATCTCTGGGTTATTTGTGGGACATAGGAATTTGTTCATCCCCCCCCCCCCCGAATATAGTCCAGCCCCGCACAAGGTCTGAGGGACAGTGGACTGGACCCCGGCTGAAAAAGTTTGCTGACCCCAGGTATAAGTAATAAATTGTTGTTGTTGCTTTGGAATGGGATGGGTTCCGCAGATGGGACTTCCCCGTGGGTTTGTGTTTTGTCAGGCTCACCCCTCTACTCTTTGCAAGTGAAAAGAAACCTGAAGCTGTAAGCTGTGCACATCAATATAAAATAACAAAAGGCTTGATTTGCGTTATGAGATTCTAACATGCACTTTTCTCTACCTGGGACCTAAATATCTTAGAAATACTTAGCAAAGATGACCCGTTATTTAAAGGGAGCTTCACCCCACAAGGAAGGGGGGCGTCACTTCCCCAGCAAAGGAATTCTTCCTTTGATGAGGAACGAGTCACTTCTGATTCATGGTAATTTTTTAAACTAACCAGCGCATGAAACTCACCTAACTTGCTTGATAATATCGTCTTAGGCAGGGAGGCAGAATCGCTCTTCCTATATAATATGAGCTTAAGATGACTTAACATCTCTACATGTATTTTTATTTCATTTTTTTATTTGTTTAATGAAATTTATATACCACTTGATTGTAAAAAAAACCCCCAAAACCTCAAAGTGGTTTACACAGGGAATAAAACAATAAAATTACCAGTATTTGTCTTGGAAGGCAACACTGTGTGTGGTAATTTTTTAAAAAAACAATAAATTTTGTAAAAAAACCCCAGATAACCTAATAATCGCCCATCTTGTCCAGCATCCTGTTCTGGGCTGACCAGATGCCCATTACGGGAAACCCGCAATCAGGATTCGAACACAAGACCACTCTCCTCTCCCATGGTTTTTAGCAACTGATATTCAGATACATTTCTTCCTCCAGCCGTGAAAGCAGCGCATAGCCATCGTGGCCAATAGTCATCAATAGCCCTTTCATCCTCCATAAATTTCTCCAACCCTCTCTTTTTAAAGCCACGCAGGCTAGTGGTCATCATTCCCTGCTGTGGCAGGGAGTTCCACAGTTTAACGATGCACTGTGTGAAGAAGTCCTTTCTTTTCCCTGCCCTGAATCTTCCAACCTTCATCTTCATCGGATGTCCATAAATTCCAGTGTTATGAGAGAGGGATAAAAAAATAACAATTCTCTATTCACATTCTCCATGCCAGGCCTAATTTTACGGACTTCTATCATGACGCCTCTTACTCACTTTTATCTCACCTGGCAAACTGCTGCGTTTTATACCCCTCAAAATGGATGCCAACCACAGTTCTCTTCTCTCTAGTGTCCTCTGGTGGATCCTAAAACTTTAAGAGCCTTAATAATAATAATAATAATAATAATTGTACCCCACCCATCTGACTGGGTTGCCCCAGCCACTCTGGGTGGCTTCCGGCATATGCAAAAACATAATAAAACACTAAACATTAAAAACTTGAAAGTTTCATAGCTCCCTCACATTCCAATCGTCATTCCATTTACCTAGGAGGAAGCCCCACTGAAATCAGTGGGATTTGCTTCTGTGTAGGCATGGTTTGGACCATTAATAATAATAAAAAGGTAAAGGTAAAGTCACCCCTGTCCGTACGGGCCAGTTGTGTCCGACTCTAGGGTTGTGCGCCCATCTCACTTAAGAGGCCGGGGGCCAGCGCTGTCCGGAGACACTTCCGGGTCACGTGGCCAGCGTGACGAAGCTGCACTGGTGAGCCAGCACCAGCACAGCACACGGAAACACCGTTTACCTTCCCGCTAGTAAGCGGTCCCTATTTATCTACTTGCACCCGGGGGTGCTTTCGAACTGCTAGGTTGGCAGGCGCTGGGACCGAGCAACGGGAGCGCACCCCGCCGCGGGGATTCGAACCGCCGACCTGACGATCGGCAAGTCCTAGGCGCTGAGGTTTTACCCACAGCGCTACCCGCGTCCCTACTACTGCTACTACTACTAATAATAATAATTTAAGTATACCGCGCCCTTCCCGGTTCAAAAACCGGGCTCGGGGCGGCTAACAACAAATTTAAAACACTTAATTGTAAAAGCGGCATAAAATAACAGTATAAAAACATGAATAACAATAAAATTCAAAGTTCAGAAATCAATTTAGGGGAAATCCATCTAATAAGCAAAGCAGAGCTAGCTGGCTGAATTAGTCCTACTTGGGCCAGGGGAGAATTAGCTGTGGGGTCTCAGAGTGGGTGATCTTCATAAAAGGGGAGGGGGAGGGAAGAGAAGGGAAATAAAAGATCAGGCTGAATTCAAATTAAAGGCCAGGTGGAATAGCTCTGTCTTACAGGCCTGACGGAAGGAGGTTAAATCCTGCAGGGCCCTGGTCTCATGAGACAGGGCATTCCACCAGGTCGGAGCCATCACTATGGTTATTCATGGACCTGAAGGTCCTCTGCGGGGCAGACCAGGAGAGGCGGTCCCGTAGATACGAGGGCCCTAAGCCACAAGTCTGGATCCAACCTTCTCTCCAGGGCCCCTCCAGACTGGTGTTTTATTGGGGGTGCATTTCGCAACATGTTCTTGACACAATAGTAGCAGTGGGTTTATTCTGCTTGAGTTTTGTTCTGCGTTGCTTCCCCTATGTGAACACAATTCCCCTCTTTGGAGGGCTCTAGCGCAACGAAAGCGGGGCAAAAATAAACCGGAACATTTCTGGCGTAAAAAGTTGCAGGATTTCAGCCGGGGGTTATAGGGATAAGCACTGATTGCAAATGAAGGAGTGTGAAAGGAGTGCAGTGCTGATTAATCTGATAATCAAACTTGCAACACTGTTCCGAATGGCATGGTGCAGAATTGGTTCCTGACCTAGTACCCTGTTCCCTTCAAATTTCTTTTTCCTTTAGTGTTCTATCTAGTGTTCAACACCATCATACACAAGGCTTAGTGGCAAAGCGCTTACTTTGCAAATACCCTCACCTGAAAGACTGAGAGCCACTGCCAATTATTGTAGACAGTGGCTACTAGTCATGATAGCTATGGTCTGGTGCTCTTAAAGCTCTGAGCTAGACCTAGAGCTATTGGTCTGGCTCATTATAAGCCACCATTATCCTGAGTTTATTGATTTATTAAATTTCAAGGCTGCCCATCAGTCAGAGTCTCTTGGGGGCTTTTACAAAAAAAAAAAAAAAACCACAACAAAATACATAAACATAACTCAGTGTTGTTGTTGTTTTACAAAATGCATGAAAAGTCATAAGCCAGCATAAAGTAAAACCACACAGCATGAAATGGATAAACATAAAGAAAACATTATAAAAACCAATGGGGGAAAAACATTGGAGGAAAAACACATTATTTGATCTACAGTATTTATATCCTGACTACTAAACGAAGTTCTTTAGGTGGTTTACAATGTAATTAGAATTTTAAAAAGGCCTGAGGGAATAAGGCAGGCCTACATAGTTCACATTTTCTGAAACAATAGGTGAACCAAAACACAGCCGTCCTCTGAAAAATTGCACTCCTCTGAATTTTGCAATGCAGTTTGCCAGCCAAGCAGTGTGTACAGAAATGCACACAGTGGGGTAAAGGGTACGTAAAAATGAATGTACAAGGGGAAATATCATGCAGAAATGCATTATGTTTGGGGAAATCGGTTTGCAATTTTTTTTGCAATATTGCATGTGAACATGCAAACATTGGAACAAATTTTCGCTAAAACGCTGGTGGGTTTTCACGAGGGCTCTTCTCTTCCCCTCCAAAACACAGAATGGAGAGAACTGGATTTAAGACTGGAAGAGCGAGAAACCAAGAGATACTGAAATCTGCAGATTCGCCCTAGGACCAGGTGACCGTCTCAGGCCAGGGCATTTGACAATGGGAGCATTGCCAGCGAATCTAACCTCTTTTTGCTGGCCTCTTGCCCAGCCTCGTCTAGGTGGGGCAGGGTGGGGGCTGGAATTTGGGGAAGGGAGTGTGCCAGTCACACGCTGCGGATCCTGAACCCATAATCATTACAGCGAGGAGTACTGCCTGAGGAACAAGGAACCCAGAGCGGATGCCAAAACCATCCCGGGTTCAAGGTCGATGCAGATCTTTTCAAAGTGACAGGTTCACGATCAAAGGAGCCGAACTGTTGCACAACTTCGATTCGCTACGGGGTGGTCCTCAGGGCCCGTCTGAATTGGCCCCACGTGCTACCCTTGTGCTTCTGCCAATTAAGAAACTGCAAAGATGTGAGAGATAAGGGAGGCTGGAGCAGATGCAGTCCCTCCTTCGTATAATCGTAGACATGGAAGCGACCTCAAAGAGCATCTAGCTCAGTGGTTCTGAAAGTGGGTGGTACCACTCCCTAGGGGACAGGGGATTTTTAGTGGCTGCTAAGAGGCAAGGGATGCAGGGGGCACTGTGGGTTAAACCATAGAGCCAAGGACTTGCCGATCAGAAGGTCAGCGGTTCAAATCCCCGCGACTGGGTGAGCTCCCGTTGTTCAGTCCCAGCTCCTGCCCACCTAGCAGTTCGAAAGCACGAAGTGCAAGTAGATAAATAGGTACCTCCAGTGGGAAGGTAAACATTGTTTCCGTGCGCTGCTCTGGTTCGCCAGAAGCGGCTTAGTCCTGCTGGCCACATGACCCGGAAGCTGTACGCCGGCTCCCTCGGCCAGTAAAGCGAGATGAGCGCCACAACCCCAGAGTCGGCCACGACTTTACCTAATGGTCAGGGGTCCCTTTACCTTTAAGAGGCAAGGGGGTGGCAGTGGGGGCGGCAGCGAAGGTGTAAACAAATATCAGTGAATAAAGTCCATTGGTTCTGTTGAATTACCGTATTTTCCCATGTGTAAGATGAGGTTATTTTATTTTAAAATTGTGCACAAAAATTGGGGTTTGTCTTATACATGGATGGTGGAGAGGTGGGATGGGCGATTGGTGGCTGCCGCGAGCAGACAATTGTCAGCGGCGTTTTGCGGGCGATTGGTGGGTGCGCTGGCTATTGGCTGCTGCGGCAATTGGGCGGCGATTGGCGCTTGCTTTTGGCAGACGATTGGTGGCTTCGTCAACGTGCGTGCGTTTGGCTGGGGCGGTCCTGCGGATGAGTGATTTTCAACCCCCCCCCCCAATGTTCAACAAGTCCAGGCAACCCCCACCCCCGAAAAAAAAGCTCAGGAAATGTGGGCACCCCCCCCAAAAAAGAGGGGGCATCTTATACACGGGGGCATGTTATGCATGGAAAAATACAGTAATTAAATTTAATAGTTTTTGTTGGATTTTGAATACATGCACAGTTAATTGGAGCCAGTGTGGTGTAGTGGTTAAGAGCGGTGGACTCGTAATCTGGTGAACTGGGTTCGATTCCCTGCTCCTCCACATGCAGCTGCTGGGTGGACCTTGGGCAAGTCACACTTCTCTGAAGTCTCTCAGCCCCACTCACAGAGTGTTTGTTGTGGGGGAGAAAGGGAAAGGAAAATGTTAGCCGCTTTGAGACTCCTTCGGGTAGTAATAAAGTGGGATATCAAATCCAAACTCTTCTTCTTCTACTACTGCTTTTAATTTAGTTGTGTTATTATATTCCTTCGTGGGTCATGCAAACAGCGGTTCTGAATGATGCTTTTTCTAGAACGCGTTGGGAATGAGTTTTTGGAAGCTAGTAGGGGGCAGTTCCCCCCCCGGCAAAAAAAATTAGGAACCACTGCTCTAAGTTAAGGTGTTTCCAGACGCTTTGGCAATTGTCATCATAATTATTATCATCATCAGAGCCCACGACTGAGATGCTTCCCCAAAAGGTTCAGATAGACCAGATGGACTATTTCCTTCATCTCCCAGGTTTCTTCTCACGAGGGAGGAGAGGATGGAAACATCTGAATAGTTGTTGGCATTTAACGAGCGAAGAATCCAAAAAAAGAAAGAAAGAAAGAAAGAGAAGTCTCAGAAATGAAGGAGTTAAAGTTTTCCGGATTTCAGCCCCTCCTGCTGCTTTGCTTAAGAAAACGTGGGAAGGGGGGGGGGAGAGAAGAGAGAGGTTTTTAAAGGCTGATTTTTTAGAAATTGTGCTCCAGTGGTTCCTTGCTTTCCCTGAAGGAGGCATTATTGCTGAGCCCAGGGCACCTGGTTCTGCCGGCAAGGACCAGCGCAGTTCTCCCAGGTGGATGGCCAAGAAGACATCTGCAGGCTGACGACTCTGGTCTTTGCTCCCTCCAGAAACTCTCCAAAGAGAGGCAGATAGATAGATAGATAGATAGATAGATAGATAGATAGATAGATATCGGGATACATCTACATTTTTTCTCTCCTTTCCCTCGCTCTCTCCTGGCGTCACATCTTGAGTGGAAGAATGGTTGCAGAAGTCCAAGCGGTTATTTTTGGCCTGGGATGCTTGCTCCTTTATTTAACTCTGGAAACCGATGCCGGTAAGTGAACTGCGATGGAAAGGCTTAAACAAAAATGATAGAAAGGTCCAGGTGAACGGATGGGGAGGCGGAGGATCTGTTGGCTGAAGGAGGCTGTGTGGTGCAGTGGTTAGAGTGCCAGCCAAGGACCTGGCAGAGACCAGGGTTTGAATCCCCACCTGTTTATGAAGTTCACTGGGTCACCTGAGCGGGGGGGTCCAGTCACAGTCCCTCTCAGCCTGACTTACCTCACAGGGTTGCTGTGAGGATTAAATAGGGAGAGGGAACCATGTCAGCTACCTTGGGGATGGATGCAATAAATAAATAATAATAAATAAACCTGGGCATTCAGTGTGTCAATTTTGACTGCGCAAATATTGTTAAGATGTTTAGATTTGTGTCTTTTATGAGATTTGCATCTAGCAAAGGGAGATAAAGTCAGGAAGAGGTGGCTTGACCTGTTTCTATAATATTCCTGCAGCACAATGATCGACTGGGGGTGCCTCTGATGCGAGACCCGTTTGGATGTTCTTCCTGGGACCCCTTTCCTTTTTGTTGAGGCTTGTGCTAGGGAGATTCTCTGGGCAGATTGTGCCCTATTTGAGCCACGTGCATGTGACTTTTTTTGCTCACCTTTGCAACAGGGCCGTCAGGAGTGCACCAACCACCCTGAGTCAGATCTCATGCAACCGGATTCAATCAAATTGCTCTTTCCCTCTCAATCTCGGCTTCAGATTTGTAGCAGAGGTGACGCTGTTGCAATGATGAATGGGGGAATGTCTCTAGAGCAGGCATATGCAAACTCCGGCCCTCCAGATGTTTGGGACTACAACTCCCATCATCCCTGACCACTGGTCCTGTTAGCTAGGGATGATGGGAATTGTAGTCCCAAACATCTGGAGGGCTGGAGCCTGCCTATGCCTGCTCTAGAGCATGGGTAGGCAAACTAAGGCCCCGAGGGCCGGATCTGGCCCAATCGCCTTCTCACTCACCTCACAGAGTGTTTGTAGTGGGGGAGGAGGGGAAAAGGAGATTGTGAGCTGCTTTGAGATTCCTTAGGGTAGTGATAAAGCGGGATATCAAATCCAAACTCTTCTTCTCTTCTTCTTCTTCTTCTTCTAAATCTGGCCCGCGGACGGTCCGTGAATCAGCGCGTTTTTACATGAATAGAATGTGTGCTTTTATTTAAAATGCATCTCTGGGTTATTTGTGGGGCATAGAAATTCGTTCATATTTTTTTTCAAAATATAGTCCGGCAACCCCACATGCTCTGAGGGACAGTGGACCGGCCCACAGCTGAAAAAGGTTGCTGACCCCTGTTTTAGGGTCATTCTACCTCCTGATTAGGGACGTGGGTGGTGCTGTGGGTTAAACCACAGAGCCTAGGACTTGCCGATCAGAAGGTCGGCGGTTCGAATCCCCGCGACGGAGTGAGCTCCCTTTGCTCGGTCCCTGCTCCTGCCCACCTAGCAGTTTGAAAGCACGTCAAAGTGCAAGTAGATAAATAGGTACCACTCTGGCGGTAAGGTAAACGGCGTTTCCGTGCGCTGCTCTGGTTCGCCAGAAGCGGCTTAGTCCTGCTGGCCACATGACCTGGAAGCTGTACGCCGGCTCCCTCGGCCCGTAAAGCGAGATGAGCGCCACAACCTCAGAGTCGTCCGCGACTGGACCTAATGGTCAGGGGTCCCTTTACTCTTTACCTTTACCTCCTGGTTGCTTTTCCCCTCCCCACTTTGAACACGACACCCTCATGTTTTGATTTCCAGATCCGGATGTCTCCTGCGTATTTAACAGCAAGAAGTACAAGGCGGGAGAGAGCTGGCACCCTTACCTGGAGCCGCAAGGAGTGATGTACTGCATCAGGTGCACCTGCTCTGAGGTACCTTGCGAAGTCCTGAAATGACTTGGCAGCAGGATCTCCAGATGATATATTTTGAGCGACGATGACATGAGCAGCCATCGCCATCAATAATACTTATATGCTGCTTAATGTGCAAAATCCCTAAGCGGTTTGCATAAAGCACAGTAAAATAATTTTTAAAAATGAAAGTGTATAGGCGATACAACATTTTAAACCAAAAAAATACCAAGAAATGTATCTGTGGTTTTAAGCAACAGCAGAAGTTTGAAGAAAGCAGGGAGGGAGTGACGCAGTAGGGAGGGGGCAAAGGCTCAAGGATATTTCATGTTTGATGTGAGACCAGTGCCGGATTTGGGTTTGATGAGGCCCTAAGCTACTGAAGGTAATGGGGCCCTTTACATGTCCAGCTGTCCTTTGTCAACAACAAATTGTCATTGCTTTTTGTGTTGAATATATGCTATGTGGTAATTTATGGACCTAATAGGTATCTAAAGCCATTTGCACATATTGCCATGCAACCTGTCCATGCACATAACAAAATATGCATTTTATCAAAGTAATTGTTGAACTGAAACCAGTGATATTTTAGGGAGCAGGCTAGCAGGCGGGGCCCCTGACTTACATCATAGGAGCCTACACAACACAAAACACTGCTGCCGTATGTAGGTTTTATTTTATGTGTTTTTTATCTTGTATTTTAGGGACGCGGGTGGCGCTGTGGGTTAAACCACAGAGCCTGGGACTTGCTGATCAGAAGGTTGGCGGTTCGAATCCCCGCGACGGGGTGAGCTCCCGTTGCTCTGTCCCAGCTCCTGCCAACCTAGCAGTTCGAAAGCACGCCAAAGTGCAAGTAGATAAATAGGTACCGCTCTGGCGGGAAGGTAAACGGCGTTTCCGTGTGCTGCTCTGGTTTGCCAGAAGCGGCTTAGTCATGCTGGCCACATGACCTGGAAGCTGTACGCCGGCTCCCTCGGCCAATAAAGCGAGATGAGTGCCGTAACCCCAGAGTCGGTCACGACTGGAGCTAATAGTCAGGGGTCCCTTTACCTTTACCTTATATTTTGGAAATGTACATCCAGTTTTTCCCCCTTTATATTTTCTGTGGGCCCCAAAGAGAGTGGGGCCCTAAGCTATAGCTTGTTTAGCTAATACGTAAATCCAGCACTGTGTGAGATGATGGGGTAAGGATTGGCAGGCGTCTGCTCTGTGTTATCTGCCTTGTGGCTGCAGTCAGTGATTTCAGCTCGGCTGAGGTGACCATTGCCCAGCAGTGATTTCAGCTTGTGGAAGCTAGCCAGGTCTGCATACCTAGCCTAGCATCCCATCCTCATCACCAGTGAAGTATAGGTGGGTTCCCACGAGGCAAGACACAGCGAGAACAGCAAGAGCCTTCATTGAACTACATAACTGGGAAACGGGGGCGAAGCAACTGCTTATATACATTCCTGAAAACCTGGGCCACTCCCACTCCCAACGTGATTGGCTGTCTAAACTTCTAAACTGCGAATCACGACTCAAAAGTTCGAGGGCCAATGGCAGAGGCCCAAATCCTGAAATGTTCTGTGATTGGACATCATGTATCAAATCAGAACACAGGAGCTCATCAGAATTCTCAGCCTAGACTCAAGCTCAGGCAAACTCAGACCACTGAATACAGAACAGGTTTGGCTGTCTATTGATCTATTAATTGATTCTAAGTTTTAATTTATATATTTTAAACTGTTGCTATATCTGTATTGTCCCTGTTATACCTCATTGCAAATTCAAATATATCCCTATCGTGTTTTTTGACTTCCTTGATATTGTATGTGGGCTGGAACTGGTCTGTGACCGAAATAATAAAATTCAATTCAATTGATTGATTGATTGATCTATCTGGATAAACGTTGACCAGTCAAACAAAGGAAATGAAAAGGCATGGAGCTGTTTAAAGACTTTCGCTTCACTAAGAATTGTGTTCTTGAAAAAAGCTGAGGCTTCCAGGTCAGAGAGCAGAACTGGTGGGGATTTGTTCTGATGATAGATCTTGAGCCAATAATTCAACCTCACTGATTATTCCCTTTTCCATGCAGGATACCAATGTCAGCTGCTCCCAAATCCAGTGCCCGCCTCTTCAGTGTCCGAATCCCATCAGCGACCCACACCAGTGCTGTCCTAAGTGCCCAGGTAAGTGGATTTGAATGCCCCTCCCTGACAGCACACAAACAGTTTATACATATCTATATCCTGCTATTTATAGCAGTGCCCGCCTTCCCCAGAAATGTACGTGTGAATGCACTGGTGGGACATATCCTCATATGGGGCAGGGGGGAGGAGACAAAATTGCTGGAAAAAAAGTGTCCAGTAAAAGGCTGATGACTTTTCATGACTTTTCAACATGCAAACTGATGCAGAAATGTGGAGAATCATCAAATCGTAGGGCTGGAATAAGTTCGGCCCCCGAAAATGAACTTAATTTTTTTTTAAAGTGAGGAAATGAAGCAGGCACATTTTTACCAAGCAAGATAATGTGACTTCAGTCGCAATCTCTTCTACTCAAAGATAGGGATATGGGATTAAAACAGTGTCTTGTGAGCACTTTGCCAATGTTATTTTTCAGATAAAGGTAAAGGTAAAGGGACCCCTGACCATTAGGTCCAGTCGTGACCGACTCTGGAGTTGTGACGCTCATCTCGCTTTACTGGCCGAGGGAGCCGGTGTACAGCTTCTGGGTCATGTGGCTAGCATGACTAAGCCGCTTCTTGTGAACCAGAGCAGCGAACGAAAACGCCGTTTACCTTCCCACCGGAGCGGTACCTATTTATCTACTTGCACTTTGATGTGCTTTTGAACTGCTACATTGGCAGGAGCAGGGACCGAGCAACGGGAGCTCACCCCGTCGCGGGGATTCGAACCGCCAACCTTCTGATCGGCAAGTCCTAGGCTCTGTGGTTTAACCCACAGTGCCACCTGCGTCCCTGTATATTTTTCAGATAGCCTCCATTAATTGTAGCATTTGGTGAAAGCTGGGAGAGAAGCCCAGCCTTCTGAATTTTGGGGGTGGATTTCTGGACAACTTCCCAAACTGCATCTGGATTCTGGCACAAAACTATAGGCTTCACCCTGGCACAACGTCACTAGGCTTTGCTACCAACATTTCTTTTTCTATTTCCTTTTTTAAATTTAGTAGGAAGTCTTCTATCATCACCACCTGGGTTAAGAGGGGAATTTGCTGATATCAGTTTTCCTTTATATTTCACCCACATCTCAGTGATATTTCTTAATCAGGGATTTTCAATATTCTGCCACCATTGCCTGCTTGGCTTGGTAAAAAAATATATTGGCTAACTTCTCCCTCATTTCCTGTGTACAGTGGACCCTCGGGTTATGTACCACTCTGGATATGTAATCTTCGGGTTGCAAAAGCGGCAAACCTGGAAGTGGGTTTTGCCACTCACACATGCTCAGAAGTGCTCTATTGCGCCGTGTGCATGCACAGAAGCAGTGTCTCTGGTTACTGATTTTTCGTGGTGCACACAGACCCCCAAAACGAATTAAATTCAGCGGCCAGAATATTGATCGCAAAGAATTGGAAGGGGGAGAAAATACCATCATTATTAGAATGGCAAAGCAAACTCTGTGGGTTTGTGGAAATGGCAAAATTGACCGCAATCATTAGAGGCCATTCAAATCAGAGAATAATTAGGAGTGGGATGGAGTGAAGGAATACATGAAAAAATATGGTTTCGGAACTGGAATATTAATAAATAATGTGTAAAATGTGCAGGGTTAAGCAAGGAAATAATAAAAGAATCAATTGAATAATTATTAAACTACGCCAACACAACAAGATGGAAGAAGTTTTAAAAAATATTGAGATCACACATGGGTGAAGGGGAGTGGGGGGGGTATAGGGGAATTTATAAAAATTTCTAATATAATATTTCTAATTGTGTTGCAAAGGGAAGTCTATCGCAATTAGGTATATTTTAATCTAGTCAACTATGTAACAGGCTTATGTTACAAAATGAATATGGATTTTGAATTTGATGTTTGTAATTCTTTTTCGGTTTTGGAATAAAGTTTAAAAAGAAAAGAAAAGAAAGAAAGAACTGAATTAAATTCATAACCAGAGGGTCCACTGTACCACTCTCTAACCATTCTATCTCTCCTTGCTCTGTTATCCCATCTATGATATATCTTAACCAATTTGCTATATAATATAAATTTATGTTGGGGAGACAGAGTTCTCCTGTTTTCTGGGGTTTATACCATCTTCTTTTTGTTAATTCTAGGTTTCTTATCCCCATTACAAAATTTATTGATCATACCAGCATTTCTACAATCCCTTTCCAGCCCAGGGGCTTCTCTGTGTTGTGGGTAGTGTGGCTGTGTGTCCCTCTGTAGAGTGGACAGTCCTCTATTTCAGCGCCCCCCCCCAACTTTTCTGGGCTACTGCCCCCTTGGTCCCACAAACGCCTCTGCAGTGCCCCCTATCCTATAAAAAGCAATATTCGGAACAACGGTTCGCATGTCCCACTAAGGGAGATAACAACTCAATCAAATCCAAAGCAGCGGCAATTGATTGCACACTTACTCAAAATCCAATTAAAGCCATTTAGTTTAATTAACTCAACGGGGTGGATGAACTTGATTCAGCGATGGCAGCTTTTCAAAATCTGATAGTCATTGACACCTCCAGCGCTCCCTTGGCTCTTAGCACCCGCTAGGTGACTCCCCCACAGGGGGTGGTACCACCACCCACTGTGGAAACCACAGATCTATTGATAGTGAAAGCTCTGGTTTTCCCAGTAGTGATGTATGGAAGTGAGAGCTGGACCATAAAGAAGGCTGATCGCCGAATAATTGATGCTTTTGAATTATGGTGCTGGAGGAGACTCTTGAGAGTCCCATGGACTGCAAGAAGATCAAACCTCTCCATTCTGAAGGAAATCAGCCCTGAGTGCTCACTGGAAGGACAGATCGTGAAGCTAAGGCTCCAATACTTTGGCCACCTCATGAGAAGAGAAGACTCCCTGGAAAAGACCCTAGAATCATAGAGTTGGAAGAGACTACAAGGGCCATCGAGTCCAACCCCCTGCCAAGCAGGAAACACCATCAGAGCACTCCTGACATATGGTTGTCAAGCCTCTGCTTAAAGACCTCCAAAGAAGGAGACTCCACCACACTCCTTGGCAGCAAATTCCACTGTCGAACAGCTCTTACTGTCAGGAAGTTCTTCCTAATGTTTAGGTGGAATCTTCTTTCTTGTAGTTTGGATCCATTGCTCCGTGTCCGCTTCTCTGGAGCAGCAGAAAACAACCTTTCTCTCTCCTCTATGTGACATCCTTTTATATAGTTGAACATGGCTATCATATCACCCCTTAACCTCCTCTTCTCCAGGCTAAACATGCCCAGCTCCCTTAGCCGTTCCTCATAAGGCATCGTTTCCAGGCCTTTGACCATTTTGGTTGCCCTCCTCTGGACACGTTCCAGTTTGTCAGTGTCCTTCTTGAACTGTGGTGCCCAGAACTGGACACAGTACTCCAGGTGAGGTCTGACCAGAGCAGAATACACTGGCACTATTACTTCCTTGATCTAGATGCTATACTCCTATTGATGCAGCCCAGAATTGCATTGGCTTTTTTAGCTGCCGCGTCACACTGTTGGCTCATGTCAAGTTTGTGGTCAACCAAGACTCCTAGATCCTTTTCACATGTACTGCTCTCAAGCCAGGTGTCCCCATCTTGTATTTGTGCCTCTCATTTTTTTGCCCAAGTGCAATACTTTACATTTCTCCCTGTTAAAATTCATCTTGTTTGTTTTGGCCCAGTTCTCTAATCTGTCAAGGTCGTTTTGAAGTGTCATCCTGTCCTCTGGGGTGTTAGCCACCCCTCCCAGTTTGGTGTCATCTGCAAATTTGATCAGGATGCCCTTGAGTCCATCATCCAAGTCGTTGATAAAGATGTTGAATAAGACCGGGCCCAAGACAGAACCCTGATGAGATGGTTGGACAGTGTTCTCAAAGCTACCAGCATGAGTTTGACCAAACTGTGGGAGGCTGTGGAAGACAGGAGTGCCGGGTGTGCTCTGGTCCAGGGGGTCACGAAGAGTCGGACATGACTAAACGACTAAACAACGACATTGGGTGGCCTGTCCGGTCCAAGCCCAGTTTAAAGATGATGAACTCTAAGAAGGGAGAGCAGGGGTGTGTGTGTGTGTGTGTGTGTGTAAAGCCATCTTGGTTCATGTTAGCGGTACCAAAGTGACCTCTCTGGGGCGCAAGCCTAGAGATCTTGGTCTGCCCAGACAACAAGACTCCCCTCTCAACCTTGCTGCATGTTAAATTGCTGCTTTAGGGGTTGTTTTTAAAAGTCTGGAACGGATTAATCCATTTTGCATTACTTTCTATGGGAAAGTGCGCCTTGGTTTTGGAACGCTTTGGTTTTGGAACGGACTTCCGGAACGGATTAAGTTTGAGAACCAAGGTACCACTGTACATAAAATTGCCGGAGGGTCATTACTTCTTATTGGGGCTTGCTTGCCTGCCAGAGATCATTACATGTGGTTTGCCATGGTTGGCCACTCCTGGAAAAATCGTTGCAGGGGGATGTAGGGAGAGAAAATGTTCTCGATCGTGTCTTCTTCTTCCTCTGCAGAACTGCTCACCCCGCCTGGGGTTCAGACGCCAGCCAATTCCTCCTGCCGCTACAACGGAACAGCCTACCGGCATGGCGACATCTTCACCCACAACGAGCTCTTCCCTTCCAGACAGTCAAATCAGTGCACCCAGTGCAGTTGCTCGGTAAGTGGCTTCGGAGAGCGTTCTGGTCGCCTCTCCCCAAAACGGACGTTGAGGAGTTGGGAAAGGTTCGGAAGAAGGAAACCCAAATGATCAAATCTCACGGAACAGGGCAACCCGAGCATGTATCAAAATTGAGGAGCTGCAATATATGACAACAGGCCTGGGGAAAACGAAAGAAAGCATTTGCTTAGCACACACTAACATCAGGGTAGGGGCCTGGTGGGGATACGATGATACGATACGATACGATAATCTTTATTGTCATTGTCCCATACAGAACAATGAAATTGAAAAAATCTACATAAGACATTCAAAACCAACAAGCCTGCTATCCCAGCTATCCCAACCTGGTTAGCCGCCTAAAAACTCTGATATCCCATTTTTAAATACAATATACTCCCATAGAGACTACCTTTAAAAGGTAAAGGGACCCCTGACCATTAGGTCTAGGCCGACTCTGGGGTTGGGGCGCTCATCTTGCTTTATTGGCTGAGGGAGCCGGCGTACAGCTTCCGGGTCATGTGGCCAGCAGGACTAAGCCGCTCCTGGCAAACCAGAGCAGCGCACGTGAACGCCGTTTACTTTCCCGCCAGAGCGGTACCTATTTATCTACTTGCACTTTGACGTGCTTTCGAACTGCTAGGTTGGCAGGAGCAGGGACCGAGCAACGGGAGCTCACTCCATCGCGGGGATTCGAACTGCCGACCTTCTGATCGGCAAGTCCTAGGCTCTGTGGTTTAACCCACAGCGCCACCCGCGTCCAGAGACTACCTTACCCTGCGTTTAAAACCAAATTCACATTTGGATAGAAACTGTTTCTCAGGCGGCTAGTCCTAGTCTTTATAACCCTGGACCTTCTTCCAGAAGGCAGAAGCTGAAAGAGATCATAAGTGCGTCCTATCCTGCGCTATCTCTGCAGCTTTCTTATGGCACCCGGAAGCATAGATTTCATCCACCTTACCTTGGAAACCCAGCTAGATGCGCGGGGTAGAAATAATAAATTATTATGATGTGTTTATTATTGGAAAGGCAGGCGTGTACAGGCAGGAGCCTTTTCAGTCATAAGCTGGGCACCCAAGCTCTGGGGAAACGGACGGTTAGACTACTGCAATGTGATGTAGCTGGGCCTGCCCTTGAAGACGGTTTGGAAATGCTAGCTAGCTCAAAGCACATCTGGTGGGGATGTGCTGCTATTGACGAAGTATCTGGATTTCTTGTGTTTTTCTCAGGAAGGCCACATTTACTGCGGCCTGGTGACCTGCCCAGAGGTGTTGTGTGCTTCTCCCGAAACCATGCCAGGCTCCTGCTGTCAAGTCTGCAGAGGTAATATAAGAACCATGATCCTCGCCACATCCCTCGCTCCTGCACATCCCTCGCTCCTGAAATACAAAACAAATTTCATACATATAGACATAAATATGGTTATTTATACATCTATAAAGCAATATTCAGAAAGAAAGAGAAGGAAAAAAGACTAGACAAAGAAAGAAAAAAGGAATAAAGGAATAAAAGAAAAAAGGATTTAAAATAGAAATTTAGAAAATAGAAAAGTGTTCGCTATAAACAACAGTTCCAGATCTATGCTTGCATACTACTATATATTTCCATCTTGCAAGACATCAACCTTAATTAAAATGTTTTTAAAAGACTTCCACCATTTACACCAAGATCTTGTCTGCTGCCAAACACTGCCCTATGTTAACATTTCCTGGGTTGCCCTGAGAAGGAATTGGTTGTTTTTCTTTTTCTTTTCTTTTTCTTTTTTTATAATAATTTTTATTAAGTTTTCCATATTTAGTCACGTTTTATTACATAAATCTATAACCTTAAGCATTGCTCAAACAGAGCATCGACCTCCTTCCCTCCCTCTTTCTGACTTCCAAACATCTTTAAGTAAATCCTTAGCATTTCTATAACCACTTTTTAACCTTCTATCTTCTTTTAACATTTCACCTCATTACAGTATATGTAAAACAGCTCCTTATTTTAACATTATAAAATGAAACATTTGTACTAAGGTCAAAGCCTTCTGGGATATAATATGCAATGAATTAAAGAAGGTTTTTAAATATAATTTCAACAAAATACCAGAGGCATTTTTGTTAGGTTTAATTGGAGAGGAAATTCAGGAAAAAGATGTAAATTTGTTTATGTATGCCACAACGGCTGCAAGGATACTTCTGGCCCAGAAATGGAAGCAGCAGGAACTTCCTACGTTGGCAGTTAAAGATGGTGGAATACGTCAAGTTGGCAAAGCTGTTGGGACGAGACGAACTGTTTCAAAAGGACTGGAGCAAATTTATATTTTACATGAAAGAAAATTGTAAACATTTGAAAACGTTTTTAGGAATTGGTTGTTTTTCTAGCGCCATCTCAAGCTCCTTTGCTCTCCTCCTAGAGGAAGATTATTTTTCCGGGTGGCGCTGTGGGTTAAACCACAGAGCCTAGGACTTGCCGATCAGAAGGTCGGCGGTTCGAATCCCCACGACGGGGTGAGCTCCCATTACTTGGTCCCTGCTCCTGCCAACCTAGCAGTTCAAAAGCACGTCAAAGTGCAATAGATAAATAGGTACCGCTCCGGCGGGAAGATAAACGGCGTTTCTGTGCGCTGCTCTGGTTCGCCCAAAGCAGATTAGTCTTGCTGGCCACATGACCCGGAAGCTGTACGCCGGCTCCCTCGGCCAGTAAAGCGAGATGAGCGCTGCAACCCCAGAGTCGGACACTACTGGACCTAATGGTCAGGGGTCCCTTTACCTTTACCCAGGAGCATCTGGAGCTGTTTTGCTGCCTGAGGCAGAGGTCTAGGGCAGCAGGCTAGTTTGGGGGCTGCAGGGCAGACCATGTGGCCCCCATTCCTAGCTCTATTCCAACACCACCCGAATTTACCGCCTGAGGCAGCTGCCTCCCTCTGCCTCATGGAAGGACCGGCCCTGCCTCTCCCCATCCCATCTGAACTCCTTGCATTTGGTTATATAGGGCGGTAGAGGTAGGGATTCTGTGGCAGGGGTCAGCAAACTTTTTCAGCAGGGGACCACTGTCCCTCAGACCTTGTGGGGGGCCGGACTATATTTTGAAGAAAAAAAATATGAACGAATTCCTATGCCCCACAAATAACCCAGAGATGCATTTTAAATAAAAGGATGCATTCTACTCATGTAAAAACATGCTGAATCCGCGGGCTGGATTTAGAAGGTGATTGGGTCGGATCCGGGCCCCGGGGCCTTAGTTTGCCTACCCATGGACTAGAGCAGGCATAGGCAAACACCAGCCCTCCAGATGTTTGGGACTAAAATTCCCATCACCCCTAGCTAACAGGACCACTGGTCAGGGATGATGGGAATTGTAGTCCCAAACATCTAGAGGGCCGGAGTCGATTCCTGGACCATCTGCAGGCCAGATTTAGAAGGCGATTTGGCCGGATCCAGCCCCCTGGCCTTAGTTTGCCTACCCATGTTCTATGGTTTCTTCAAGTTCTCTCCCTTAAGAAGTTTCTCTCTCCCTCTGTTTGATATAGTGAATAGTTGCTTCCTTGGGAGTGAAGGCCAATAGGGTGTCATGACGGAGGGGTGTGTGTGGTCGACTGCGTTTCACCTCAGGGTGCTCCTGTTAAGCCCAGAGATCCCAGATATTTGCTGCCCTCACAATTTGAAAGTTAACTTTCAACTGGGTTAACTCTATGCACACATAACGTTAACATTTGAAATGCAGCAATCGCTTCTTAAAGAACTACACGTAAAACGTTTCAGACGGAAACATTCGTTATCTTTCAAACAGAAACAAGAAAGAAAACTTGATCAATTTAAAAAGGGCCACAAAAGTGCTTTCAGGCCAATAAGTGAAAAATGGGTGCGTGATGTTACAGGCACCAGCCAGTCCATGCTGTGCTCAGTGGCCATCTTAAAGCTGCAGATCCATTTTTTCTTTCTTTTTTTTAATAATAATTTTCATTAAATTTTAACATATAAATTATAGTACATACCACAAAACTTCATCTCTTATACAATCTTTTTTGGACTTCCATTAGCTCCTCTGATGATCCACCGTTTTAACCACTTCTTAAAATTATATTACCTTTAATTGTCTTCACTAACCAACCCCCCCTTCCTTTTTGCAATAATTCTAAAAATACTCCTCACAAAACTTCTTGCAAACCTACAAACGTAGTCTGTTCATCACAAATACTTTTCAAATAGTCTGTAAATTTACTCCAGTCTTCAGTGAATTTCTGGTCCCGCCAGTTTTGAATCCTTCCTGTTAATTTATCCAGTTCTGCATAGTCCATTAATTTCATCCTCCATTCTTCTTTCGTCGGTAATTCTTCTTGCTTCCATTTTTGGGCCAATAATGTTCTTGCTGCTGTTGTTGCGTATAAGAACAGCTTACATTCCTTTCTATTTATATCACTCCCCACAATGCCCAGTAAAAATGCTTCTGGTTTCTTTAAAATGTATATTTCAACATTTTTAAAATCTCATTATATATCATCTCCCAGAAGCTTTTCAGTTTTTCACTTTACTTGATCCTGGAGAGGAAATGGTTCACCTGGACAAAATATAGTGAGTGTTACAAAGGGGGACTACCACTCAAATAATGTTTTGGTCAGGTTAGGAATCTGAATGAATAAACAGGAGAGGCTAAACTGATGGACCAAGATGTATGCTTACTATGTGAAGCTCCCACCTAGATCTATGCTCTTTCTTTCCTCTTTGCAGATAATTCCTTTGAGAGGTTGATAGAAGAGCCCCAATTAAACAGAGGCGTCGTAAGTAAAGCTTTCAGTTTTTATTTCTTTAAAATACACAATTCATTAAGAGGCATGTTCTTTTGACATCGCTCACTAGCAGGTCGCCTCGCGTGCAATGAACGTTACGGGTTCTCAGAATTTGCCGTGATAAAAGGTGACATAGAGAGAGTGGATAGAGGAGGGTTTTTTTATAGATTTATAGTTTTTTTTATATAGATTCATAGAATTATAGAGCTGGAAGGGAGCCATCTAGTCTCTACAATGCAGGAATTCCAGCTGAAGAATCCCTCTCATAACACTGGAATTGAAGCTGCATTTTGGGAGATTCAGGGCAGATAAAAGAAAGGACTTCTTCACACAGCGCACAGTTGAACTATGGAACTCCTTGCCACATGAGGCAGCAATGGCAACCAACCCGGATGGCTTTAAAAAAGGATTAGACTAATTCACGGAGGAGAGGGCTGTCGAAGGCTACTAGCCAGGATGATAATAATAATAATAATAATAATAATAATAATAATAATATTTATATCCCGCCCTCCCCAGCTGAAGCTGGGCTCACAGCGGCTAACAACAGTAAAATAATACAGCATTCTAAAATCAATTCATTCTAAATTCAGTTCAAATCAAATTGATGGCAACCATTGGGCTAGAGTTCTGTGAGGATTGCCAAAGGAGGGGGTCAGGCTGTGCCCTGGCCAAAGGCCTGGCGGAACAGCTCTGTCTTGCAGGCCCTGCGGAAAGATGTCAAGTCCCGCAGGGCCCTAGTCTCTTGTGACAGAGCGTTCCACCAGATCGGGGCCACGGCCGAAAAAGCCCTGGCTCTGGTTGAGGCCAGCCTAACCTCCCTGTGGCCCGGGATCTCCAAGATGTTTTTATTTGAAGACTGTAAGGTCCTCCGTGGGACATACCAGGAGAGGCGGTCCCGTAGGTACTAGGGTCCTAGGCTGTATAGGGCTTTAAAGGTTAAACCTTTAACCTGACCCTGTACTCCACCGGGAGCCGGTGCAGCTGGTATAGCGCTGGGTGAATGTGATCCTGCAGCAAAGACCCCGTAAGGAGTCTCGCCACGGCATTCTGCACCCGCTGGAGTTTCTGGGTTAGCTTCAAGGGCAGCCCCACGTAGAGCGAGTTACAATAATCCAGTCTATAGGTGACCGTCGCGTGGATCACAGTGGCTCTGTGTGTCTCCACAGTCGGAGGCAGCAGTGCTTGTGAATCCCAGGAGGGGAGAGTTGCGCTTGTGTTTGACTCCCTCTTGCGGGTTTCCTGCAGGCATCTGGCTGGCAACTGTGAGAACGGGATGCTGGACTAGATGGGCCGTTGGTCTGATCTAGGAGGTTCTGCTTAGGTTCTTATTCAACTGATTTCCAGCACCGTCCCATTTACAGTCATACCTCGGGTTACAGATGCTTCAGGTTGTGTTTTTTTGGGTTACGGACCGCCGAAACCTGGAAATACCGGAACGGGTTACTTCCAGGTTTCGGCAGTTGTGCATGCGCAGAAGTGCTAAATCGCATTTTGCGCATGCTCAGAAACGTCAAATCACAACCCACGCGTGCGCAGACGTGGTGCTGTGGGTTGCGAACGCTGCGGGTTGCGAATGTGCATCCCGCACGGATCACATTCGCAACCCGAGTGTCCACTGTATTTATTTATTTTTAATTGCAAACAAAAAGAAAGAAAGAACTTTGGCCTACATCCACAGTGATCCATTAATCCCAATCTAAAAATATATATCAGTATAGGCAGCCCATATATCACAATAGCTATCCAAATGAGATTGATGATTAGAAGGTATACAGTGGTACCTTGGTTCTCAAACTTAATCCGTTCCGGAAGTCCGTTCCAAAACCAAAAGTGTTCCAAAACCAAGGCGTAATTTCCCATAGAAAGTAATGCAAAATAGACGGATCCGTTTCAGACTTGTAAAAACAACCCCTAAAACAGCAATTTAACATGAATTTTACTATCTAACGAGACCATTGGTCCATAAAATGAAAGCAATAAACAATGTGCTGCAGTCACACAATCAATCAATCAATCAATCAATCAGTAGCTGAACTGGGTTCCACACAGTCACAAAAAAAGAAAGAAAAAGAGCCACAAAGATGCAAAATAAATAGCAAAAACCGACAGACCTCTGCGTAACATTCAAAGCGGAAGTGTGGCACTCAAATCGGAGCACGTTTGGCTTCCAAAAAAAGTTCGCAAAGCGGAACACTTACTTCTGGGTTTGCAGTGTTTGGCTGCCAAGTTGTTTGAGTCCCAAGGTGTTTGAGAACTAAGGTACCACTGTCCTGTACTTTCAAATGTAGAATGTAGAAAGGTCAGCGAGATCTTCAGACCACCGAGTGACGGGTGGTGGATCTTTATCCTCCCAACCTTGAAACATAGCTATCAACGTTTCCCTTTTTTTAAGGGAAATTCCCTTATTCCGAATAGGATTCCTCGCAAGAAAAGGGAAAAGTTGACAGCTATGCCTTGGAATCTCTTTGCCTCCGTAAGGGCTCTCGGAATCCGCTTTCGTTGCCCCCCGTTAGTCCCCGCATCTCAGGAACTGTAACTCTAAAGAGCCTTTAACTGAATGAGACTAGAATCAGAGTTGGCTGAGACACCTGAGGGTCATCCAGCCTGACCCCATGCAATGAGATCGCCTGCTGAATTGACTGGGGATCTTTCCATGTTGTCTGGCTCTGCAGAGGCACCCCCGTTACCACTGCGCGGTGGGCGCCGGGAGCAGAGGATCTGCCGGAGCAGTTGATCCCCCGACGGGCGCCTCGTTGGAACTGATTCCCAAGAGCATCAAGCAGAAAGTGGGGAGTGGCGGAACGACGGTCAGAATCATCCTGAAGGAGCAGAACAAAAAAGGTAACATCAGTTCAGGTGAACACTGCAATGTGCTCTAGGTGAGCCTTCTTCCCTTGCGCCTGAAGCTGCGGTCAGCGCAGGATTGGGGCATATCGGATTTTTCAACTTTCCTTTTTTGAATAATTTTTTTTATTGGCATTTTTGATAATTTTATACATATTTAACATAATCATTTCAAACATTAAAATACATGGTTTTTTTTGAACTTCCTTCCCTCCCTTCATGGGTTCCACGTTTAAATTTGTTGCATCTTTTAATAATAATAATAATAATAAATTTTTATTTATACCCCGCCCTTCCTGGTTCAGAAAACCGGGCTCAGGGCGGCTAATAACAAATTTAAAACACTTAATTGATGCAAAGAAAAACAGCATAAAATACAGTATAAAACGTAAATAGCAATAAATTCAGAATTCAAAAATCAATTTGGGGGAAAATCCATGCAATAAACATAAGATGATCACCAGGGCTAGCTGGCTAAATTAGTGCTATTTGGGCCAGTGAGGAGACCGGGGGAGAATTAGCTGTGGGATACCAGAGCGGGTAATCTTCTTTTACCATTATCCATCTGTTATATATCCATGATTATCATAAATAATTCCACATTACAAGTGTCATTACATCCCTGCCAGAGATTTTAACTGTTTATGATGGTCCTTTAAATAAATTACAAATCTGCTCCCGTCTTTAGAAAATACTTGATCTTCCTGGTTTTGGATTTTCCTCATCAGTTTCGCCATCTCTCCTTACTCCATCAGTTTCGTCTTTTGTTGGTACTTCTCCTTCCTTCCATTTCTGAGCTAGGAACATTCTCACTGCCATCGTTGCGTACATAAAAAGTATTTTGTCTTTTTCAACTTTCCAATTCCCGAAATGATTGGTGCCACAAAGTTGCAATGTGACTTGAGAATTCAAAAGATATTTTGGTTACATCAATACAATTTAGTTTTGCTTGGTAAGAAACGAGTGTGAAAATTTGCGCAGAAATCATTAACAACGATGGCCAAGGACTTGCATTCATATTATTTATGTTTTTAGTACGACCTGACATTTTCAGAAGGTAACGTTAAAACCCTTTGCTTTTCCGGAAGCAGTTGATGCGCTTCTTCATCAAATGTAGACTTACCAAGCTAAAGTTATTCAAATAATAATAATAATAATAATAATAATAATAGATAGCAGATTGGAAATTCTCACACTCCAAAACATATTTTTCAGACCTCTCACGGATGAAATAAGCAAAAATTAAGCTTCGCCCCCTAAAAAGGCACACCCTAGTGCACGTGTCGTATGATACAACACCTGGGCTGCTCAGAGATCTGCAAGAGTTGGGCTCTGCCATTGATTTGTTTGCAGAGAGGTTACTGTGGGATGTGATCCGTGAGAGGCAGTCAAGTACAACATTCCTTGAAATGCTAGAGAAGACATGCCAGGAACTTCCTGTTCCTCCTGGCTGGAGCATCCTTCCTTTTGCATGTATTAGAAGGTGGGTGTGACCTAACCTGTCCAGGTAACAAAAGGACGAGTCACGCAGCACACCTCCCTCTCTTTTTGACTTCCTTCTTCGTTTGACCAGCTTCTAGCTAGGACTGTTCTGCCAGCTCTCAGCTAGCAGAAGCACTGGGATTATTCCCCCATATGGGGTAGATCCACATGTACATATTTGTAACTAAGTCTGCTTTCAGGAATCCAACCGTGAACTGATGTGAGTAAACTTCTTTTATTGACTTTGAATAAGAGTGTCGTGTCTTTATTCTTTTAAGAGGGATTCAAGGGAACTTACCAGGAATGTACAGTTCAATCTGAGACAGACTGAATTGTATAATAGTCAGAGGCTCACACGAGCCTTCAACCAGCTATCTGTTGTGCATATTAAAAGGGGGAATGTAACTCTGCTACATAAAGGAACTTGCTAGCGCAAGTTAGGAAGGATATGAATAAACAATATATCCTCTCCTGCCACCTTGAACATTCCCACAGTTACATGACAACAAGCATTGATTCCCCTTATCCCCCAAGCCCTGCTCCAACTGAATCTGTCCCTATGCACCTGCCATCTTGCTGGATGTAATCCATTAGTACAGTCAAATGCAACATTCCTTATTTCCCTAGTGTGGGCACAGGGAGAGGGACTTCCAGTCAGTGTAATTTCCTGTTCTGCTGGTCTGGAGCGTCCCCCCACGTGTGACCTGGGAGATGCGGCTGGCTCTGGCTGGCTCCATAAAAGAGCCACGTCACGCAGCCATTTTCTCAGTTCGTCTTGAAGTTGTCTTGTTCCAGTGTTGTCTTGTTCTCTCTTTTGCCGCCACGCTGCTCTCCTGCAGCCACTTTGTTGTCTTAATGTAATCTTGCTCTCTGCTGGCTCTCACGTGAGTTCAGTCTCCCTATGAGATGAACTCACAGTTTCTTTATGTAACTACCAGGTAAAGCCTGCCTTTCAGGCATCAAATTGTGAACTGAAATGTGAGTAAACGTCTTGTTACTTTACTCAGAAAGACTCTCGTGTCTTTATTCTTTTAGGAGGGATTAAAGGGGACACCAGGAAATGATCTTAACTAAGAGATTCAAACAAATCTGCAAACTAGCTTCCAGCTATATTGAGGGGAATCTGCTCTGCTACATCACTTACCAGCTTGAGAGAAGGAAGGATAATACTTATTCAATATATCCTTTCTTACTATCCTTAAGGACGCGGGTGGCGCTGTGGTCTAAACCACTGAGCCTCTTGGGCTTGCCGATTGGAAGGTTGGTGGTTCGAATCCCCACAACGGAGTGAGCTCCTGTTGCTCTGTCCCAGCTCCTGCCAACCTAGCAGTTCGAAAGCATACCAGTGCAAGCAGATAAATAGGTACTGCTGCGACGGGAAGGTTTCCGTGCGCTCTGGTTTCTGTCACGGTGTCCCATTGTGCCAGAAGCGGTTTAGTCCTGCTAGTCACATGACAAGGGAAGCTATCTGTGGACAAACGCTGGCTCCCTTGGGCTGAAAGTAAGATGAGCGCTGCAACCCCATAGTCACCTTTGACTGGACTTAACCATTCAGGGGTCCTTTATCTTTAGTCGTTTAGTCATGTCCGCCTCTTCGTGACCCCCTGGACCAGAGCACGCCAGGCCCTCCTGTCTTCCACTGCCTCCCGCAGTTTGGTCCAACTCATGCTGGTAGCTTCGAGAACACTGTCCAACCATCTCGTCCTCCTCTGTCGTCCCCTTCTCCTTGTGCTCTCCATCTTTTCCAACATCAGGGCCTTTTCCAGGGAGTCTTCTCTTCTCCTGAGGTGGCCAAAGTCTTGGAGGCTCAGCTTCACAATCTGTCCTTCCAGTGAGCACTCAAGGCTGATTTCCTTCAGAATGGAGAGGTTTGATCTTTTTGGGACTCTCAAGAGTCTCCTCCAGCTCCTTTACCTTTTACCTTCCTACTATCCTTAACTTTCCCAGACATCTCAAATGGCTTGAACTTGGACTGCACTCTTTATTTTTTTCGTATTTTCACCTGTGGTCTTCTCTCTTTATCTCTCTCTCTCTCTCTCTCTCTCTCTCTCTCTCTCTCTCTCTCCAGCTTGTGTATACAACGGGAAGACCTACTCGCATGGAGAAGTGTGGCACCCCACGATCCGCCACTTTGTGCTCCTCCCCTGCATCCTGTGCACCTGCAAAGACGGGAGCCAGGATTGCCGGAAGATCACATGCCCCAAGGAGTACCCCTGCGAGGAACCCGAAAATGTGGAAGGGAAATGTTGTAAAGTCTGCCCAGGTAATAAACAGACACACTGACTGCATTTCATGCCTGTGTGTATTACCCCTTTGCTGTATAGGATTGGGGGGGTGGCAGATTGCGAGGGTGGGGTGGACTAGATGAATCTCAAGGGTCCCTTCCAAGTCTACAATTCTAGGATTCTAGGACTAGGAAGAATACTAAGGTGGGGCGTGCACAGAAATGCATATATTTCCAAAACACATGGGGAAAGATGCATGCCAAAATGTGAATTTTAGGCAACACTGAATAAGAAAATGTGTACGTTAGGAGGAATTTGTACTCAGATCGCAAACTGGTGTGGAAATGTGGAGAACGGATAGACACCATATATTACAAGGACAGGAAGAAACATTACAGACAGAATAATTGCCACACACAGGAAGAACCAGAAGAGAGTTTGAATGCTTCACCTGTGGGTGTATTAATCATTTCATGTGCCGATACGAATGGAAGCCGTTAAAACTGCCCCTGCAATGTAAAGGATTGCTATTTCGACTGGAGCCTAATTGGAATTTGTAAGATCTTGGAACGCAGAAATAAAGCAAATCATCAAACCATCAATTCTAGCTCACAGGTTGCCACCTAAATTGTTTAATTTGGCATCTTAGTTGTATTGTAATTTGGCATTGTTATAATGAGGTTATGGGACGTGGGGGCACCGTGGGTTAAACCACAGAGCCTAGGGCTTGCCGATCAGAAGGTTAGTGGTTCGAATCCCCGCAACGGGGTAAGCTCCCATTGCTCTGTCCTAGCTCCTGTCAACCTAGCAGTTTGAAAGCACACCAGCGCAAGTAGATAAATAGGTACCACTCCAGCGGGAAGGTAAATGGCATTTCCGTGCGCTGCTCTGGTTCGCCGGAAGAGGCTTAGTCATGCTGGCCGTATGACCCGGGAAAACTGTCTGCGGACAAACGCCGGCTCCCTCGGCCAGTAAAGCGAGACTGGACTTAACTGTCAGGGATCCTTTACCTTTACCTTTTTATAATGAGGCTATTATTGGATTATTGTAACTGAAAACTAATAAAAAGTATTTTTAAAAAAATGGAAATGTGGAGAGTGGGAAAGTGGGAAAAATTAGAATATGGGAGCTCGCAAAATGGGTGGACTGGCCCATCCCAATGCAAGGGTACGCCAGGGTTATGTGAAGTCTACAAATCACTGGGTGCAAATGTGGCTCCCTCATCTCTGCCACAAGAAATTTCACAGGTTCCCTGAAGGATGAACTTTGGGACATGCTGCTTGTATGCAGAGCTGCCACCTCTGAATTAAACACCACTTATTTATAGCTCTGTCCCAGGAAGAAAATCTCAAGGAAGTGGCCACTGCCGGCTGGGGTGATCAAGAACCTCGACTAGACACAATAAACCCAAACTTAATTTATTAATTACTCCGCAAGCAAAAATAGAACATTACCAGTGGCGGGTGAAGGAAACACCCCGAGGGCCAGACTACGTCTCCGTGAGCCCCTTGGCAGGCCAAAGATAAACATGGCAGGCGGTTGGAAAACAAGAATGATGCAGGGGGAACCGGGAAGAGTGTAAATGACACCTCGGCGTGGGTGTGTGAAGGAGCCAGCGGGGTGTCACTCATTTGGGTCCTGGAACTGGGACCATGCCATGACCTGAGGCTTTGGTGGACTGTCTTGCCAGAGTGGTGCATGCTCTAGTTATCTCTCGCTTGGACTACTGCAATGCGCTCTATGTGGGGAAACAGGACAGGGGAAGGAAATGTGGTTCCTGTTGTTGTAAACAAAAATTGCCCTTTTCCCTTATGGGGTATCCAAGAGCCTGTATAGAGTCCTTACATAGGTTCCCTATTGGTAGGAGAAAATAACAGAGGCCAACCAGAGAATATTGAGAAGCAAAGCAGCTAGTAAGCTTGATCTTTATTGATCTGTTGCAACAGGGTGCTCCCCTCACACGCAGGAAAGGAGGAGGAACCCAGAACAATGGTGCGCAAGGCCTTATAAAGACTTTTGAAATTGCCACCCTGTAGATCAAGAACACCCCCAGAAACATCATGCATACATCACAGAAGGGGTGTAACCTAAGACCACCCCTCAGATACATCATACCTACATCACAGAAAAGGCGGTCTTAAAACAGAAATTTGAATGTTGTTTTTCTCCTGTCATTGTTTATCTCCTGTCTGACAGGTTACTTGATTGGATTGCCTGGGGAGCCTGGCCAGTCTTTTGTAATGATAAATACTTAGTTCCTGGGCCAGGTCACAGGCTCACACCCTATTCATATCTTAAATGTGCCCTTAAGACAGGATTTGTGAGGAAAGAGACAATGGGGAGGTTTCCCACTTTGACCTTGCAAAGGAAACATTTGCTCAGTTTAGGAATCAAAATGGTTCCAGGTCGGTCTTCCTGTGCTGATCTATGTACATGCTTGGTTGGTACACTTATGAAGATTACCATATATCTAAGACCTCAAAATTCCTATCACAATATGAAGGAGTGCAGAGGCGGTGTGGGCAGCGGGAAGAGCCAGGCTCTGTCAGGAGTTCAGCCTACACTCGAGTAGGACCCTGGCAGAGACACATACCTGACTGGCATGTTCCCTCCCTGCTGGTCGATTGTTCGGGAGCTTCATAAGCTTTCTTCAGTCATCACAATGACCGATGCCAACAGAAACCGGCACACTTAGGGATCTGCAGAGTTTGCGCATCTTGCGTGACAGACCTCAGCAACTCAGCATTTTGGCTAATCTACCTTTATTTACATATAAACACACACGATGCACTGCAACATGGCTCCCTCTCTCTCTAGCATCAGACAGCAAAGAGAGAAAGAACAAAGGACAATAGTCCCACTTCACGGAACACAGTAACACAAACATCCTGTCTCCTTCACGTCCCACTCTGTGGAGTCAAAACGCATACCGTCATGTGATAGACAACAATCCCATGACTGCAGTCATGGAGCAGGAATTCTAACAGGCTCCGTGCAAGGCAGTGGAGAAGCAAGGGAAGGAGGGAGGGGCGCTGGGGGCAGCAGTTGCAGTGTGTAGCCTCGAGCGTGGGGGTCTTTTGAGGTAGAGTGGATGGGGGGAGCGGTGGTAGAGTCATGTTTATTATGCGCAGAGCTTGGGATGCAAGCACACACCACACAGCCGAGGAGGTGGTGTGTTGCGGAGCCGGCAGAGAGAGCTCTGGACTGCGGGAAAACATCCAGAGTGTTCCCGCCTCCGACGGGTGCCCGAGGCACACAGGCACCAAGGCCCCGCTCCGCCTCGCTTACCTCCTGCTCTCCCCTCCCCGGACTCTCTGCCTGGCACCTTCCACGGCTTGGCACCCTGGCTTGCAGCGCCACCACGCCCAATGGTAAAGACATCTCTGTTTGTGTGTGCTTTTAGAGGACAAAGAGGCGCCCACCGACAGTGGGGTCGATACCACCAGATGCCAAGTGTCCGTCTACATGTTTGTTCCGTCCTCCGCCTCGGAGAACCCCAAAGAGAACTTGAGGAAGATTGCGATCGAGCGGGAATCCTCGGAAGATGTCGAGATCTACATCTGGAAGCTCGTGAAAGGTGAGGAGCTCTTTCGAACCTGCAGCGCTCTCGCTTTTGTGCAGCTGGGGTTTGGCCTTGCTTTTAATGAGTATTATGAGTTTCATCTATTTATTTCAAGGACTTATACACAGTCTTTCAACCAAAGCATTTTCTCTTTTTTAAATAATAATTATTATTAATTTTCCATTTAAACCTGTTTCATTGAATTCTTCATCAGCCAATTAGTTCAACACTTGTAAGTAGAGAGATATGCAATTTCTTCATTAACCAATCTTTTTTTGAACAGACATAGACATCAGAATTGGACATTTGCTGATTATACAAAGCTTCACAGGCTGCTCTCCGCTGGGTAAAGTCTGGCACTGTGATTCATTTAAGGACTTTCAGAGAGTTTTGATGTTTTGAATTATTCCATAAAGTTTTTCACGTTGTTATTGTTTCTGCCCATCGTGTTGCTTTTAATAGAGAATCAGGCAATAACCTGGGAAGTAAAATTTACTTACTTAGAATCTGGCCCAAATATAAGCCGCACCTTTAATGCAGCAGTCTGGTTGGTCCTAGAACAATAGGCTTCAGAATGCAGCAGTCTGATTGGTCCTAGAACAATAGGGTCCAGAATGCAGCAGTCTGATTGGTCCACAGGAGCCACCCAATCCAGCTCCAGGTGGAAGTGAATCTGCAACCTGATTGGCCTACAGGTGAATCCCGGAATTAGCCAATCACGTGGGGCCCATTGTGTAAATAATGTATATAAAGCAGATATTTTGAGGGAACTGCCATTCCTCCTCACCACTATGAGCTGAATAAAGAGCACGAAATCCACTCTCGACTCCGAGTATATTTCACAACTTGAGAGTCCAAACTCAAAGCAGCTCGGAAGGAGGGGTAATAAATACTTCCAGAGTAACAAATGCTTTCTGGACCAAGAGAGCAGGTCACCTAGTTCCTTGTCATGTTTGACCAGTGATATCACTTACAACCTGTCAGCGGTGGAGGCGCTATGTTTGTGGGGGTTGCCTGTTTTATACGGCGTTCGTTGGGTGGTCCCTAGGCTGGAGACCAGAGGAGAGGAACCACCCAAAAGGAGTGATGTGGAAGGAAAGATTCTGGGCAGCGGAACAAGCCGAACTGAATTTCAGGTTTTGCCAATGAATTGCCCCCCCCAAAAAATCACGCGCAGAAGGTTGCCGTGTGAGAGATTGTCCCAAAGTCACTCGGTGAACTTCAAGGCCAAGACAGGATTTGAACCCAGGACTCCGCAATCCTGGCACTCTAACCGCTAGACCACACAGCCCTATGGGCTTGATAGGAGGCTAATGGAGCACTGTCCCCTCTCCGCCTGCCACATTGCAGTGTAGTGGTTGGGCTAAGGTAGGATGATGGTTCTGGGGGTGGTCTTCGACTCCAGGATGGACAATTTAAAATGTCTATATAAGGATGGGCACACCTTTGTTCTGGGTCTTCCTCCTTCTCCTGCGTGTGGGGGAGAACCCTGTTGCAACAGTTCAGTAAAGATCAGGCTTACAAGCTGCTTTGCTTCTCAATATTCTCTGGTTGGCCTCTGTTGTTTTCTCCGACCGATGGAGAACCTGCAAAGGACTCCATAAGGGCTCTTGTGTTCCCCATAAGGTAATAAGGGCAGATTTTTGTTTATTACATTATCATCATCATCATCATCTCTGGATCCATCCGAAGTCTGAGGGCCCATTTCACAGAATCGTGGAATTGTAGAGTTGGAAGGGTCCTCAAGGCGTCATCTAGTCCAACCCTCCGCAATGGAGCTTGCCTCTGTGTGGATGGGGGTCCAGGAGGGGTCTCTCAGAGCAGGGCCCAGACCCCCAAACCATTTTTTCTGAGTGCCCCAGATGTTTCTCAGTAGGTAATTAATTTTGGGGAGATCGAATGGGAGTAACTGGGTAGGATATTTACACGAGGAAATAAACTAATTGAAGATGATTTTATCTAGAGTTGCGGAGGGGGTGTGTTCAGGGGGTGATAATTGAAGGGGAACTGAGTTGATTTGGAGCGGGATCTGTGGTGAAGTTAATTGGAAGGACCTGACCTAAGGTAATCTGGGGTGGAGCCCCAATTAATAGGAGACTATCTGGCAAAGGGCTGGATGTAAATATCAGTTGGCATGTCTTCTGTGGCATTCAAATTATGGATCTGCATTGTGTATGTGGGAATTAGCATATGCAAATTCCATGCAAAGTTGTGCCCCGAGGCTGCAGCCCCACATCTTTTATGTGCCTAGCAAATTGCCCCTGCTTTAAGTCTCTTGGCAGGATTCGCCTCCGTGACTCAATGTGGGCGCCCTCTCTCTCTCTCTTTCTCTCTCTCAGAAAAAAAGGCACCTCAGTCCGTTTTCCTCTCCGCTTTAAACAATTGACTCAATGGCAGCGGCACAGAAAGGCGCATAAATCTGCAGACAAATATTTTTATATTTCCTGTTTGAGCCACGTTTCAAAACGTCGGGGGATTAGCAGAAACCCAAAACCCAGTTGCTGTGTCTGCCAGGACGGATGAAATATGTACCATGTTTGGCCAGAGCTGTGGAAAAAAAGGGAAGGGAAGGGCAGAGAGGAGGAGGTTTCTCTTAGATAGGAGAAGGGATGAACGGGCAAAATAAAATAAATGCCCTTTTTATGCTCCGTGTTATGGCACAAGCCGGAGCTCCAGGTGGTTCGACAATAGAGCCAAAGAGTCATAGGATTGTTGGAGGGGGTCTCCAGCGGTCATCTAGTCCAGCCCCCTGCAATGCAGGGATATCAGCAGAAGCATCCATGACTGATGGCCACCCAACCTCTGCTTAAAAACCCCCAAGGAAATACCATATTTTTTGCTCTATAGGACGCACCGGATGATAGGACGCACCCAGTTTGGGGGACAGGAGAACAAGAAAAAAAATATTTTGAATCCCAGAAGCCATAACAGCAAGATACCGTGGGACTTCTGGGATACCGTCTGGCTGTTCTGGCTTCTGGGATAACCGCGCCAAGCCTCTTCAGGGCAGCGGGATGAAGGCTCCCCCTGCCCGGAAGAGGCTGCGCACAGCTAAGGCAGAAGCCAGGGCAGGCGTGTGGCTGAAGCGTCGCTGCGCAGTTCAAGCGGAGCTGGAAAAGGACAGGCTTCGCAGGACAGGCGCGTGGCTGCGAAGCTGGAGGAGGAATAGAAGGAGACCCTTCTGCTGCTCCTCCGGCTTCTAGGCAGGCGCGTGGCTGAAGGGGTGCTGCGCAGTTCTCCCTCTCTGAGCAACACCTCTCCTGTGAAGGAGAGGCGCTGCACAGAGAGGGAGAAGTGCCCAGCGCCCCTTCAAGTGAAGCTGGAAAAGAAACAGAAGGAGACCCTTCTGTTCCTCCTCCAGGTTCTCAGGACAGGCGCCTTGCTGGGAATCTGGAGGAGGAAAAGAAGGAGAAAAAAAGTGTGTCCTATGGAGCGAAAAATACGGTAGTTTGAGCCTGTTCTTAGGTTCGCTTCCAGCGACATACCTGAGGCCGGGGAGTTGTCCACGCACGTGACAGAATGAGGTGGTCGAATCCTGGCAAGGCAGCATGGCCTGTGCCACTTCAGTCTGCATAAGAACATGAGAAGAGGCTGCAGGATCAGGCCAGTGGTCCATCTAGTCCAGCATGTGGTTCTCACAGTGGCCAACCAGAGGCCCATTGCGGTGTTAAGCTGTGGGCCAGACCAGGGGCGAATGAAGGCGTCGTGACACCCGGGCAGGGCGTCGCTACGTAGGGCGCATGTGCGGTGTCACTACGTATGACACATGTGCTGTACGTAGCGACGCTGCACATGCGCTGTCCATAGTGGTTTGCCAGCAGCAAGTTTTATAACATATAACTTTTTTACATTCCCCTTTTAAACTCACAGCGGTTAGCTTGTTGCAAGCTTGTTTAAGCTTCTCAATATTAGATTCTTGTAAGGTAAAGGTAAAGGGACTCATGACCGTTAGGTCCAGTCGCGGACGACTCTGGGGTTGCGGCGCTCATCTCGCTTTATTGGCCGAGAGAGCCGACGTACAGCTTCTGGGTCATGTGGCCAGCATGACTAAGCCACTCCTGGCGAACCACAGTAGCACACGGAAACGGCGTTTACCTTCCCGCCGGAGCGGTACCTATTTATCTACTTGCACTTTGACGTGCTTTCGAACTGCTAGGTTGGCAGGAGCAGGGACCAAACAACGGGAGCTCACCCCGTCACGGGGATTCGAACCGCCGACCTTCTGATTGGCAAGCCCTAGGCTCTGTGGTTTAACCCACAGCGCCACCTTCATCCCTTTAGATTCCTGGTAATTTCCCTTATATCCCTTTTAAAAGAATAGACACGACACAATCTTGTGTAAAGTATACAGTGGTACCTCGGGTTAAGTACTTAATTCGTTCCAGAGGTCCGTTCTTAACCTGAAACTGTTCTTAACCTGAAGCACCACTTTAGCTAATGGGGCCTCCTGCTGCCGCCGTGCCACCGGAGCACAATTTCTGTTCTCATCCTGAAGCAAAGTTCTTAACCTGAAGCACTATTTCTGGGTTAGCAGAGTCTGTAACCTGAAGCGTATGTAACCTGAAGCGTATGTAACCTGAGGTACCATTGTATATAAAAGAAGTTTACTCACACATTCAGTTCACAGATGGATCCCTGAAGGCAGACTTAGTTACAAAGTATATACATCTGGAATCTATCCCATATGGAGATAGTCCCTTTGTCCTCTGTTGACTGGAAGCATCTCTAGCTAAAAAGCTGTTGCTCCAACGATGGAGGAAGTCAAAGAGTATGCAGTGTGCCTTGTCCTTTTGTGTTACCTGGTCAGGTAAGGTCACGCCCACCTCTAGTCACATGTAAGAGGAAGTAAGTCCCAGCCCAGGAGGAAACAGGAAGTTCTGACTGGCTGGACCAAACATCCCCTTGCATGTCCACTCTAGGAAAACAAGGGATGTTGTACTTGACTGCTATCTATGTATCACATCCCACATAATTTTCTAAACTATGCATCTGTGTCTGGTTCTTGGTTGTTGTTGTTTTTTTGTTTTTTTTGTAGGAATCTTTCATTTGATCCAGATCAAGAAGGTCAAGAAACAAGAGTTCCGGCAAGAAGTGCAGAACTTCCGGCTAGTTTCCAGGACAAACGAAGGTATGGTTGACCCGAGCAGAGCTTTCGAAGGTGGCTTGGCGGTTCAGATCGGGTCCGTTTGGGGCTTTGCCAACACAGAATCCCAGAGAGGTGGTGGTTTGGTAAAAATGTTGTTAACTCCAGCGGGAGGAACAACCGAAATTACAAAAATGTATTTAATTCCCCCTCCCCTCTCCGTTGAAGCATAAAGGTAAAGGGTAAAGGGACCCCTGACCATTAGGTCCAGTCGTGGCCGACTCTGGGGTTGCGGCGCTCATCTTGCTTTACTGGCCAAGGGAGCCGGTGTACAGCCACAGGTCATGTGGCCAGAATGACTAAGCCACTTCTGGCGAATCAGAGCAGCGCACGGAAACGCCGTTAACCTTCCTGCCGGAGCAGTACCTATTTATCTACTTGCACTTTTGACGTGCTTTTGAACTGCTAGGTTGGCAGGAGCAGGGACTGAGCAACGGGAGCTCACCCCGTCGCGGGGATTCGAACCACCAACCTTCTGATCGGCAAGTCCTAGGCTCAGTGGTTTAACCCACAGCGCCACCCACGTCCCTTCCATTGAAGCATAGCTGTCAACTTTTCCCTTTTCTTGCAAGGAATCCTATTCGGAATAAGGGAATTTTTTTTTTAAAAAAGGGAAACGTTGACAGCTATGCATTGAAGCAGGAAAGATGAGGTAGGATTGCAAGACCAGTGGGGTTGGGGTTGGGGGGGGGATGCAATAAAATTCAAAGACAAGCTACCTTGAAACATTTGGCTTTCTTAGCTGTTGAGGTTAATGCACACACCCCCAGACACTTTACTTTCTGGTACAGCTAACAACATTGAATGGGGGCTTCTTGTAAAACTAAGCATGCCATGCGCGGCAAAGCCCTCTTGGGAGTCTACCACTGAGATTCCAGGTTGGGGTGTGTGTGTCTTGAGTGTTTGAATGCTCCCCAGTGGAAAATAACTCCTGGCTTGCAGAACACTAACATGCCAGAGAAAGTTTGGAGTCTTTTGGTTAAGGGGGGGGGGAGAAGATGCCTGGGAATGATATGCTAGGGCAGCCTTAGTCAGCCTGGCACCTAAATAAATAAATAAATAAATAAATATTATTTATACCCCACCCATCTGGCTGGGTTTCCCCAGCCACTCTGGGCGGCTCCCAACAGAATATTAAAAACACGATAAAACATCAAACATTAAAAACTTCCCTGAACAAGGCTGCCTTCAGATGTCTTCTAAAGGTCATATGTTTATTTTCTTGACATCTGCCAGGAGGGTGTTCCACAGGGAGGGCGTCACTACTGAGAAGGCCCTCTGCCTGGTTCCCTGTAACTTTGCTTCTTGCAGGGAGGGAACCGCCAGAAGGCCCTCGGTGCTGGACCTCAGTGTCCAGGCTGAACAATGGGGGTGGAGACGCTCCTTCTGGTCTACTGGACTGAGGCCGTTTAGGGCTTCAAAGGTCAGCACCAACACTTTGAATTGTGCTCGGAAACGTACTGGGAGCCAATGTAGGTCTTTCAAGACCAGTGTTACGTGGTCTTGGCGACCGCTCCCAGTCCCCAGTCTAGCTGCCGCATTCTCTGTTCCCCAACAAACACTTCCCCAACCTGACAAGCACCGGAAAGAAACGGAATGTGGGTGAGCTTCAAACCAGCTGCCCTTGCAGACTTAACCAGGTGCGAACACATCGCCTTAAGATAAATAGATAAAACTTTATCTGCATTAGCCAATGGCCATAGCAACAGTAAAACATTACAGTATACGCAGAAAAGGAGATTGGATATAAGAGCACAATTTAAAGTCCTGAATCAGCCGTCAGTTAGTGGCCCTTATTCTGACTGCCCCTGCTATGAACCTAGCAACCTTTGCTGTTATTTGATAGAAGAAAGGCCATTGTGGGAGTGGTTGAGTGCCCTGGGATGGTTAGTATGAGTGGGGTGATGATCTCGTTCCTCAGGTCTTTGGAATCGACCCTCGAGTACCACAGATGGCAAAACATCCAGTCTTGCAAGTGTAAAAGCACGTCTGTATTTTGGGATAATAAGTTTGTGCAGCTATGGGGCCCGAGAATCAAAATGGAGAGGTGGAAAATGAACATACCAAGGGCAGAATTTCCTTATAGTGGCCAGGTCGTTCTGATGCTCGATATCTTTTAGACATTGACCAATTAGACTGTTTGCTTTAGTGGGGCCCATAGCGAGCAAGTGTTGTGGGAATAGGCCACAAGAGTGAAGTTTTTGATAGACGGTTTTAAGCCAGGCACTTTTATGGGAGTCTTGAAGTACTAGGGATAGCAAACTGGGGGGATTTGAGTTTAGGCGGAGCATAAAGTTAAGAGTTCTTTGCCAAGTCCGTACTTCTACTGAAGGGAGACTTGCCTCCAGTCGCAATGCACATTGCCTTAAGCTTGCAATTTGTTCTGTTCTGCGCCCTCTTAGTCACTGGACTGCTGGACGTCTTTCTTCTGTCTCTGCACTTTACGGGACATCAGAAGCTGCCAGAGACACCCGCTCACATTTCGTCGAGGGCGGGTCGAGGGTTACGAAACCCCCACCCACGCTGAATCGCATCCCTTCCCGAGTCTATAGAGCTGCTTGGTGTCTAATAATATGCAATCCATCTGGCATTCTGGGAAGCGGAAGATGTGTCAGACGAATCCATTCCCCCTCCCCATATTAAAAATAATCCCCCATATTAAAAATAGCTCCTGGAGAATTCCTGGAAGATATGTAAGTGTTGTTACCAGAAACTGCAAGGACAGACTTTGCTTTCCTGTAGGAATCATTTGTTAAGATTGCTTAAAAGGCCAGCAGACAGATACCTCTCTAAGGTTAGCGATTGTGTCATGGCTGCTCCGGAACATGAAAGACGCAGAACGTCATTAAACTCTGGGACTCGCTCCTGCGCATAGCTGTCAACATTTTCCCTTTTTTAAGGGAAATTCCCTCATTCCGTATAGGATTCCTCACAAGAAAAGGGAAAAGTTGACAGCTATGCTCCTGTGGGAGGCAGTGATTTCCACCAAACTTTAAAAGAGAATTGGATAAATTTGTGGAGAACAGGACCATCGATGGCTTCTAGCTATGATGTGGCTGTGCTCTGCCACCATAGCTGGGAGACAGAAACGCTCCTGAATACCCCTTGCTGGAAACTACAGGAAGGGAGAGGGCTTTTGTGCGAGAATTTTCTGCTGTGGTCTAAACCCCTGAGCCTCTTGGGCTTGCCGATCAGAAGGTAGGCGGTTCGAATCTCCGTGACGGAGTGAGCTCCTGTTGCTCTGTCCCAGCTCCTGCCAACCTAGCAGTTTGAAACCACGCCAGTGCAAGTAGATAAATAGGTACAGCTCCAGCGGGAAGGTAAACAGCATTTCTATGCACTCTGGTTTCCATCTCAGTGTCCTGTTGCACCAGAAGTGGTTTAGTCCTGCTGGCACATGACCCGGAAAGCTGTCTGTGGACAAACACCGGCTCCCTCGGCCTGAAAGCGAGATGAGCGGCGCAACCCCATAGTTGCCTTTGACTTGACTTAACCATCCAGGGGTATTTTACCTTTTTACCTTTGGGGCATCTGATTGGCCACTGTCAGAACCATAGGTGCCAACTCTTAAGGGGCCCAGGTCCCTCCGCCCCCCCCCAATAAAATATTTGCAGTGGGGGGTCAACAGTCAGTTGCAGAGGAGGCTGATCACAGCGTGGCTTGGCTTCAGTGGCTGCTGGGGAATTCCCAGACATGTCCGCTTTTGAGGGGGAGGGTCCTATATTCTCATCCGGAGAGAATTTTACATTTTAAAGCAAATGTCCTGGATTTTGAGTTTTTTAACTTTTGCATGCGTCATCAACCCCCCCCCCCATCTTCTGGTCAAGTTGGTGCCTCTGGTGAGGACAAGTTGCTGGACCAGAAAGACTGTTTAGTCTTCTCACCTTCTTAATGTCTGCCACGAATCTGTTTTAAACCCACAGACGTCCATGACCTTTCCATATCTTGCAGCAAGTTTCCATTTAATGTTTGAATAATAATAATAATAATTTATTATTTGTACCCTGCCCATCTTCTGGGTTTACCCAGTCACTCTGGGTGGCTCCCAACAGAATATTAAAAACACAGTAAAAGATCAAACATTAGAAACTTCCCTAAACAAGGCTGCCTTCAGATGTCTTCTAAAAGTCAGGTAGTTGTTTATTTCCTTGGCATCTGATGGGAGGGCGTATCACAGGGCGGGAGCCACCACCGAGAAGGCCCTCTGCCTGCTTCCCTGTAACCTCACTTCTCGCAGGGAGGGAATCACCAGAAGGCCCTCGGAGCTGGACCTCAGTGTCTTTGGTCAGCTCGAATCTAGAGGCAGACTTGGAGAGGCCCTTGGCTGAAACCTTGGAAACCCACTGCCAGCGTGGTCCAGCCTTTGGCAACCTGGTGCCCTCCAGCTGTTTGGCACTACGGCTGCCCTGCCAAGTGCCAGGGCTGGATCTACTATGAAACTCATGAAGCTGCGGCTTCTGGGCCACTAATCCTGGAGCGGCCCCAGATGCAACTTGAGTACACATTGCTTAAAAAAATTGGCGCATGTAGACCCAATTTGAGTCATGCAACTCAAATGAGTTATTTTTGTTGTTGTGAAGATTTCAACAATCTCAGAGTCTGAGAGCCAGCAGCAAAGTTGTTCTAAAGGGGGTTGCGATCTGTTCTGGAACAACTCCATTGAAGATGATATTGATGGGACCCAATGTTGCGAAGGGGCCCCCATGACAATTGAAGCTTCATGGTCCCCAAAATTTAGGTCCACCACGGCCAGATGCAAGTGACAACGCTGGCTGGGAACGATGGGAGTTGTAGTCAAGGCATCTGGCGTTTCGCCAGGCTGCCAAAATCTGGTGTTGGCAATACCAAGCTAGGCGGACTCAATGTTTCAACCTAGCCAAAGTCATCTTTCTGCGTTCCTTATAGAGGGCGTGTGGTTTGCGAAGGAATAGATTCATTTCGCAAAAGGCGGTTCATCTGCAGAAGGAGATTCTCATTTGCAAAAGGTCACGCTGCAATAAATTAGTATTTAAAGTACCAGAGGATCCTTTCTCTTTGCTAGCATTTTTTATTTTTTTTGAGGATGGGGGATGGGGGAGAGATAATATTCTATAAATAGTTTATTGCCCTTATAGGGTATACGTTTCATGGGAATAGTGAGTAATGAATATCCTTCTATCTTCTCTCAGCTTACTGGAACACGTTCCTGGTGCAAGGCCCAGAGGCGAAGATCTCCGAAAGTCCGGACAGAGAAATTAAGAACTTGTAAAAGATTTGGGGGTGGGGGGTGGAGTCTATTGATATTAATATATATGGGGGAAAGTTGCCTTATTGAGTAAACTATCGCCGCAGAAGCAGGAAAGACAATCTGCAACCAGCTTTGTGAAAATGCCAGCAAATTAACCCCTGGGAATGAGGACTACCAACATGGCTGCTTGACTTCATCGCTTTAGATCCAGCCGATGCACCCAGCCTTTCCAAATGCTGCAAGAGTGAATGGATGGCTCTTTTGCCTGCTTCCTGTGAAGGGTAGTGGGGTTGCAGGGAGAACCAAGAAAGATGCTTTAACCTTTTAGGGGAAGGGGAGACTGAGGGGCTGCCACTTCCTATAGAGCACGTAGGAAACCGTCACAATAGAGCTTTGATTCTGCTGTTTCACCGATTGTTCTGGGATAGCAAAGGGCAAATAGGAAGAGGGTTTCCGTTGCAGAAACGGAATATTTTTCATTTGCCTCCCAGCCGCTCTGTCGGAGTCTATGTGTCGCTCGAGGTTTTGGGTGCAACCAAGAATTGATGAAACTCCAAACCTGCAAGTTTTGTCATCCGATGCCGGAATTTGAAGTCTGAATTCAGGAACTGGAACAGGCATTCCAAAATTCAAACGATCTCCCCTGGATACTTTGACAAACTGCACTTTAAAAAGCCCATTTTCCTTCTGCCTCTCATTTGAATTTTGAATGTAAACCTTATGTCAAGTGCTTTTGTTTTGTTTGGGTGTCTGGCGCAGAGGTTGCCCAAAATTAACCCCGCCTTGGCATTCGGCAAACTCATCCCCATTCCCCCGCTACTTTACCCTATGAAAAGCGTTCTTCAGAAAAGCAGTTTGCACAACCCACCAAGGAAGATAATAACACAACTAAATTCAAAACAGTAGCAATTGCACATTTATTCCAAAGTCAATTGAAACGATTTAGTTTATTATTTTTATTTATTAAATTTGTATACTGCCCTTCATCCGTAGATCTCAGGGCAGTTCACAGCATAAAAACACAAGATAAAAATAGCAAATACATAGCAAAGCAAAACAATAACCCCCTTCCCGCTGCCGCCAACCCCCCAAAATAAGCAAAATGGATGAATTATATATATATATATATATATATATATATATATATATATACACACACACACACACAGTGGTACCTTGGGTTAAGAACTCAATTTGTTTTGGAGGTTCGTTCTTAACCTGAAACTGTTCTTAACCTGAGGTACCACTTTAGCTAACCACTTTAGTGATTTCTGTTCTCATCCTGAAGCAAAGTTCTTAACCTGAGGTACTATTTCTGGGTTAGTGGAGTCTGTAACCTGAAGCGTCTGTAACCCGAGGTACCACTGTATACTTTTCAGATATATACATTTCACTCATTTTTCAGCCAGTTCAACATTTCAAAACTTGACTTCCTTCCCCCTCTTTCTGTGGGCCCTTCATTTTATTTTTAATAGCTGCAATGCAGGAATGTTCAGTCGTCCCACATGGGGATCAAACCTGGAACCTTGGCGTTATCATCACCAGTCTCCAACCAACTGAGCTATCCAGGCTCCGGTTCAGCAATTGTCCTGCACGTGCAAACTACCTAGGTGCATATGGACTGTATTTTAAAAAAAATAATAATAATGGCAGAGATGGTAAATGCTGCTTGCTCACGGCAGATGCGTGGAAGAATTGGGATACATGATGTCTGCATTCTGCTTCCACAGTCAGAGGCAGCCCTGCTTCTGAATCCCAGCTGCCATGAGGGGAGAGGCCTCCTGTGCCCGAATCCTGTTTGCAGGCTTCTGGGCTGGCCACGGTGAGAACAGGATGCTCGACTAGATGAGCTGTTGGCTGGCTCCAGCAGGCTCTCATGTTCTCAAAAGTGGTTCAGCCCTTCCCACGTGGAGGAGTTGTTGTTTAGTCACTTAGTCGTGTCTGCCTCTTCGTGACCCCCTGGACCAGAGCACTCCAGGCCCTCCTGTCTTCCACTGCCTCCCGCAGTTTGGTCAAACTCATGCTGGTAGCTTCAAGAACACTGTCCCACCATCTCGTCCTCTGTCGTCCCCTTCTCCTTGTGCCCTCCATCTTTCCCAACATCAGGGTCTTTCCAGGGAGTCTTCTCTTCTCATGAGGTGACCAAAGTATTGGAGCCTCAGCTTCAGGATCTGTCCTTCCAGTGAGCACTCAGGGCTGATTTCCTTCAGAATGGATACGTTTGATCTTCTTGCAGTCCATGGGACTCTCAAGAGTCTCCTCCAGCACCTGAATTCAAAAGCATCAATTGTTCAGCGATCAGCCTTCTTTATGGTCCAGCTCTCACTTCCATACATCACTACTGGGAAAACCAGAGCTTTAACTATACGGACCTTTGTTGGCAAGGTGATGTCTCTGCTTTTTAAGATGCTGTCTAGGTTTGTCACTGCTTTTCTCCCAAGAAGCAGGCGTCTTTTAATTTCATGACTGCTAGAAAACCCTGTCAGCTGTCCCCTTGTTTAAAACCAGACTTTCCCCCATCACTCGCCTGTGCCTGGAATGATGGCGGTTTTGGTGCCACGGGTCTCGCGCAGACTGTCTACACTGTGCACTACGGTAGTGGTTTAGCACATGGTTATATCACATTTATAATGTATCTCACACCGTCCTCCGCTGCACTCAACTCAACTGAGAGATGCGTCTTCCCAAGAACCAAATGTGGTCCATTTGTCACAAGAGGAGAGCGTGCAAAGGGACTTGCACTCACCCCTGTCCGTTTTTTTGGGGAAAAGGTTCAGAGTCTGATAAATGTATTTATGCCTGTTTTGATTGGGGGGTGTTTGGGGAGAAATCTATTTATTTGGAGATGCGTATCTCTGTCTCATAGATCGGAATAAACTGGTTTCTGAAGCCAAGTATCCTCCTCCTGCTATTTTATATATATAATGTCTTCCTTTTTTTAATAATAATCTTTATTAATTTAAATTACACACTTATACAAAGAATTTACAAACTCATACAACAAAAAGAAAATTAAAGAAAAAAATTAAGAAAAAAGGAAAGAAGAAAATAGAGAAAAAAGAAAGAAGAAAAAGCAAATTTACGTACATAATTTTTAAAAAATCTTCCTAATTAATACTTAATTAAACACTTAAATAAAAAAGACTTCTAGCAAAACAAGTCTTCCAATCATTCTCATTATACTCTTTATACTGTGGTTGTAGATTAAAGAATATAAAACTGTGCGGGGGGGGGAGGGGAATAAAAATAATATCTTCCTTAATCATATTGTTCCACACCACCCTGATCTCTGGGATTTCAGGTGCTTATGCAGGTTTAGTTTCCTTGAAATGAAGAAGCAGAATAATATTTATGTGCATCAGCCACTAGCCGCCACGATAAAATAAAATGTACCAAAGATAGAGGTAAAAACTTAACTATAGAAAATACATGTTGGGGGTTTACAGCAATAATCAAATAATAGATCTTATTCCAATTGCCCCGCTAAAAAACTTGCCATTTTTGCTGTCACCTGATCATCTTGATCTGCTAAAAGAAAGGACACAGTATTAACGGTTGAGCTACCCAGCATGGACAATAGTAGAGGGGTAATAACCTCACTCCTCAAATCTTTATAATGGGTGCAAGCCAGAAGCACATGAGCCACTGACTCAATACTGCCACCTCCATAAGGGACATGACTGCTTTTCTAGTGGATTTTTTTGAAATTGACCCTCAAGTACAGCCGAAGGCAGTATATTCAATCTTGCAAAAGAGCGTCTGTATTTTGGAATTGTCAAATTTTGCAAAAAGGGTGGCAAAGTGTCAAAATGACTAGGTGGGAAAGAATCGTATCACGGGCAAAATTTCCTTATAGCGACCAAATTATTCTGTCGCTCAATGTCATATAGACGCTGTCTAATTAAATTATTTGCTTTACCTATCCCACAGAGATTGATTCAAAGGCAGCTTTCAGATCAATGGAATGAAGGTTAGCAGAGACTGCGCTGCCTTTAGGGTATATGGCCTTATTTGCAAATACAGTGATACCTTGGTTCTCAAACGCCTTGGTACTCAAACAACTTGGAACCTAAACACTGCAAACCCGGAAGGAGGTGTTCTGGTTTGCGAACTTTTTTTGGAAACCGAATGTGCTCTGTTTTGAGTGTTATACTTCCATTTTGAGTGTTATGCTGAGGTCTGTCTGTTTTTGCTATTTATTTTGCGTGCTTGTTTTTGCAGCTCTTTTTGTTTGTTTTTTTGTGACTGTGTGGAACCCAGTTCAGCTACTGATTGATTGATTGATTGTGTGACTGCAGTACATTGTTTATTGCGTTCATTCTATGGATCAACGGTCTCGTTGGATAGTAAAATCCATGTTAAATTGCCGTTTCAGGGGTTGTTTTTAAAAGTCTGGAACGGATTAATCCATTTTGCATTAGTTTCTATGGGAAAGCGTGCCTTGGTTTTGGAACGCTTTGGTTTTGGAACAGAGTTTGGTTTTGGAACTTAATCCGTTCCGATTTAATTTGAGAACCAAGGTACCACTGTATAAACCAGGGGTCAGCAACCTTTTTCAGCAGGGGGCTGGTCCACAGTACCTCAGACCATGTGGTGGGCCGGACTATATTTTTTGGGGGAGAAATGAACGAATTCCTATGCCCCGCAAATAACCCAGAGATGCATTTTAAATAAAAGGACACATTCTACTCATGTAAAAACAGATTCCTGGATCGTTCGCAGGACGGATTTAGAAAGCGATTGGGCTGCATCCGGCCCATGGGCCTTAGGTTGCCTACCCCTGGTATAAGCAACCTGGGCATAAGACGGAGAGGCTCACAGCATCAGCACCAAAACAGGTCGCGCTTCTCCATTAGTCACAGCTTTGGGTCCAGCACAGAGCAACCAGGACTCTGTGTCTCCAGCTCCCATCCTTCCTTCAACTCGGCTCTTACACAACTCTCTCACTCTTGTTCTGCTACCCAGCAGATAGGTGAGGGGGCTGGAGGAAAAACCCACCCATTAGCCCAACCTCTATTAGCTGTATCTCTCCCAACCTGGCTCACCTTTTAGGGATGCTGATGAGGACACTCAGGGGGCCAGGTGAGGTCATTGACTTCTCATTTGTCAGACCAGCAAAAGAAACCTCTCTTAGATTCCAGGACCCCAAGAATTGGGGAGGGACGCAGGGCATCATCCTGACTCCCAAATCCACAACATCCAGTTGCCATCATGCCTGTCAAATATCTCAGGGTAAGGTAAAGGATCCCTGGATGGTTAAGTCGAGTCCAAGGTGACTATGGGGTTGAGACGCTCATCTTGCTTTCAGGCCAAGGGAGCTGGCGTTTGTCCACAGACAGCTTTTCTGGTCGTGTGGCCAGCAGGACTAAACTGCTTATGGCACACGGAAGACCGTAACAGAGGCTGGAGCGCACGGAAACGCCGTTTACCTTCCCGCCGCAGTGGTACCTATTTATCTACTTGCACTGGCGTGCTTTCGAACTGCTAGGTTGACAGGAGCTGGGACCGAGCAGGGGAGGCTCACCCCGCCACGGGGATTCGAACCGTCAACCTTCTGATGAGCAAACCCAAGAGGCTCAGTGGTTAGACCACAGCACCACCTGCGTCCCATCCTTTTATAGACCCATTTATGATGGAATGGAAGGGATGGAAGTTACAGCTGCCCATTGAAATCAATGGAGGAGAAATCCAATATTATAATGCAGCTCGGATCGACAGTCGGTGCAGAAACAAAATGGAGTGGGTGGTGGGGAAAACCCCAAACAAGAGAGAATTGGCAAAACAGCCAGATGAGCACTAAGCTTGCCCGGTGGGCAGGGATTACAGACTGCAGACTGGCTTTTGGCAGGCTGGGATGTGGGATAGCGCCACTTGCAATATCGTCTGGAGGGATGTGGGGGAGATGCGTCGGGAAGATGTAGAAACCTCTGCCTTTTGCAGACATTGCTTCTCGTGCAACGGTAATAATAATAATTATTATTATTATTTAAATATAACCCGCCCATCTGGCTGGGTTTCCCCAGCCACTCTGGGCAGCTTCCAATCGAGTGTTAAAATCTTGATAAAAAAGCAAGCATCAAAAACTTCCCTAAACAAGGCTGCAGCGCA